TTTCACAACTGGGTCACCTGTAGTTTTGCAGTTATACTTGTTCCGTAAGCAAAATGGGAGGAAATGCTTTGGGCCGAGGCTTTTAGGAGACAGGAACCAGAAGGAATTCCAGAAGGAAAGTGAAATTCTGGGCTGAGTTAGGAGGAGAAGAGAGGAAGGACATGGGGACCCAAAACAAGGAGCTTGGAAATTATGATTCCTTCAATATGAGAGCACCAAGGTGTGTGTGTGTGGGGTGGGGGGGAGATCTCTAAACCCTTTGCCATTGCAGAGCCACCTGGTCAGTCTCTGTATCCCTCCTGAGGATCCTGGGGGAGGGGGAGAGGGAGGGAATCCTCCAAGGAATTGAAGGGACCGGACAGAGCCAGGAAAAGATGAACCAACACGGAAGGTTCCTTTAACCTAAGGTGACCAGACGTCCCGCTTTTGGCGGGACAGTCCCGATTTTTAACAATTTGTCCCGTGTCCCGCAGCGTTTTAAAAAAGTCCCGATTTTTGGTAGTAAAAATCTAGAGTAGTTCAGAGAACCGGTAAGAAAATTGGCTAGCCACACCCCTGAACCGGTTCTGGGACTCCCGGGCTGGCTGCTCGCCGCTCGCTTATCCCACCCACCTGCCTGCTCTACTCGCCGCTCACTCGCCCATTCAAACCTCACCCCGCCCATCCAAATACTATATAACCAGCTCTTTGCCACGTGGCCCACTACTCGCCTCCTGACTTAGACCTGTGAGTTCTGCAAGTGCCCCAACAAACCTGCTTCATCCTGCCTATAGGTAAGCTACCCCACCATAGCCACCAAGGCTTGGCTAGTGCTTTCCCGCGCCCCTCCCCATGCTTCTTCAGGCCATCCGGAGCTTCCCTGGGGCCTCCGGAAGCAGCCTTCCCGCCCCTCCCAGGTGGTTTAACGTTTTCCACCCTCCCTCCAGAGTCCAGCCTCCAACCGCCTTACCTGCCTGCCTTGTCCGGCTTCCATCCATTTCCCAGCCAGTCTTCTGTAGCTGAATCCCAAGTGGCTTTCAAGTTGCAGCAGACCTGCCTTGCTGGAAGTGGAAAGCATCCATCGGCTGCAATCAATTTCATCAGTGGGCAGCTGAGTCTGCCTGTCTGCCTGTCTTGTAACATCAATTGGGTAAGTGGCTGGGTTTTTTTTCCTTTATCCTTTAAAAAATGATTGTAATAATGTTATTCTTTTTAGGAAATGTTTTTTTGGGGTAAGTTTTTCTTTTTAGGAAATGTGTTTTTGGGGGGAAGTTTTTCTTTTTAGGAAATGTTTTTGGGGGGGAAGTTTTTCTTTTTAGGAAGTGTTTTTTTGGGGGGAAGTTTTTCTTTTTAGGAAGTGTTTTTTTGGGGGGTAAGTTTTTCTTTTTAGGAAATGTTTTTTTGGGGTAAGTTTTTCTTTTTAGGAAATGTTTTTTTGGGGGGAAGTTTTTCTTTTTAGGAAATGTTTTTTTTGGGGAGAAGTTTTTCTTTTTTGGAAATGATTTTTTGGGGGTAAGTTTTTCTTTTTAGGAAATGTTTTTTTGGGGTAAGTTTTTCTTTTTAGGAAATGTGTTTTTGGGGGGAAGTTTTTCTTTTTAGGAAATGTTTTTTTGGGGGGAAGTTTTTCTTTTTAGGAAGTGTTTTTTTGGGGGGAAGTTTTTCTTTTTAGGAAGTGTTTTTTTGGGGGGTAAGTTTTTCTTTTTAGGAAATGTTTTTTGGGGTAAGTTTTTCTTTTTAGGAAATGTGTTTTTGGGGGGAAGTTTTTCTTTTTAGGAAATGTTTTTTTTGGGGAGAAGTTTTTCTTTTTTGGAAATGATTTTTTGGGGGTAAGTTTTTCTTTTTAGGAAATGTTTTTTTTGGGGGTAAGTTTTTCTTTTTAGGAAATGTGTTTTTGGGGGGAAGTTTTTCTTTTTAGGAAATGTTTTTTTGGGGGGAAGTTTTTCTTTTTAGGAAGTGTTTTTTTGGGGGGAAGTTTTTCTTTTTAGGAAGTGTTTTTTTGGGGGGTAAGTTTTTCTTTTTAGGAAATGTTTTTTTGGGGTAAGTTTTTCTTTTTAGGAAATGTGTTTTTGGGGGGAAGTTTTTCTTTTTAGGAAATGTTTTTTTGGGGGGGAAGTTTTTCTTTTTAGGAAGTGTTTTGTGGAAATGTTATTCTTTTTAAGTAATTTTCTTTTTTGAAAATAGTCACATAAAATTTAGTAAATTTTAGCTCCTTTCGTGTGTTCAGATTTGTGCAAGCTTTGTGAGATTTTGTGTGTAAGTATGATAACTGGTTTTTGAGGTTCTATAATTTTTGTGAGGTGGTTTCTTGCATACCTTTAAGCTTTGTGCAGCTTTTGTGAGCTCCTGCAGCTTGATGGGTTTCAATGTGCTCCTGATAGCCCTGGGTGTTGTTTACCTGGGTTAATCCCAGGTCTTTTGTCTTTCCTATCCTGGGGGTTAATTCTGCCATGAAAGAGGAAATGGGGAGTTTTCCAGGAGAGTTATTTTTGGCCTGATTCCCTTTAATGACTGTACTTAAGGTGGTGCTTTTGCCTGGGGTTTTTTTTTCAAGGGGGAAGGCACTGTTTTCTGAGGTTTCTGGTGCAGTGAGGTTTCTGGCACTGTCCTTTTGGGGTGTACTATACTTCCAACAATGCCTTTATGACAGTTTTTATTCCAGTGGCTTTCTTTCCTGTCCTAAGGGTTAAGGAAAAAACTTGTTTTAACTGACTTTTGGGGGACAACTGTTGTTAGTCTTTTCCTGGCACTGTCCCAATTTTGGGGAGGGGCAGGGGTTATCTACACATTAATCATAATCAAATACTAATACTACGTGCTTATCCATTTTAGTGAGCTTTCCTTATATCATTGGTGTTTTATACTTTTATATTTCTAACTTCTGTTTCTGTTAGTGATAAAACCCCACGTAAAAAAATATTCGAAGCCTTGATTTAATTTTTTACTTTATTCATTTCTGCACATTCTAATATTGTTTTTATTCTTTTTCATATCTTTGTTTTTCCACTGTTGTGCAAACACAATTCTAGCAGCTGTTAACATGTGTAAAATGAAATATGTATTGTATTCCCTTTAAAATATGAAACAAAATATTTCTGGTTTTAAATCCCATATCTTGCTTTACCATTACTTCTAACCATGGTGGGATACAATATTTTAAATAACTGGTTCCGGGGGCATGGCTTGGTGATCATGTGACTGGCTGGCGGGGCTAGCTGGTCATAGGGACTACCGAGAGGGCTGAAAAAGTCATTTCTGACTGGTCCTCGCACTTTTGACCAGTCCTCCCACTTATGACTGGTCATCATTTATGCCGGTTGCAGCATTCTTAACAACCGTGTCACTCATTTCACAACTGCTTCTCTTCACGGTGACAAAATAGGGCGCAAAATGTAAAATGTGAGGACAGTCGTAAGTGCGAGGACCGGTCAAAAACGACGTTTGAATTTGAAGGAAAATTTTTATAAAATGTTTTATAGGTGGCATTTAGATCCTAAGAAATTGTCATGCATGTATCCTAACGTTCAACCAAAATGTTGGAGATGTGATTGTTTGGATGCTACATATTATCATATATGGTGGACTTGCAAGAAAGTGAAGGCTTTCTGGATAAAAATTTGGTGGGTTATGCAAAATGTTTTGAAGAAAAAACTCCAATTTTCTCCTCAATTGTTTTTACTGGGCATAGTTAAGGGCTTTTCAATGGGTGAAACAAAATTGATATTGTACATGGTGACAGCAGCTAGGTTACTCATTGGTCAATATTGGAAAAAGGATGTTATGCCTACTATTGAAGAATGGACTTTGAAGGTGGCCAGTTTTGCAGAAATGGCGAAGATATCAGCATACTTAAAAGACCGGACTCAAGAGACCTATGCATGGGAGTGGAAGAAATGGATAGATTATGTGCAGAATAAATACCAAACTAGGAAGTACCAGATAGCTTTTAGTTGAATGTTGTGTAGAAATGTATAGTATAATGTTATCTAGAAATGTATAGTATACAGGGGGGGAGAATAGAAGGGCGGTAATGATATATGATTTGGATTTGGATTTCACCTTGGGGAAGTCATGGGGGAGGGTTAGGGAGGGAAAGGGGGGGGGAATGGGAAAATTTGTATTTGTAAAACTTTTTCAATAATAATTAAAAAAAAAACCAACGTTTTCAGCCCTCTGAGCAGTCCCTATGTGCATAGAGACTACCCAGAGGGCTGGAAAAAGTCATTTCTGACTGGTCCTCGCACTTACGACTGGTCCTCGCACTTACGACTATCCCCCCCCCCCCCGTGTCCACCCACCCACGTCAATAGTGTCCTTCTTTACCAATGTTAAAATCTGATCACCTTACTTTAACCAGGTTTCTCCGGGTGCCTTTTTCAGCTTCAGCTTCATTTCATTGGAACAAGACTATTTCCCCATATCGGGAGGATCCAAAACGGATCGTGAACCCGACGTGGGCAGATTGCCAGAGTTGGCTGCGTGTCTTGTGACACCCCCCCCTCCAGAGGAGGGGATGATGGTTTGGGGGGAAGCGGAGGAAGAGGAGGCGAAGCTGCACTTGGGCGACCATCCGGCTCCAGGTGTGGAGGAGGCGATGTAGAGACCCCCCCAAAAAAAACACCTGCAGGGATCCATAGGATGGGAAAGGCAGAGAGGGATGGAGGTATTCGGGAGCAGCCGCCCAGATCCACTTCCAGGACCTTTGGATCCACCCCAAGGGATCCCTCGGGACTTCCCTCCTTCTCCAGCCTCAGCAAACGCCGCGATCCGAGACTCTTGGGCGGCCACCGCCGAGCTTCAGTTCCCCTCCGGGATGCTTGGGCAGGAGGCAGCCCCGCCCGGGCATTCCACGGCACTCTTAGCATGGGCAGAGGCACCCCGGACGCCGATGCCCAGGGGGATACTCGGCTGGGAGGGGGCGGAGCTCAGGCTGCAATAAGGGGCGGGGCTGCAAGGAGGGGGCGGAGCCAGAGAGGAGAGGCGAAGCCCCGCCTCCCCTTCCCCTCGCTGGATTTCTGCTTCCCGCCACGAGTCTCACTTTTTCCTTGGAGGATCGCCGCTGGATCCCTCGGGAGAGGCTTCTGGGTCCGGCTCGGGGCAGGTGGGGCTGCTTTCCCTCCGATCTCCAGGCTGCCCCTGCTAGGAGATCTTCTCTCCGCCCGGAGGAAGGGCTAGGAAGATCTCCTCCGGGAGATCCGGCTCTGGCGTTGCCTGCAGGGAACGGATCCCTGCCTTCCCTCCAGGGGAGCAAAGGAGGCTCCGTCTCCGGGCTGGATCTGATTCTGCCCCCTCCTCGCCCGGCCAAGGCTGCCCTGGGAGCTCCGGTTGGATCCGGGAAGGAGCTTTGGGTAAGTTGCTTCAGAAGGTCTCTCTGTGGTCCGTCGGAGCACGAGGTCTCTGAGCACCCATGTCCCGCACGTGCGGTTGGAAAAAAGGGAGTAAACAGAGCTTTAAAACGTTTGTTGAGGTTTGTAATGTGCTCTTAACACAGACTGACTTCATTGCAATGGGGAGGGGAGAGTTTGGGGGGAAAAGAAATATTTAAATTAACTGAATTGAGTTTGTTTATTTATTTAATTAATTAATTAATTAATTAATTTTTATACCGTCCCCTCTCCCGAAGGACTCAGGGCGGTGAACAGCCAAAATTAAAAAAACATACAATATAAACATTAAAATACTATAAAAACAAAATTAAATTTATATTGGCTTCCACCAATTTAAAACCCCTTACCCATAAAATTCAGCAACATTCAACGCATGTTGTTCATGCGTTATTTTATTTATTTATTTTTTTAAATTTGATTTATATGCCGCCCTTCTCCGGAGACTCAGGGCGGCTTACAATGTGTTAAGCAATAGCCTTCATACTTTTGTATATTTATACAAAGTCAGCTTATTGCCCCCACAAACTGGGTCCTCATTTAACCTACCTTAGAAAGGATGGAAGGCTGAGTCAACCTTGAGCCTGGTGAGATTCGAACTTACAGTAATTGCAGACAGCTGGTGTTAATCACAATGCTATTAGTCTGCTGAGCCACCAGGCCCATTTTATTTGCAGGGAGCGGATCCCTCCTGTCTCTCCAGGGGTGCAAAAGGGGGTCCCTCCCCGGGGTTCGATCTTCCCCCTCCTCCCCCGTCCAATGCTCCCCGGATGGATCCGGGAAGGAGCCTTTGGGAAGTTGCTTCAGAAGGTCTCACTGTGGTCCGTTGGAATCACAGAGAAGGAAGCCTCTGAACATCAAGCGCAGTTGGAAAAGGGATTGAAGTGTAAGCTTTAAAACAGTTATCGAGATTTGTGATGTGATATTATCACAGCCTGAATTCATTTTAATGGGGGGGGGGGGAGGAGGGGTGTTAGGGAAAGAAAATGTTTAGTTGGTTGAATTGAGCCACGGATTGAGTGTCATAAATTCAGAATTCCCTCTTCCACTGTGCTGGAGTCCCACTCCTAACAAATGAGAATCAATCCACAGATTAACAGAGTTGGAAGGGACCTTGTAGGTCATCTAATCCAACCCCCTGCCCAAGCAGGAAAACCTACCTATACCATTTCTGCCAAATGGCAGTCCAATCTCTTCTTGAAAGCCTCCAGTGATGAAGCTCCCACAACTTCTGAAGGCAAAAGCAGTTCCATGGGTTGATTGCTCTCCCTGTCAGAAAATTTCTCCTTATTTCCAGGTTGAATCTCTCCTTGATCTGTTTCCATCCATTATTCCTTGTCTGACCTTCAGGTGCTTTGGAAAATAGCTTGACCCCCTTCCTGTCTGTGGCAGCCCCTCAAATATTGGAAGACTGCTACCATGCCTCCCCTGGTCCTTCTCTTCACTAGACTAGCCGTGCCCAGTTCCTGCAACTGTTCATCCAATATTTTAGCTTGTAGTCCCCTAATCATCCTGGTTACTCTTCTCTGCACTTTTTCTAGAGTCTCAACATCTTTTTTTATAGTGTGGTGACCAAAACTGGATGCAGTACTCTAGGTGTGGCCTTACTAGGGCTTTATAGAGTGATTGATCTTGATTGTATCCCTTTGTTAATGCAATTTAGGGTTGCATTGGCTTTTTTGGCTGCCACCGCAAACTGTTGGCTCATATTTAATTGGTTGTCCACTAAGACTCCTGTTGGAAGAAAACTCCTTCTAGGTTCTGCTCCAAGTGGGGAAAAAGACACTGGAAACATGGAGACTGCTTGGAAAGATGGTTTAATGGTGGACAGGATCACATGGCTTGAGTTCCTGAACAGAAAAGGGGGCAGACACAGTGAGTCCCTGGGTTTTTATGCCCTCTCTGGCTTTGAACTTCCTGGGGCCCAGGAAGAGTATCCTGATTGGTTGTCAGACTCCCGGGAGGGGGGGTGTCTTAGCTAGCCTTGCTGGCTGATGTAATCTTCCCAGGTGCCATGTGCTGAGTTTCTGTCTAGATGGGTCCCATTGTGTTAGTTTCTGTTGCTATTGTATTGCAAATGTCCTTTGACAAAGGATTGGGTTTCTGCCTCTGGCCCATTAACAAAGGGTGGCGGGCAGGAAGGTGGGAGCTGCTTTGTCTGTAAAATATGCTTCTCCATTTCTCATCCAGGGAAATATAATATTCTGCCTTTTTCATATTTCCTAAAATATTTCACTCTTCCAGGAAAGGGGTGGGTGCTAACTTCCTACACTCCTACACTTCCTACACTTTATTAGGAGATTCATGTCAGCATGTTAAAAGTGAAGCCAACTCTGGCCCCACGTAATTTATGCCGCAATCATGACTCTGTTTCCCCCTTCTCCACAGAGTGTGTCATCAATCACACTCGCCAACGGAGCAATTTTGCAGGTTGTAGAGATCTCTCCCCTCCAGCTGCGCTGGTTAACTTTGGGAGACAGCCTTGAGAGAGATATGTCTGAAATGTGCTTCTGGTTTTGGCTACCATGCTCCGTTGGTTTCCCATCCCCCTTGCCTATGGCAACTGGAGAGCAGGCCAGGGATGCTTTGCGACTTGACACCTGACCTCAATACCGGGGAAGATTCTGGAAAAGATAATCAAGCACCAAATCAGTTAACACCTAGAAGCAAACAGAGTAATAACCAAAAGCCAACATGGGTTTGTCAAAAACAGATCATGCCAGACTAATCTTATTGCATTTTTTGACAAAGTGACAAAATTGGTGGACCAGAGAAATGCCGTCCATATAATTTACTTGGACTTCAGTAAGACATTTGATAAAGTAGACCATAACCTACCACTAGATAAAGATCTTGGAGTCCTAGTGGACAACCATTGAAATATGAGACAGCCGTGTGCAGCAGCTGCCAAAAAAGCCAACATAGTTCTAGGCTGCTTAAACAGAGGGATAGAATCAAGATCACGTGAAGTGTTAATACCACTTTATAATGCCTTGGTAAGGCCACACTTGGAACACTGCATCCAGTTTTGGTCGCCTCAATGTAAAAAAGACTCTAGAAAGAGTGCAGAGAAGAGCAACAAAGATGATTAGGGGATTGGAGGCTAAAACATATGAAGAATGGTTGCAGGAACTGGGTATGTCTAGTATGCAATGCTCTCTACATGGGGCTCCCCTTGAGGAGCACTCGGAGGCTCCAACTGGTGCAGAATGCGGCCGCGCGGGTACTTATGGGGGCGACATGGCGCTCCCACGTGACACCTCTCCTGCGCAAGCTGCATTGGCTTCCAGTGGTCTTCCGGGTGCGCTTCAAGGTATTGGTTCTCATCTTCAAAGTGCTCCATGGCTTAGGCCCGGTTATTTACGAGACCACCTTCTGCCACCGATAGCCTCCCACCGGCCAATACACTCCCACAGAGAGGGCCTCCTTAGGGTGCCGTCGGTCAGGCAATGTCGGCTGGCGACCCCCCCAGGGAAGAGCCTTCTCTGTGGGGGCACCCACCCTCTGGAATGAGCTACCCCCAGGGATACGACTGATCCCGGACCTCCGGACAGGGCCGGATTTTCCTATAGGCTAACTAGGCTTCAGCCTAGGGCCTCAAGATCAAGAGGGGCCTACACAGTGGTGGGATTCTGGGGGTTCTAGGGGATTCGGCCGAACCCTTTGTTAAATTGCTGGCTTGCCCCGCCCCTCCGCACCACTATTTATTGCCAATAAATAGTGGTGGGCGAGGGGCGGGGGAGCCAGCAATTTAACAAAGGGTTCGGTGTTTTTTTTGTAATTTTATTGGCCCCCGGAGCTTCAGCATAGGCTAATTGGCCTCCCGGCTCTCAGCTGATTTGTCTCAGCTGTTTTGCTCAGGGCTCTTCTGCTTCCTTGCAAAGAGTGCTGATTTTTTTCCCCCTAGCATTGCTGAGAAACGAAACTGAAACTGCTTTGCTGTTGCTTCAAGGTTGGAAAATTAGGCAGGCAGAATTCTTTTCTTTTTCCTCACCAAAAAAGGTAGGTGCAAACAATGGGAAATTTAGGGAAGAGGAGACTTCAGGATTTTAAAACACAAAAGAAAAAAAGCTCTATTTAACTAGGGAATTGTAATAATTGAGATACTATTAATTGTATATTTCTGAAAGCAGAAATGGTTAAGTTGTGGTTTGGAGGAATATATGGGGGAAATTATTTGGTTTATTATTATTGGTAAATATAATTAATGGATTTGTAAGAAATTGGATTGCATGGAAATAATTGGAATATTCATGTGCATATTGATTAATATACAAAAAAGGTAGTTATATAACTAATTGATTTATATTAAAATGTTGAATTTATATTAAACAACTAATATTACATAATTAACCAATGTGAGGATGGATATAAAAATAGATGACAATGGGAAGGGGTATAATATAGAATAGAAGGGAAAAATTGAATTTGATTAAGATTAGAGATGAGGATGAAGGGTAATATTGGTTTTTTACAAAAATTGATGAGGAATAAATATGGCAAAAAGGAAATATAGAAATTGTAAATTTAATTGAAATGACTAAACACTCTTAAAATTTGTGAACCGGCCAAATACTCTGTTCAAAGAAAATACATTGTATGTTTGTATGTGTGTTTCTAATTATTGCTATTTATTCATATTTGTTCTCTTTTATTCTTTAAAGTTTAACAGTTCATTCTTTATCTTAATATCTTTATATTTGCTTGGGGTTGGCTTTCTTCCCTTTCATCTTTTTTATTGTACAGCAATCTTTCTCCTCAAACCTACCACCTCTCTCTTTTCTTTTCTTCTTACTTTCTCTTCCTCCCCCTCTTCTTCTCCTCCCTACTTCCTCTTCCTTTCTCCTTCTCCTCCTCTCTTCCTCCCTCTCTTACCCTCACTCCTACTCTAATTTCCCTTCCCTTCCTTCATCCCTCTCTATTGCTGTATCCTTTTATGCATATGGACTACTCAGAGGGCTGAAAAAGTTATTTGACTGGTCCTCGCACTTTTGACCAGTCCTCGAACTTACGACTGTCCTCACATTTTACGTTTTTGCCCTATCTTGTCACCATGGTGAAGAGAAGCAGTTGTGAAATGAGTGACATGGTTGTTAAGAAAGCTGCACGGTCATAAATGTGAGGATGGTCATAAGTGTGAGGACCGGTCAAAAGTGCGAGACCCAGTCAGAAATGACTTTTTTCAGCCCTCTGGGTAGTCCTTTTGTGCATATGGACTACTAAGAGGGCTGAAAAAGTTATTTTTGACTGGTCCTCGCACTTTTGACCAGTCCTCGAACTTACGACTGTCCTCACATTTTACGTTTTTGCCCTATCTTGTCACCATGGTGAAGAGAAGCAGTTGTGAAATGAGTGACATGGTTGTTAAGAAAGCTGCATGGGCATAAATGTGAGGATGGTCATAAGTGTGAGGACCGGTCAAAAGTGTGAGGCCCAGTCAGAAATGACTTTTTTCAGCCCTCTGAAAAAAGTCTATGCACATAGTCACGCCCACCCGGTCACATGACGAGCTACCCACGCCTACACAGTCACGTGACTAGCTAGCCACACCCAGCAGTCACATGATTGCCAAGCCACACCCCCAACTAAGCCACGCCCACAGAACCTGTTGTTAAAAAAATTGAATCCCACCACTGGTGAAAGGGCCTCATAAGTGGAATAGCCTAGGGCCTCTTTCAATCTAAATCCGGCCCTGCCTCCGGACCTTCCGCCGGGCCCTGAAGACTTCTTTATTTCAGCAAGCCGGGCTGGGTTAAAAAAAAAAAAATTAATTGATGAATTTTATGGGTAAGGGGTTTTTTTAATTGGGGGAAGCCAAAGATAAATTTAATTTTGTTTTATACTATTTTAATGTTTATATTGCATGTTTTTTAATTTTGGCTGTTCACCACCCCGAGTCCTTCGGGAGAGGGGGCGGTATAAAAATTTAATAAATAAATAAATGAATGAATGAATGAATGAATGAATGAATGAAAAGAAAGACTAGGGGAGACATGATAGCAGTGTTCCAATATCTCAGGGGCTGCCACAAAGAAGAGGGAGTCAAGCTATTCTCCAAAGCACCTGAGGGTAGGACAAGAAGCAATGGGTGGAAACTAATCAGGGAAAGAAGCAACTTAGAACTAAGGAGAAATCTCCTGACAGCACAATTAATCAGTGGAACAACTTGCCTCCAGAAGTTGTGAATGCTCCAACACTGGAGGTTTTTAAGAAGACGTCGGATAACGATTTGTCTGAAGTGGTATAGGATTCCCTGCCTAAGCAGGGGGTTGGACTAGAAGACCTCCAAGGTCCCTTCCAACTCTGTTATCCTATTCTATTCTATCCTCCTTGAATGGGGGAAGATTTTGATAAACACACTCCTCAAACAGGTATGTGTATCTACATGGACACATGCATGTTTACATAAGTCCATATCTGTGTTTCTCAACCTTGACAACTTTTAAGCTGCATGGATTTCCACTCCCACAATTCCCCAGCCAGCATGAATTCTGGGAGCTGAACCCCCCCCCCCCATCTTAAAAGATGACCATTCCCAATCAACACCCAGGACATCCAGTATGGCCTAGTCTTAAGGCCCTGCATTAGAAAGCCTGAGGCCATGGGTTCCAGTCCCGCCTTGGCCATGAAAGCCAGCTGGGCCAGTCACTCTCTTGTTGTGAGGTAAATTAGGTAATGGAAGATGTGTGGGATATGTTACTGTAAAAATAATAAAAGGTGGATATCAATCAATAAAAATAAAAATAAAAAATCATTTCCATTTTGCAGTGGCTTGGCTGGCTTGTTTCCCTCTTGTATTGTGTCGCCTCCATGGGAAGAAGAATGAGATCTGGGTTCCTCCCCCAAACATTCCTCTTTCCTGTCTTGGGGGTCTCTGGGGATTAGGAAATCCTGCTTCCAGCCTACAGAGAGGGACACTCTTCCCATGGGCAGAGGAACCCTCCACACCAACGCCCATCAAAGGAACAGGGGAGGTTTCGGAGCACGTGGTCCTGGCTGGGAGCGGAGATTAGAGAGGAGGGGAAAGAAGGGGTGGCAGGAAAGAAGAGGTACGGCTTCAAGACGGGCAGAGCCAAGGAGGAGAGCAGAAGCCCTCCCGCCCAGCCTCTCCCCTCCCACTATCTGGATCTCCGCTTCTCTCTGTGAGTCCCATTTTTTCCTTGGAGGATCTCTGCGGGATCACTTGGGGCTCTCCCTCCTCCCAGATCTTTTCCCCTCCGGCAGAATGCTTGGGTTTGGGGACAAAAGTAGCTTTGACTTAGATACATAGTGGTTCAGAGCACTCTCTGAGCACTTCACAGATGTCAGCATCTTGCTTCAACAATTTTGTGATTTTCTGTGTTTCTCGAAAGGTCATAATGTTCTCATTTTCTTTCTTGTTCCACCAGCAGGAAAACAACTGTGACCAAAGATTTACTTTCAAGTTACCCATAACTCTGAATAATGACTGAACCAAATGCTTACTCTGAAAAAATAAACAGAGTGAACACAAGAGCCTTCACCAGGGAAATGGCTGCACAACTGACACCCAAAGGTGCCACAACAAGAGCCACATCAACTGAGAATGAGCAGGATAGAGGAGATGAACTAAGACTGTCCATACTGAGGTTAATAGAGGCGTCCGCCAGCGAAGAATGTCTTATCGCTAACCTCCAAAACCTTGTAAGCCAAGGAACAACTATCGAAGCCCCAGCGATGATTCAAGAAATCACCACTTCAGTAAAGGATAGGCTACCTCAATCGGACGACCCAGAGCAAGCCGAATCCGTTCCCGCGCTTTTTCTCCGGCGGCCATCTTGGAATGGCCAACAACCAATAGAAAGCCGGAATTCAAACTTAACGACGCGAATCACCCAGAACCCTAAAACAAACAGGGGACACCCTGAAAACAACTATGAAAAACAAATACAAGGCAACAGGAGCTCGCCTACTGAGTTCGAGATAGAAAAAGCCATCGAGACTCTAGTGGCAGCCTTCGGCTCCGCGTTCAAGCCTCCCGCGCAAATCACAAACTACAAAAGGAACCCCGAAAGCCAAAAACACACCAGAATGACTGCCGGCAACGAAACACCGACCCCATCACTACCTAGAGAAGAGATACACTACCGCGAAGAGAAAAAAACACCGACCGCCTACAAATCAACTACGCGGCAGGACTCGAACTCACCACCCCTACTACTGCCGGACCGAGACCCAAGAAAAGAAAACCAAATCAGCAACTCACCCATTCTACGACCTCCACCGGGCTTCTCTGCCCATCCAGGGGCCAGCATCCGTGGACCGGGATTTGCCGCCGCCGCAGAAACACTGAGCTCCGATGGTCCTCATTCAACAACCGCCATGCCGCCACGCCTTCTGCCGATCTTCACCGGGGATCCAGCCGCCCAGCAGCAACTCCCCGCGTCCAGCGTGGAGTCCAGGTGTGCAAGGGGTGAATCCAACATCCCATTGACAGGCCTACGCCTAGGCCTGGGAGCCGCGGCCGCGAGCTCCTCACCCGACGACTTCCAGCGCGAAATGAGCTTCGCGCATGCTCAGTCCTCACCTGCAAAGAGAGAAGAAAAAAAAATGACTGACAGGGTTTTTTGCATTCACTTAAGCATCCCATTGCCCTACCGTGAATTCACTCACATTCTAGGCCATGGACAGCTACCCTCAGAAAGTAATTATTCTAACAATTTTGGAACACTACCTATTAATTTCCCAAAATTACAAATAGATGGAGAAAACCTTTTAGAATGGAGCCAGCAGTTACAACTTATTTTTATGAGAGAAAATGTACTTTTCTTAATTTCTGAACCTCCAAAAAAGCCTTGGTCATTTGAGATTGATTGTCTCCACCGCAAGGCATTCTGTCTATTGTTAACTAGTATACCACCCCTTATGTACCCTACCATAGGTAACAACCTAACTGTGTACGAAGTTATGCAAAAAATATACAGTTTATTCTACAGTCAAAGCAGAGCAACCACAACTAGAATATCCAGACAATTTCACTCTGCCAGACTCAGGCCAGGGGTCCCCATGAGCGAACACATATTGAAACTTAACGCTACCCGGGCTGAACTACTGCAAAGGGGGGAGATAATAACTGAAGAGAGCATGATGAGTATTATTATAAATTCATTGGACTCTAGCTGGGACAACTTTGTAACTCAATTAGATAGCCTAACCATGGAACAGATATCCCTGAGCACACTCACAAATCACTTGATTGCGGAAGATAACCTGAGAAGAGACCGCCGTCTATCTAGAAGAGAACCCAGGCCTGTAAAAAGAGTCGAATTGCAAGATAGGATAAGGAATACCCAGGAATGCTTTTCTTGCGGTTCTAGGAACCATTTAAAAAGGAATTGTCCCAGGAACCACAGAAACAAAGGGTACACTGATCGCAGGGAGAGACCTGAGCCCGGAAGGAGGCACCAAGGGGGACGCTCACCAGATAACAGAACGTTTAGGGAAAGAGAGCGTGGGTGTTCTCCCAGCACCAGGAGAAATAATGAACATAGAGACAGTTCACGAGATAGACACACAGAATCAATGTACGGCTTTAAACACGAGGACACAAACACCAGGCAAAGAACCAGGATGGATTTGATTTAAATCGAGTTGATTTAAATCACAATTTAAATCCTGATTTAAATCACTAGTAAAAAGGCTTGATTTAAATCAACTCGATTTAAATCATAATTTTTAAAGAGCAACTGTCATCTCTGCTACTCCTTTGACCCACTGTTGACTCACCGATAGTCCCAGTGTTGCAGAATATGCAGCCTCATGCTACATAACTAAGCTCCATTTCATGCTGAATAAACTAAATTATTTATGTATCTTAAATAGAAAACCATCTTACGATAGATTTTTACCCCAAAAGTTTTTTATTAAAATAAATTCGATAAAAATAAAAAAAAATCCAATTTAAATCAAAAAAATCCAATTTAAATAAAAAAAATCTGATTTTTTTTTTCACCCTGCAAAGAACATACGAGAACATGTGGCTCCTAGACTCAGGAGCCACTAACCATACCACACATGACCCAAGATTATTCACCACTCTTACAGAGACAGATTTTGAGATCAGAGTAGCCAACCAAAGCAGGGCTAAAGTAATAGATAAAGGAAGCATACATATCCCAGGAATAGAAGAAATAGAGGGGGTATTACATGTGCCAGAGATTCCATACAACGTGCTGGCAACCACAAAGCTCACACAAGACACAAACACCGAAGTGATATTTAAGGAACGCAGAGTATATATATCCATCAGGGGGAAAACATTGGGGAAGTAATCATACACGACGGGCTACCTTACTTTACGCCCAAAGAAAATAAGGAGGGAAGCGTTAACATAAACGCTGTTGATGAGGCAGAAGGAAACAGAAAAACAGAGGGAACAACCAACTGTAATTTACCAAGTAAAAGTAAAATATCTGTAGGCAAACCCTTACACAACAATTGTGCTCGCCTTCTCCATAGAAAACTAGGGCATATCAGTTTCCCAGTTGTCAAGAAAATGTTGGAATGCGCTGAGGGTTTAAAAGTAAAAAGTTGTGAAAATTACTTGGAGTGTTCTGTGTGTAAGTGTTCTAAAATTAAGGTCAAAGCGAGACCAAAAAAATCAGGGCGAACTACTGACTCTATATTCCAACTGGTGCACATGGTAGGACCACTGAGACCATCCATTAGATAGAAAGATTCTTCCTAACCATTGTGGATGATTACAGTCGATATGGTTGTTTTTTTCCCCCCCCCCCAATCTTTTATTGAATAGCCCGAAGGCCTTTTCAAGATAAAACAAACAGTTACAGAAATAACAGTCTAAAAATATATGGTATATGACATTTAAAATTTAACATCAAATTTCAATACCTAAATTTCCAAAACTAGATAACCCAAATAAGATAGCTCCTCTCTAACTCAGCTCATCTTTCTTACAATCAATGAAATTCTTTTCGATATAACTGGCTCGTATTGCTGTCATCCTTGGTAGTACAGTGGTTTAATGCACCCTGTTATTAACACAGCTGCCTGCAATTTCTGCAGGTTCGAATCTTACCAGGCTCAAGGTTGACTCAGCCTTCCATCCTTTCTAAGGTAGGTTAAATGAGGACCCAGTTTGTGGGGGCAATAAGCTGACTTTGTATAAATATACAAAAGAATGAAGGCTATTGCTTAACGCATTGTAAGCCACCCTGAGTCTCCGGAGAAGGGCGGCATATAAATCAAATTAAAATAAAAAAATAAAATAAAAATAAATCCTTTTAAGATAGCGAGTGATAGCCCTTACCAGGGGAGGAGAGTCTGCCTTCAATAGAAATGATAGTTTATGCCTGACATTCCAATGGGGAAATTTATTTATAATTGGGGACAGATATTGTTTTCTTACTTCCTCATACAACCTACATTCAAATATTATATGCGCCATATCCTCCACGTTTGCCCCACATATACATGTTCTTTCGTCATACGGGATTTTCTGGTAACGGCCGAATTTAACGTTGGTATCTAAAAGTTCAAATCTAAACTTGACAAATAGCTCTCTCTCCACTGATGGCATTTCTAGATGTAAATATTTTTCCAGGGTGAAAGTTGTTTTCACTGCTATCAGAAGTTTAAGGGAGTGATTAGTTGAGAGAGTTACCATGTCCATTTGCCCATGTGTATCTTTAATCCGTTGTTTAACTTGCTTCAGTGTGTCACACAACGGGAACCCTACGCCATATCGATTCAGTATTTCTGACAGCCGAGTTAGCCAGGAACACCTTTGAGAATTTGAAATCTGTTCCTCTAGGCAGATTTTGGGAAATCTGCTAGCTTCCATCTGAGTCATTTTTAGCCAGTAGGCTACCGCCCTAGTCATTGCGTAGGTGTGCAGTGAAAAATGTCCCAATTCAGCTCTGATGGCTGCCGCCGAAGTGGAATTGTTTACTCCCAGCATCCGCCTTAACAAATTATTTTGAGATCTCTCCAATATGGGGGCCTCTGTAAGACCCCAGATTTCGGCACCGTAGAGCATAATCGGAACAAGTTTAGCCTGAAAGACTTTACGAATTGGTAAAATCGAAGTTGGTTGGATACGTTTACTTAATTTGGATACAAGCCTTGCCCCAGCTCCGACCTTTTGAGAATGGGATGATGGTTTGGGGGGAAGCGGAGGAAGAGGAGGCGAAGCTGCACTTGGGCGACCATCCAGCTCCGGGTGTGGAGGAGGCGATGGTGGTAGAGACCCCCCCCCAAAAACACCTGCAGGGATCCATAGGATGGGAAAGGCAGAGAGGGATGGAGGGATTTGGGAGCAGCCACCTAGATCCACTTCCAGGATCTTTGGATCCACCTGAAGGGATCCCTCGGGATTTCCCTCCCGGCCCTCTTCTCCAGCCTCGGCAAACGCCACGATCCCAGACTCTTGGGGGGGCCACCGCGGAGCTTCAGTTCCCCTCCGCGATGCTTGGGCAGGAGGCAGCCCCGCCCGGGCATTCCAAGGGCACTCTTCGCATGGGCAGAGGCACTCCGGATGCCGATGTCCAGGGGATACTCGGCTGGGAGGGGGAGGAGCAGTTTCATGGGTTGATTGCTCTCCCTGTCAGAAAACTTCTCCTTATTTCCAGGTTGAATCTCTCCTTGATCTGTTTCCATCCATTATTCCTTGTCTGACCTTCAGGTGCTTTGGAAAATAGCTTGACCCCATTCCTGTCTGTGGCAGCCCCTGAAATATTGGAAGACTGCTACCATGTCTCCCCTGGTCCTTCTCTTCACTAGACTAGCCGTGCCCAGTTCCTGCAACTGTTCATCCTATGTTTTAGCTTCCAGTCCCCTAATCATCCTGGTTACTCTTCTCTGCACTTTTTCTAGTCTCAACATCTTTTTTCATAGTGTGGTGACCAAAACTGGATGTAGTACTCTAGGTGTGGTCTTGCTAAGTCTTTATAGAGTGAGTGATCTTGATTGTATCCCTTTGTTAATGCAACTTAGGGTTGCATTGGCTTTTTTTGGCTGCCACCGCACACTGTTGGCTCATATTTAATTGGTTGTCCACTAAGACTCCAAGATCCCACTCAGAGTTACTGCTATTAAACCTGGTTTCACCCAGTCTATACTGTGCTTTTGGTTTTTCTTGCCTAAGTGTAAGACTTTACTTTTCGCTACACTGAATTTCATTTTGTTAGATGCGGCCCAGGGTTCAAGTCTGTCAAGATCCATCTGGATCTTGAGCCTATCATCTAGGGCAGAGGTGGCCTGCAGAGCCCTCTCATGCCTGGGGGTGGAGTTCCCATCAGAGCTGCTCTTCCTCTGGGTCAGGATTCCCCCCCTCCCTCTTGTCCAAGTCCAGAAACGCCAGGAGCCTTAAAATATGTCCTGGAGAAGGGTGGATAGGGGGGGGGGGTCCTTGATGGTCTCTGAGCTTCAGTGTTTCCCCTCAGACGTCTCATTGCCAAACTAGGTAACGTCATCAGGGCAGCAACCAACCACCAACCTCAGGGAACCCCAAGGACCCTTCAACTCTTAAGGGGGGTGGGAGCTTTTTGCACAACTCTTCAGGTTTCAGCTCAAAGACACAGACACACAATCACAAAAACACACAAAGGTTTTTGGAGCACGTGGTCCAAGCGGGAGGGGGGGAAGGCGAAGAGGCGGTGAAGGGGGTGGGGCTTCAAGGAGTAGGCGGAGCCCGAGAGGAAGTCAGAAGCCCCGCCCCCCCAGCCTCTCCCCTCCCACTGGCTGGATCTCCGCTTCCCTTTGCCCGGCGAGGATCGTCGCTGGATCCCTCGGGAGACGCTCCTGGGTCCCGCTCGGTGCAGGTTGGGCTGCCTCTCCCTCCAGCCTGAAGATCTGCCCGCCCGGATCCCTCTCTTCGCCTCGCAGGGTTTTCTTCGGGGAGATCCGTCTCTGGCGTTGCCTGCAGGGAGCGGATCCCTCCCTTCCCTCCAGGGGGGCAAAGGGGGCTCCTTCCCCGGACTGGATCTGCCCCCTCCTCGCCCAGCCAAGGCTCCCCGAAGGGATCGGGAAGGAGCTTTTTGGTAAGTTCCATCAGAAGGTTCTCTGATCCCGCAGACCACGAGGTCTCTGAGCATGCGCATCCCGCGAGTTCATTTGGGGAAAAAAAAAATTAAATTGTGCTTTAAAACATTTACTGAGATTTGTGATGTGTTATTAAGACCCTCTGACGTCTTTGCAACGGGGAGGTTTCGGGGAGGGGAGGAAAGAAGTTTAAATTAGTTGAAAGAAGTTTAAATTAGTTGTTTTCTTAACCCACAAAAGAGACCCTCTTTCTTTGAGCTCTGTCTGAAAGGCCAAAAATAAAATCCATTTTTATGTTAATCTTTTACTTTGCTTCTGCTTTAAAAACAATGGGTAGAATTTCTCAATTTTGTGTTTTCCTTGTTTTGCCCAGAAGAGGCTGTGATGGGGCAGCTCCTTCTTGGTGGATGTTTTTCAAAGGACAAAGGAAGTTTTGAGGGTGGTCTTGTGAGGAGCTGCTAGAAGAAGCTGATGGCCAGATTGCTGCCTTTCCTAACTGGAAATAAATTTTGAGACACCTAACTGGAATCTTTGTGGCTTTGCAGCCTCCAAAAAGAGCAGCCCTTTTCACACATGCTCTACCCCATCTGCTCTCTCCCAACTTCCACTGGGTTTTCCTAGGCACAACTATGCTTTGGTCCCTGTTGGACTTCAGCTGCTGGTTTCTTCCATTTTGCCTAATTTAGATATTTTTGAATTACGATTCAATCTTCATTATTTTGTATCCTCATCCAATAATCCCATTTTCTCCTCCCTCTTCCAGATCATTTACAGATTATGTTCAACATCACTGTTGGCATCTGAGCCTTTTTCATTTCTCTTTGCAGGAGGCCAGTGAGGACGTGGCTGTGAACTTCACAGAGGAGAAAGAGACGTTCTTGGATTGGGATCCACCAACCTTTGGCCAGGACTCCATTCCAGAGAATTTGGAAATTGTTGCCTGGGTGGAAAAGCAGCTTCCTGCACAAAGGGCCAATCGGTTAAGGAGAAACCAAATCAGTCAGGAGTGAGGGTCATACCTTGCCTTGACCCAGAGACCTCTTCATTGTAACTTTAAAGGTGAGTAAACAAATCTTGGTTAGATCTTGGTTTTGAGAAGAAGCATCCATTTTTTAAATCTTTATTTGACAAATGAGCAGTGCAGAAAAATTGGCTTTTGCTCCCAAGGTGCTGGGTGAGAGCATAATGTAGTCCCATTGAGGACTATACGTTGAATGCAGCTGGTCAGCCAATTGCGAATCCATCAGGTGGTGATGCTATCTCACATTTTGTTTATGTTGTCGAGAACTAGGTGAAAAAAGTAGAGAACTACTTTGTCACATGCCTCATTGAAGTCCACGTATGCTATGTCCACAGAATTTTAGTTGCTTTAGTCAAACAATGCAGTAAAGTTTTCTGCCGTGGTCTGTTTTTGACAAACCCATGTTGGCTTGTAATAATAGCTTTGTTTGTTTCTAGGCTTTGGCAGATCCATTGCTTGATTATCTTTTCCACGATCTTCCCAGGGACAGATGCCAGGCTGATTGGTCTTTAGCTTCCTAGATCTAATTCCCCCTCCCCTTTTTACTTTATTTTATAAAATATACAAATATACACTAGGAAGCCCCAATCGAGAAGTCATGGTGGGATGGAGCTCATATGGGCAAAAGTGAGAAGAAGCAGGAAAAAGGGATAAGAATCAGAAATAGGTTGTTTACACAAGCCTGAACTCTTTTTCCTTCTTTTTTGCTTCTGCGATGCCTTAGTTTAGTTTAGTTTACTTTAGTTTATTGTCATTGCACCTCATGCAACGAAATGCCATATTCAGCCTTCATTATAACTATAAAAAATAAAAATAAAACACACATCCTTTGCATTAATTTTGCATTAACATTGCACTATACAGTAGAATTCAATCTAGTAACTGCTCTGGGACAGAAGCTGTTTTTCAGCCTATTTGTCCTTGTTTTTATTATCCTGTACCGTCTGCCAGATGGTAATAGTTCAAAAAAAAAGGGGTGCCCAAGATGAGATGGATCTCTAAGAATGTTTTGAACTTTCTTAAGGCAACACTGTACTCCTGATTGTGGTTGTTAAGCGATTTCTCCTGTCGTTAAGCAAACCATGTGACAAACCACATCAGAGTTGATGTGTGGAAAATCTATTCCTTGAAATGAGACAATTGTTGTCCTGCATTTGTGAGTCCCCTCAGAGAGGTGACCTAGAAATCTTTCTAGCATAGAAAAGGTTTTATCCTAAAAGCTTTTCAAAAAACACAAAAGCAGGTCATAGTTGTGGTGAAGAGAGAAAAAAGGTCCCTGGCCTGGGGGTTATTAAACAAAGCTTCTCATCTTTTTAATTTAGATTACATTTAAGTCCCTTTATGGATATTCCTGTCAAGTCTCTTACTGTGATATTTCATTTTTATCCATATATCATGTGACATTAAATATTTTTTCTTGGCTATTTCTATCGATCTGGAAGCAATTACCTTATATTCCATAGAGATATCACTTCAAATAGTCTAAATTTAATGCGATGTTTTTGTAGCTTCAATAAAGGAGACTCACTTTAACTCATCACTTGCCTCTAACTGTGGTTCATTCTCTCCTCCATCCTCCATGAAATGGCATCTCTTCCCCAGCTGAATGGAGCAGAATGTTTTCCTAGCTGTTTTACTTGGGAAGTGGCCTTTTCTCTCTTGATCCCATAGAAATGTTCCTTTGTGACTTAGTTGCTGATGTGCTCAGAAGCTGGGATCTGCCCCACTCCTATTGGCTACTTCAGGGGGCTTCTGGCATCTCCCTGCCCCCCTCCAAGCACAGGGCGGGACCCTCTGTGAGCCCCTTGATCCGGACACCTGGTTCCCCAGACACGCCTGGTACCCGGATAGGAAAAAGGGGTGGTTCTGCCATTTCATACTGCAAATTCCTCCACACACAGGCATACACACACACACACCCCATGTCCATATGCCAGCATTCAGCTCCTCCTGCCAACAAGGGAGGTTCCATTATTTGTGCCCCTTCCTGTGTGGGGCTCTGCCCTTCCTTCCCTTCTCAGTTCAAGTGGGAGAGGCTGAGTTTGGGTCGGTCCCCCCTTGCGCTCATCAGGCACAGCTGAAGGGCAAATAGAGCCATGGAAGTCATCCAGTTGCACCGTTTCAGAGTTACGATGGGCTCCACAAAAGATATTCATAATGTGCAGAGACACACTTAAGGTTGAAAGTCTATAGTTATTTATTCATAATTATTACCAACTATAGAAACCACCCACCTCACAAGTTAGCTTATTTCCCCTGTTGGCAAACATCTGTGCTCTAAGTTGAGGCTCCAGTCTGTTCCAGATCCCAATTGGCTGGCTGAATTGCTATGCCTATTCATTGTCTGACCTTGTTACCATGTCTTCCCAGTCATGAATATTCTGACAGACACTCACCTCGAACAAGTTCTGGTCTTGATTGTGGATTTGAATTCTTACATTTATCTTATCAAAAACAGCACCACAGAAAACAGATTGGGAACACAAGTTAAAATAGGGAAGAAAATGTTAAGTGAACACCTGTCTACCCTAGATGAGTTCAAATCACATTCGCCAATGGAGCAATTTTGCAGGTTGTAGAGATCTCTCCCCTCCAGCTGCGGTGGGTAACTTTGGGAGACAGCCTTGAGAGAGACATGTCTGAAATGTGCTTCTGGTTTTGGCTGCCATGCTCCATCGGTTTCCCATCCCCCTTGCCTATGGCAACTGGAGAGCAGGCCAGGGATGCTTTGCGAGTTGACACCTGACCTCAATACCGGGGAAGGTTCTGGAAAAGATAATCAAGCACCAAATCAGTTAACACCTAGAAGCAAACAAAGTAATAACCAAAAGCCAACATGGATTTGTCAAAAACAGATCATGCCAGACTAATCTTATTGCATTTTTTGACAAAGTGACGAAATTAGTGGACCAGAGAAATGCCGTCCATATAATTTACTTGGACTTCAGTAAGACATTTGATAAAGTAGACCATAACCTACCACTAGATAAAGATCTTGGAGTCCTAGTGGACAACCATTGAAATATGAGACAGCCGTGTGCAGCAGCTGCCCAAAAAGCCAACACAGTTCTAGGCTGCTTAAACAGAGGGATAGAATCAAGATCACCTGAAGTGTTGATGCCACTTTATAATGCCTTGGTAAGGCCACACTTGGAACACGGCATCCAGTTTTGGTCGCCACAATATAAAAAAGATGTTGAGACACTAGAAAGAGTGCAGAGAAGAGCAACAAAGATGATTAGGGGATTGGAGGCTAAAACATATGAAGAATGGTTGCAGGAACAGGGTATGTCTAGTTTAATGAAAAGAAGGACTAAGGGTGACATGATAGCAGTGTTCCAGTATCTGAGGGGCTGACCCAAAGAAGAGGGAGTCAAGCTATTCTCCAAAGCACCTGAAGGTAGGACATGAAGCAATGGGTGGAATCTAATCAAGGAGAGAAGCAACTTAGAACTAAGGAGAAATTTCCTGACAGTTAGAACAATGAATCAGTAGAACAACTTGCCTCCAGAAGTTGTGAATGCTCCAACACTGGAGGTTTTTAAGAAGAGATTAGATAACCATTTGTCTGAAGTGGTGTAGGGTTTCCTGCCTAGGCAGGAAGTTGGACTAGAAGACCTCCAAGGTCCCTTCCAACTCTGTTATTCTATTCTATTCTATCCTCCTTGAATGGGGGAAGATTTTGATAAACACACTCCTCAAACACGTATGTGTGTCTACATGGACACTGATGCATGTTTACATAAGTCCATATCTGTGTTTCTCAAGCTTGACAACTTTTAAGCTGCGTTGATTTCCACTCCCAGAATTCCCCAGCCAGCATGAATTCTGGGAGCTGAAGTCCTCGCCATCTTGAAAGATGACCATTGCCAATCAACACTCAGAACATCCAGTATGGCCTAGTGATTAAGGCCCTGCATTAGAAAGCCTGAGGCCATGGGTTCCAGTCCTGCCTTGGCCATGAAAGCCAGCTGGGAGACCTTGAGCCAGTCACTCTCTCAGCATAACCCACCCCACAGAATTGTTGTGAGGTAAATTAAGTAATGGAAGATGTGTGGGATATGTTATTGTAAAAATAATAAAGGCGGATATCAATCAGGCTCAGGCTCAACCCTTCCAAGACTGAGTGGCTGTGGTTCCCGGCATCCCGATATAGTCAGTTGACTCCATCACTGACTATTGGGGGCGAATCTTTGGCCCCCACAGAGAGGGCTCGCAATCTGGGAGTCCTCCTGGATACACAGCTGTCCTTGGAGGAACATCTGACGGCTGTAACCAGGGGGACCTTTTATCAGGTTCGCCTGATCCGCCAGTTGCGGCCCTTTCTTGATCGGGATTCCCTGTGCACAGTCACTCATGCCCTCGTGACCTCTCGCCTTGATTACTGTAACGCTCTCTACATGGGGCTCCCCTTGAAGAGCACCCGGAGGCTCCAACTGGTCCAGAACGCAGCAGCGCGGGTAGTGACGGGAGCAGCGTGGCGCTCCCATGTAACACCGCTCCTGCGCGAGCTGCACTGGCTCCCAGTGGTCTTCCGGGTGCGCTTCAAGGTGTTGGTTATCACCTTTAAAGCGCTCCATGGCATAGGGCCTAGCTATCTCCGAGACCGCCTGCTGCCACCGACGACCTCCCATCAACCCGTGCGCTCCCACAGAGAGGGCCTCCTCGGGGTGCCATCAGCCAAACAATGCAGGCTGGTGACCCCCAGGGGGAGGGCCTTCTCTGTGGGGGCTCCCACCCTCTGGAATCAGTTGCCCCCTGAGATAAGGAGAATCCATGACCTCAGTGCCTTCCGCCGTGCCCTTAAAACCTTCCTTTTCCAACAAGCCGGGCTGGCCTAATTCTTTTTAAGTGTTTTTAATTGTTTGGTTTATTGTTTTAATTAATGAGGCCAAATTTATATATATTTTTTTAACTGTATTTTAATATTTGTATTTGATGTTTTTATTTGGCTGTTCACCGCCCTGAGTCCTCAGGGAGAAGGGCGGTATACAAATTCAAAATAAATAAATAAATAAAAAAAAAAAATCAATAAAAATAAAAAATCATTTCCATTTTGCAGTGGCTTGGCTGGCTTGTTTCCCTCTTGTATTGTGTCGCCTCCATAGGAAGAAGAATGAGATCTGAGTTCCTCCCCCAAACATTCCTCTTTCCTGTCTTGGGGGTCTCTGGGGATTAGGAAATCCCGCTTCCAGCCTGCAGAGAGGGACACTCTTCCCATGGGCAGAGGAACCCTCCACACCAACGCCCATCAAAGGAACAGGGGAGGTTTCAGAGCATGTGGTCCTGGCTGGGAGGGGAGATTAGAGTGGAGGGGAAAGAAGGGGTGGCGGAAAAGAAGAGGTACGGCTTCAAGACGGGCAGAGCCAAGGAGGAGAGCAGAAGCTCTCCCGCCCAGCCTCTCCCCTCCCACTATCTGGATCTCCGCTTCTCTCTGTGAATCCCACTTTTTCCTTGGAGGATCTCTGCGGGATCACTTGGGGCTCTCCCTCCTCCCAGATCTTTTCCCCTCCGGCAGAATGCTTGGATTTGGGGACAAAAGTAGCTTTGACTTAGATATATAGTGGTTTACAGCACTCTCTGAGCACTTCACAGATGTCAGCATCTTGCCTTCAACAATTTTGTGATTTTCTGTGTTTCTCGAAAGGTCATAATGTTCTCATTTTCTTTCTTGTTCCACCAGCAGGAAAACAACTGTGACCAAAGATTTACCTTCAAGACAACTAATAAGAGATAGTAGAAATTCAGCCCAAGGCAGCAGCCAAGGGAAAGCATGAAGCGTGGGAAACTCTTGGATCCCCCATCAGAGACAAGCAGCCCTCCAAGAACCCCCAAAAGAACCCATGAATGCTCAGAGTGTGGGAAATCCTTTGCTCGCAAGTCCCTCCTTTTGACCCACAGGAAGCTCCATGTGGGAAGTGGATCCAGTGAAGGTTTGGAGGGTGAGAAATCTTTCTCTGGGAAAAACTCCAAAGATCTCAGAAGCTCCCCTAGACAAAAACCCTATAAATGTGAGGAATGTGACTTATGCTTTGGTCAAAAGTCAGGACTTCTTACACATCAGAAAATCCACACTGGAGAGAAACCTTATCAATGTCTGGAATGTGGGAAATTTTTCCGTAGAAAGGGCACTCTCAGAATCCACGAGAGAATTCACACAGGGGAGAAACCTTACAAATGTTGGGAATGTGGGAAGAGATTTCCTCAGAATGCACATCTTTGGTCCCATGAGAAGACTCATGTTGGAATAAAATCTTACAAATGCTTTGAGTGTGGAAAATCTTTCACCCTGAGTTCAGGTCTTCGGAATCATGAGAAAACACACAGAGGGGAGAAAAACAAAAAGTGCCTCGAATGTGGGAAATATTTTACCTCAAAATCAACCTTGGTGCAACATCAGAGACGTCACACCGGAGAGAGACCCTATGAATGCCCAGAATGTGAGAAACGATTTATGTATTCTTATGAACTTCAGAGACACCAGAAGTGGCACAAAGGGGACCTACCCCATAAATGTGGGGAATGTGGGAAAAGTTTTATTTCGCCAGCCCATGTTCAGATTCATCAGAGAATCCACACAGGGGAGAAGCCATTCCAATGTGGGGAGTGTGGGAAATGCTTTTCCCAAAAACAACACCTTGGCCGCCATCAAAGGTTCCACACAGGAGAGAAGCCATACAGATGCGTAGAATGTGGAAAATGCTTTATAGACAAGCGAGGCCTTTCGATGCATCATAAAACCCACACAGGGGAGAAGCCACATCAATGCAATGACTGTGGAAGATTTTTTTGTACCTCATCAGCCCTTAGAAGTCATGTGAAAATTCACACAGGGGAAAAAAACTACAAATGTTTAGACTGTGGGAGAGCATTTTCCCATTCATGTTCCCTTATAAGTCACAGCCGAATCCATATAGGAGAGAAGCCCCATAAATGCTCAGAGTGCGATAAATGTTTTTCACGGAAAGATACTCTTGTGATGCATCAGCGAATCCACACTGGAGAGAAACCATATAAATGTCTGGAGTGTGGGAAATGTTTTGCCCAACCTTCAGCACTTCGAATGCACACCCGAAATCATGCAGGAGAGTAGCCTTACAAGTGTGCAGAGTGTGAGAAACCTTTTCCATAGTAAATCAAAGCTAAAAAAGGACCAAAAAGTCCACTTTTTTTCAACACATCTTAATGTTTACCAGGAACGTCACACAGTGACAGAAGTGAAATCCTACAATTATTTTGTGTGGGTAAATGTTCCATCTACTGAAGCAAAGGAACCTCAGAGAATACACAATGAGGCAAAAGGGTGTAAATGTTGGGAGTGTGAATTTGTTTTGCTCACAAAGCAGCATTAGGAACTTCCCAGAGTGATTACACAAAAGAGTTACATGTATGTGGGGAGTGTATATAATGTTTTGCAGAGTACAGGAAGTTTTATGACCACAAGTGGAAATGCATTTCCAATTATAAGCCGTAAGGCAAGGTACCCAGATATTTTTGTTATATTTTTTACTAGCCCTTTGTTGATCAATAAGGAGAACTGAAGATTTAGAGGAAAAAATGGGGTGAGGTGTAGAAGGAAGATGCAGCTAGCTGTTTATTTAGTAATAAAGTGTAGGTGTTGAATGTGCTTGTGAGGATGAAGCGGGAAAGTTTCTTTTTCCTACTATCTTTTTTGGAGGGATTTTTTCCCCTTTTTTTTCATTGCCTTTTTTATATATTCACACAGAGATATTTGTATTAAGTTTCTTTCTGTGCATATAATCCTGAATAAAAGTATACTGTTCAAAATAATCAAGAGAATGTTCCAGAATAAATCGGAGAAATGTTGGAAATGTCATCAGACCCCAGGATCCTATTACCACATGTGGTGGACATGCGTCGAAGCAAGGAGATATTGGATTAAGATACACACGTGGTTGGAAAAAATGATAAAGAGACATATTGACTTTAAACCAGAGATATTTTTATTAGGGATCATACCGGAGACATACAATCAAGAACTGCAATATTTAATTGTGAATCTTTTGACAGCAGCCAGAATTATATTTGCTAAAAACTGGAAAGGAGAAAAGATACCTAATGCTGAAGAAATTATTAAGAAAATGATGGAATGTGCTGAAATGAGTAAATTGACATTTGAAATGAGAGAGCAGGAAGATGGACAGTATTATTTGATATGGGATTTATTTTACCAATGGATGGAGAATAAGATTTGGAGATAGTTATGAAACGAATGGTTGTTGAAATAAATTAGGCGAAAAAACCTTTATGGAAATAAGCTGGGATGCTTAGTGAGGAGGAGCACAAAAAATGTCATCAATCGACACACTGTCTGTAATTGTTTGGAATGATAATATTTTTATGTTTTGTTTTGTTTAAAAAAAAAATCTAAAAGAAAAAAAGAAATGGGCTGTGGGGAGGAGGAGGAATAACCCATCAGGGATTCCAGGGCCCATAGTTCCCAGCGGCTTCTTGGAGGAGGGAGCCACACTTCTCAGAGGAGGGGTGGGAAACATGAGGCAAAAGGCTACCTGACGCTCCCCCTAGAGGAGAGATGGGGAATTGTTGGTCCCAGCAGGATCCACCCTTGGTGGGGGGCCTGGAGGGGGGTGGAAAATGGAGGGGGAGGCGCTTCCTGATGGACCTCCTCCATCTTCCCAGGGTGGAAAAAGGCAAGCAGACACAACTGGTCCAACAGCCCGCCTAACGCTCTGTAGGGAAACTTGGATCCCAGTGGGTCCTTTGGGGGGCCTCTGGGGAGGGGGTCACAATAAGGATACCTACACCCATACTCCCGGGCTCTCCCAGCCCTTTAACCCCCATCAACTTGGAATGGATTTCTAGAGATAAGTTCCTAAATTAAGGAGCCAGGTATTTCTCTTAATTTTTAGTAGACTGTTGTTGATCAATGAGAAGTGAGAATTTAGAGATGGGAAAATGGGGTGAAGGGTGGAATGAATCTGGTGGTTTATTTAGTGATAAAGTTTTGATGTTGAATCTGCTGGTTGAGGATGAAGAGGGAAAGGGGGTTTTTTTTTTCCCGTTTTTTCCTTGTCTTTTTCATATATTCACACAGAGATATTTGTATTAATTTTCTTTCTGTGCATATAATTCTTAATAAAAGTATTTTTTAAAATAATCAAGAGGGCCTTTTTCAGGAGATGGACTGGGTGGCTCAAAACAGACAAGATGGCAGTCAGATTGTGCCACACTGTGCAGCCAAAGTGGGTTGAGGGAGGGGCTCTCGGACCTCCCCTGGATCAGGAAATCGGCTTCTGGGGGCGGAGGAAGAGGAGGAGGAGGAAGGCTGTCGGGGAGTGCAGGGCCCATGATTCCCAGCAGCTACTAGTGGAGTGAGCCACGCTTCTCAGAGGAGGGGTGGGAAACCTGTCCTGATCCCGTTGCGAACCGGTAGTAAAGATAAGTAGAAGCCACCCCTGCAATAAGGATACCTATACCCATACTCCTGGGCTCTCCCAGCCCTTCAACCGCCACCTGCCCTGGATACTCTGAAGTTTTCTTCTCCCCACCAATCTTCAGCCCCACTTTCTTTGAACAATTTTTAAGGCCTCTTTCCTGTCCCCCCACAAATAGACCCCCTTGTAGCGCCCCCCCCCAACATCATCTGAAAAGGAGGGGTCCCATCAGCCTTTGCTAAAAGGAGAGTTTGGAACTCAGACCCCCCCCCCTCCAGTAGAAGCAGAGAGGGTGAGAGAGGGGAAGAATTTCAGTCGGCGGGGGTGGGGGGTTTGCAGCTTCAGGGGGGAGTTCAGGGGGCTGCTTCATGCCACGACCGGAGGGCAGTGTGGATTTTCCTTTGTGGTCCTGCCCCCACTGGAATCTCTCTGATTGGAGGGGTGGACTAGATGCCCCCTTAAGGTCTTTTAAGGCCCCCTTAAGTCCAGGCTGGGTCTGCCAATATTTCAAAAGATTAAAGTGGAGCCGGGGGTCTCTATGAAGAGCCTCCATCCTCCAGGTCATGGTTGTCCCTAAGATACTTTTCCAAAAGGAAACTGAACTTTCTTAGTTTTTTCCCTGTGAAAACATTTCCCTTTTCATCCCAGGAGCTTCTTCAGTTCTGACTGAGCGGTGGAGGATGGAAGGATTGATATTCCTTGCAGTCATTTGGTGCTGAATCAGGGTGCAAAGGGGTGTGGGGCCTTCCTGGGGCTGCGGAAAGGACCCTGTTGTAGACAGGAGGAGGGGGGTCTACCTACCTCTGTTGTGGGAGGGATGCTCATTTTGTCAAAGATGGCCGCTTTGGCCTCTCTTTCCATCCAGGACTCCTCTCTGTCCGGAAGGTGGACGTGGCTGTCCTTGAAAGAGCCACACATGTCATTTTAGACGCAGATGACATCACCTCCTGATGGGTTTGTCCTTTGTGACACGATACAAATCCTTCCTTTCTCCCCCTCCCAGTCAGTCAGAACTGAAGAAGCTTCTTAGATGAGGAGGGAGATGTTTTCAAGGGAAAAAAGTACCCAAGAATGTCCAGTTTGCCTTTTTTGGGGGGGGGGGAGGAAATGCAACTTTTGGAAGTGAAGCCAGAGTTTTGGGGCTCCTTCTGACTCAGTCTGAGGGGAGGAAGCCCCCAGCAGGGTTGGGTCCATAGCCTTTTTTAGAAATTAGCCAAGGTGGGAGAGAGGCAGAGAGAGCCTACATTTGCTGCCCTGGTTAAATTCACAAGTTCCCGTCCGAGCAGCAGCTCCTGGAGAGATGAAACGTTCTCCCTCCCCAAGAGCCCAGAGCGAAGGAGCCCCCAGGAGACGCCCCCCCAAAGACCCCACACAAGAAAGACCCCCCCTTCAGCACCAAGGACGCTGGGCTAGGCCTGTGGGAGAGACCCTTCCTCCAGAAGTTGCTTCCTGATGCAGCACTCCCGGGACCGCAGTTGAGGAATGGGAGGTGAAGGTTCTCCCCTTGGGGAGCCAGCTGGTCCTGGGTTCAAATCCTGATGCTGCCGCTCTCACCTTTCAGCATGGGAGTGTTGGAAGAAACATCCTTCTAGGTTCTGCTCCAAGTGGGGAAACAGACAATGGAAACATGGAGACTGCTTGGAAAGATGGTTTAATGGTGGACAGGATCACATGGCTTGAGTTCCTGAACAGAAAAAAGGGTGATACAGTAAATCTTCGGGTTTTTATGCTCTCTCTGGCTCTGCATTTCTTGGGGCCCAGAAAGAGTTTCCTGATGGGTTGTCAGACTCCCAGGGGGTGGGGGCCTTGCTGGCTGATGGTCACATGTGCTTCCCAGGTCACATGTGGTGAGTTTCTGCTGCTATTGTGTAGAGGGCTAATCCTATGTTTGGCAATTCCTACTATGGCTCTGCCTGAAGGAGGCAGATCTTTGTTATGTAGAGTAGACTGGCCCAGGCCTTAATGGCCCATTGACAAAGGGTGGGGGGCAGGAAGGTGGGAGCTGCTTTGTCTGTAAAATATGCTTCTCATATTTCTCATCCAGGGAAATATAATATTCTGCCTTTTTCATATTTCCTAAAATATTTCACTCTTCCAGGAGAGGGGTGGGTGCTAACTTCCTACAGGAGCCTGCTGTGGCCTGGCTGAGGTCCTGCTTTGAGCAAGGGTCCTGCAGAGACAATTCAGATGATTGGGAGTGGGGGGGCTTCACTGTAGGTGGGGGGGGGGTCTGGGTGTCCTGGGGAGAAGGATTTTTCTTCAAAAGTCACACCTTGCCATTCATTCTGACACACAGTGACAGAAGAGAAATCCTATAATTGTTTGGTGTGGGGGAAATGTTTTTCGTAGTCAAGCAATCTTAAATTACCATTGGAGTGGGCACAATGAGGCAAAAGGGCACAAATATTGGCAGTGTGTGTAGGAAGTTAGCACCCACCCCTTTCCTAGAAGAATGAAATATTTTAGGAAATATTACAAAGGCAGAATATTATGTTTCCCTGGATGAGAAATGGAGAAGCATGTTTTAAAGACGAAGCAGCTCCCACCTTCTTTCCCCCCCCCCCCCTTTGTCAATGGGCCAGAGACAGAAACTCAATCTTTGTCAATGGACCATCATCTGCAACACAGTCTAGCAAAATAGACCCATCTAGCAACAGAAACTCACCACATGGTACCTGGGAAGATTACATCAGCCAGCAAGGCTAGCTAAGACCCCCACCCTCTGGGAGTCTGATAACCAATCAGGATACAGCGCTGGCTGGGGAATTCTGGGAGTTGAAGTCCATCCATCTTCAAGCTTCCAAGGTTGAGAAACATTGGGTTAGAAGGATCTCCCAGGAAAGGATCTTCCCCAGGGCAGGGGTCTCCAACAGAAAAGTCACACTTCCTGGCTCCCACTAGATGGCAAATCGTAACGGTCAGGATCAGGGTTAATTATCAGTTTTATAACGGTTTGTCTCCCCTTCTTCAGCCGCTTGTTGAAACAGAGCAAGGACGCTGCCTGCCACACTCGCCTCAAACAAGTTCTGGTCTTGAACGTGGATTTGGATCCTTTCATTTCTCCTCCTTGAACAGGGGATCATTTTCATAAAAGTTCACACTCCTCAAACACGCATGTGTGTCTACATGGACACTGGTACATGCTGTATTCCCCAGCCGCCATGAATTCTGGGAGGTGAAGTCCACCCATCTTAAAAGATGGCCATTCCCAATCAACACCCAGGACATCTAGTATGGCCTAGTGCCGTGATGGAGAACCAATGGCACGCGTGCCACAGATGGCATGCGGAGCCATATCGGTGGGCATGCGAGTTCAGCTGATTTTTGGGCCTTCTGGACCCACCAGAAGTCTGGAAACACCCTGTTTCCAGCCTCCGGAGGCACTCCGGGGGTGTGGGGAAGGTCGTTTTCACCCTCCCCAGGCTCCTAGAAAGGCTCTGGAGCCTGGGGAGAGCGAAAAGCGGGCCTTCCGGTTCTACCGGAAGTCGGCAAACCAAAAGCAGGGAGAGTATTGGGGGGGTCATCCGCGCAAGTGGGGGGGCAGGGCGCATAGAATTATGGGTCTGGGCATGTGCGCTCATGATCCCCCGCGCTTCCCCTGTTTATGGCACACAATGGCAAAAAGGTTAGCCATCATTGGCCTAGTGGTTAAGGCCCTGCACTAGAAAGCCTGAGGCCATGGGTTCCAGTCCTGCCTTGGCCATGAAAGCCAGCTTGGGTGACCTTGGGCTAGTCACTTTCTCAGCCTAACCCACCTCACAGGGTTGTTGTGAGGAAAATAGGAGGTGGAAAGTGTTATTTTTATTTATTTATTTATTTTATTGGATTTCTATACCGCCCTACTCCCGAAGGACTCAGGGCAGTGAACAGCCACAGAATAAAACACATAAATACAAAAATTTAAAATAGAATAAAAACGAATTCAATAATTTGGCTGAGACAAATTTAAAATACCCAATAATTTAAAAACAAATTAAAATTTACATTTTAAAAGGGGAGAAGATTTAGGCCAGGCCGGCTTGATAAAATAAGAAAGTCTTGAGCGCGCGACGGAAGGTGCGCAGATCCGGGATCCTCCGTATCTCCGGGGGGAGCTCGTTCCAGATCGTAGGTGCCCCCACAGAGAAGGCTCTCCCCCTAGGGGCCGCCAGTCGACATTGTTTGGCCGACGGCACCCAGAGGAGCCCCTCTCTATGGGAGTGTACTGGGAGCGTACTATGGGAGCGTGTGTTCAATGCCTTGAGTTATTTGTAAAAATTATGAAGGTGGATATAAATAAATAAGTTTTTTTTAATTCATTCCTACTTTGCAGTTGCTTGGCTGTATTTATGGGCTTGTTTCCCTGTTGTGTTGCCTCTGGGAATTAGCGTGAGATCTGGGCTGCTCCCCTAAACAACTTTCCTGTCCCATAAGCTCTGGGGATTGGCAAATTCAGGAAAAAAATTCAATTTACTGTGAATTGTAAATTGATACCAGGTTGTATCAATTGAGCCTGACTCCCTGGTCAGAAAATAAATCTTGGGGATTGAGAGCAGTGGTGGGTTCCTCCTGGTTCCACCGAGCTGGTAGCGGTGATGATATGATGTCACCGAACCGGTTCTGCCCCCTGCCCCCCCCGCATTATTCTTACCTTTTATTTGGCCCCACCCCCAATCTATTGCTGCCTCCTGAGTCCCAGCTGCTGGGCTATAAGGAAAAAAACTGTTTAAACTCTTGCCACGGGGCTTCAAAGGACCGCCCTACAGCTGATCAGTGGTAAAAGGCAGTTTGGTGGTAGACCGGTGCCTCCAAAAACAAATGAGTAGACCGGTGCCTGCAAAAATAAATGTGTAGACCAGTGCCTGCAAAAATAAATGGGTAGACCGGTACAGCTCTGCAAGCAGTTAAAAGCCTGATAGACTAGTACCTGTTGTGACTCCGACCCCCGAGCCTGTCTTATCGGAGGGAGAAGGCTCCGAAAGGTTTTTTTTTTTTTTTTTAATTTGATTTATATGCCGCCCTTCTCCGGAGACTCAGGGCGGCTTACAATGTGCTCAGCAATAGCCTTCATCCTTCAGTGAAGGAGAGGAGTTGGCCAGGCCTCCCTCTCCAGGACCCTCCTCTCTGGCAATGCCTCAGGTGTCTCCCGAAGGAGAAGAGATTGGCCAGGAGCCAGGTATCGCCGAGCAGTCGCAGTCAGACAGTGACGGAGATAAGTCTTGGCTGGATCCACACCAGCGTCGGAGAGACAAGTGCACGCAGCAGAAAAGGAGGCATGCCAGAGATTAAGCTGAGTCACTGGACCACACCCCACAGGGGATAAAAGGGAGTGTGGTGGCCATTCAGGCTCTGTGACGGACAAAACTAAACAACTAGCGAGTCGCATTGTATCTCTGAAACTATGTTATCTGCCTGCCTTGGATTTAATACGGACTGGACTTGACAATTCTGTGGCTTTGTGTATTTGTTTTGGTTCTCTGTGAGTAAAGTTCTTGGCAAGCAGCTACTGGGTTGCTGCCAATCCTGTTATCGAAGGAATTTATTGTCTGCAAGTTTTATTTAACTCCTGGCTGACTGTTTGTGTGCGTGTGTGAGACGGGGACAGAACAGTACCTCTGTTAAATACTAAAGAATTGTCACATGACCATCAAGCCATGCCCACAAAATAAGCCACGCCCACAGAACCGGTAGTAAAAAAATTTAGAATCCACCCCTGATTGAGAGCATAAGATTTTCCTTATCCCGCCCCGCCCATATCCTAGAAACACGCCTGTGATAATAAAGTTGGCTTAGCCTTTTATTGGAACGGAGAAAGGAAAACTGCAACGGATGTCAGTGAAGTGTTATTGTGCATAAAATAATAATATTAATAATGTAATGCTGGTCAAAGATAAGAAAGAGTCTTTACGTACATATATATATACAGAAGCATGCGGTGGGGCAGGTTTGTGTGTATACCCACCCACCCACCCACCTGTGGAGAGGGGATTCAGCTGGTTGGTTTGAACTGAATCGCTTTTATCAACTAGACAAGCTCCTCTTCTCAATTCAAGCTAGAATTCCTGGATGCTAAAGTCCGATCTGTCCAAAACGCACCAGGTACAAAAAAGCAAAGCCGACCGCTTTGAATTACGTCGCTGAAATATCGAAAGCAAAGTCACTTGATTGCGTGTCGGCCTTTCCTACCGACAAGGCCTCCGTGGGTGGTTTTTCCTCAGTCGCCTCCAACTTCACCCCGTTCCTCCACCCCCCGCCGCCCTCGAGACAGGCCAAGGGAGCTGTGCGGACGGCCGAAAAATCATCTGGGTTGTAGTCTACGGACATCTCTCTGAACTGGTTCCCTTTCAGGCTGCCCGCTCTCCGGTGGATCAGCTGGTGCTTATACAAGCTGGACGTGTAGCTGAATTTCCGTCCGCAGTCCGGGCAGGCGTAAGGTTTCTCTCCCGTGTGGATCCGGTCGTGCCGTACCAAATCTGCCTTGTCCCGAAAGCCTTTGATGCAGATAAAACACCAGTATTTCTTCTGCCCTCGACGGCTGATGGTTTTCCTGGCCGTTTTGCCTTCCCGGTGAGTGCCGGAGGCAGATTCGGGATACTGATTCATCGATGGCTGCTGTCCCAGGCTGCTGGCAAAGGGGCCAACTCTGTTTTCGGGGAATGTTTGGTTAGGCCAGGCCCAAGAAGGGGTTGCCTCACCCTGGTGGCTATTTTCCTGGTTTCCGTGCCGTTCTTGGTCTCCTGCAATAAGAAAAGAAGTCTAAATATACCAGCCAATGAAAGAGCAGATCCTCAACCCACATAAGCCACTCGGACCATTCAGACAAGCTCATAAAGTAGCTAAGAACGTAGGCTAAATCAGATGAGCAACATCGTGAAGAAATTTCAACAACTGCTACAATCTGAGAACAAGGTAATAATATAGCATATAATACAATGTAAGGAGCCCTGGTGGCCCAGTGGTTAGAATGCAGGCTAAATCTGCCGACTGCCAGCAGTTCGATCCTGACTGGCTCAAGGTTGACTCAGTCTTCCATCCTTCCGAGGTCGGTAAAATGAGGACCCAGATTGTTGGTGGGGCAATATGCTGGCTCTGTAAACTGCTTAGAGAGGGCTGTAAAGCACTGTGAAGCGGTATATCAGTTTAATTGCTATTGCTATTATATTATACTATATTAATATAGTGCTTTCGAACTGCTGGGCTGGTGGGAGCTGGAGCATGTGACAGGAACTCACCCCCCTCCGCAGCGGCAATGGGTCTCGAATGCGAGACTGCTGGTTGTCAGATCAGCATTCTAACCTCATGAGCCACGATGTTCCCAATTAGTATTGTAGTATTATAATAATATATAATTATATTAATATATTAATTATATAATATACAATTATTATAGTATACAGATAATCCTCAATTTACAACAGTTCACTTACAATGGCCCTGAAAAAAGTGACTTATGACCATTTTTCACACGTATGACTGTTGCAGCCTCCCCATGGTCACGTGATTTACATTGGGACTCTTGACAAATCGAGTTTGACATCCCTGCTATAGGGTTTCCAGCCTGAGCAGGGGGTTGGACTAGAAGACCTCCAAGGTCCCATCCAACTCTGTTATTCTGTTCTGCTTCCTTCAAGACAAATCTCTTGGAAGCATCTCTCGCTAAATTTCATGGGAGAAGAGGCGAACCCCGGAGGGTTCTCATCTCTTACGCTTTCATCCATACCTTCGTAGGTTTCACCTTTGAGATGTTTCCTCTTGTGTCGGTTGAGGGCCGGCTTTTGGGTGAAACTTTGCCCACACTCAAGGCAGCTGTAAGGCCTCTCTCCCGTATGGACCGTCTGATGCCGAAGGACCTGAGAAACGTCCCGGAAACTCTTCCCACATGCCAAACATTCTGGACGCTTACGACTACCCATATCAGTCCTCGCGGGTTTCATACTTGGGATGAAACCTGTTTGGAGAAAACGGGAAAAAAAAAACCCCATAAGCGTACAGATAGTCCTCGACTTATGACATGGGTGTCAAACACGAGGCTCGCGGGCCAATCCGGCCCGTGGAGCAGTCCTGGAAAATGCAAGGGGCTGGCCCTTGTTGGTCTACCCAGTACGAAAAGGAAACATCCCAGCAGTTTGGAGAGTAGTGTCAAGCTGGCCACGCCCACCCAGTCGGCCATGCCGAGTGAATGGCGTCAAGCTGGCCACACCCACCCAGTTGGTCACACCCATCCAGTTGGCCATGTCCCTCCCCCAAGGTCAACCACAGCCCTGATGCGGCCCTCAATGAAATTGAGATTGACACCCAATTTACGACCACAACTGAGCCCAAAATTTATGTTTCTAAGCGAGACAGTTGTTAAGTGAGTTTTGCCCCGTTTTACAATCTTTCTTCCCATGGTTGGTAAATGAATCACTGCTGTTGCTAAGTTAGTCACATGGTTGTTAAGGGAATCTGGCTCCCCCGTTGGCTTCGCTTGTCAGAAGGTCACAAAAGGAGATCACAGGCTCCTGAGACACTGCAAGCCGTCGTAAATAGGAACCGTATCGAAGCATTGCGAATTTTGATCACATGACCCTAGGGACGCTGCATATGGTCGCTAAGTGTGAAAAATGGCCATATGTCACTTTTTTCAGTGCTGTTTTAACTTCGAGAACAGTCACTAAACAAATGTTTGTAAGTTGAGGACTATCCGTATATGCATCTATAGATTTACAATAAATTTTAATGTTTTGATTTCAGACAGCCAACCGGATAAGGGGAAACCATTTTGGAAGATATGAGAAGGTTTCAGCAAAAGGTTGGCATAGATAAATTTTTAGATCTTCGCAATTTACATTTTTATGCAATGTTATGAAACTTTTGATAGTCTTTAGATTGTTATTGATGTTGCAGCTCTGGGCATTGGCACAAGTAAAATAATAATAAGTTCATTGTAGGCCAAGATTTCTATAATTGGATTTTAACTTGTGAGCAGTTCAACTCTGAGGAAAAAAAATAATTAAAAAAAATAATTATAACCTGTGAGCCGCCCAGAGACACCTTGTAGGGGAGATGGATGGCATAACCATTTAATAAATAAATAAATAAATTTGCAAGAATTACTTTACAAATTTGAGAGATTTTTTTATTGCCTCATTATGTCTGAGTTCTCTCACACGATATAGGTATGTTTGTGTGTGAGAAGCAGGGAAGAGGAACCTTAATCCTCACAGCAAGGGTAGGTAGAGAGGATCAGTGTATAATAATTACGGTAACAAATAATTACTATGGAAGGGCTACTACCCCCATAACATGCATTGAAAATTATAAAACTTACATATATTATATATATATATATATATATATATATATATATATAATATATATATATATATGTATGTAAGTTTTATAATGCATATGTGTGTGTGTGTGTGTGTGTGTGTGTGTGTGTGTGTGTGTGTGTGTATACACACACACACACACACATATGTATTTTTCTTCAACCGGGTATTTTTCTACATAAACCAAGTTTCTCAAATTGCAGCCATAGCTCATTGAAATCACATCCACTATGATTTCACTACTATGGCTGCAATTTGAGAAACTTGGTTTACGTAGGAAAATACCCGGTTGAAGAAAAATATATACAAAAACCTACGATAAGAAAAGAAAGCAAATATATATATACCAGCCTGAAGATGACGAATGACACTTCGTCGAAACGTCTCCAAAACACTTACAATTTTACGCGGGAGAAAACCCGAATAACTATATATATATATAAAGTGAAGTTATTCTGTAGAACCTTCTCTTAATGTTATGAAGCCATCTCTATTCCCTATTTTTAATGTTTGTAGTTCTGTTTGAGCAATGTGCCTTTATTGTGTCATTGTTGCAATATTGTAAATGTTTTATGTGGGTTCCTACTCTATGTAAGCTGACTGGTTTCTCTGGATCGTAGTTGGAGATGTAGAAAATAAACAAAAATAAAGATGGCTGCCAGCAATCTAGATGATACGATGGCAGTGTGACAAAATCACCATTGCTGCCCAAAGTCACAATTACCACCCAAAATCGTATCCAGTGGCAATTTTTATCTTTTCTCATTCCATCTCCCAGCGTAGAAGATGAACTTGGAGAATGTATTTGGCAATTGTTAGCAAAAATGAGTTTGGTACTGGTAACTACATACAGGTAGTCCTCAATTTATGACCACAATTGAACCCAAAATTCATGTTTGTTAAGTGAGAAATTTGTTAAGTGACTTTTGCCCCATTTTATGACTTTTCTTGCCACATTTCTCAAGTGAACCACTGCAATCGTTAAATTAGTACAGGTAGTCCTCGAGTTACCACCACAATTGAGCCCAAAATTTATGCTAGTAAGTGAAACATTTGTTAAGTGGGTTTGCGCCTTTTACGACTTTTCTTGCCACCATTGTTAAGTGAATCATTGCATCTGTTAAGTTAGTAACACAGTCGTTAAGTGAATGACTTTTTTCAGTGCTGTAACTTTGAATGGTCACTAAACGAACTGTTGTAAATCGAGGACTACCTGTAATATGGTTGTTAAGTGAATCTGGTTTCCTCATTGGCTTTGCTTGTCAGAAGGTCACAAAAGGGGATCACATGACCCTGGGACCCTGAAACCGTCCTAAATATGAATCTGTTGACAAACGTCTGAATTTTGATCATGTGACCAGGGGGATGCTACAACGGTCGTAAGAGTGAAAAACGATCATAAGTCACTTTTTTCAGTGCTGTTGTAACTTTGAACGGTCACTAAATGAACTGCTATAAGTCGAGGACTACCTGTACAGCAGGTGAAAGAAACTCAAGATTGCCCCATCTTGATTCTCTTTGGTGCAGGAGGAAGAAAAGGTGAAAAACACTGTTAAGGCTTTAGATATTCTGTTCGTGTAGCTTAGATCAGGGTTGCTCAACCTTGGCAACTCACTTCACAACCGTCTTGCTTAGCGACAGACATTTCGGGCTCAATCGTGGTCTTAAGTTGAGGACTCCCTGTAATCAATTCAGCCACCTTCCAATATTCCCTATAAAGCAGGGGTGTCAAACTCGATTTCATTGAGGGCCGCATCAGGGTTGTGTTTGACCTTGGTGGGGTCAAACGGATGTGTGATCAGGGTGGGCATGGCCGGTTCAGCTGTCACTCGTGTTGGGGGCACCTCTGGTGGCCCGAGCACTCTGCCAGCGAAAATGGGCTCCCAAGCTCTGTTTTCAGCTGCAACGGCCTCCTGCAACCCTCTGCCAGCGATAACAGAGCTCGGAAGGGCCTCCAGTGTCCCTCCTGAGCTCCACTTTCGCTGGCAGAGGCACCGTGGGTTGGTCCTTCGCTGTTTCCACAGTGGCCCCGTGGGTCAGATCTGAGTTTGACACCCCTATTATACAGCCTTCCTTGTACCTGAGTCACTCTGGCTTTCCAAATGTTTTCTAAGATGCCGGTTAAGTGCTGGTTTCTGGGTGAAACTCTGTCCACATTTGAAGCAGGCGTAGGGTTTCTCTCCCGTGTGGACGGTTTGATGCCGGAGAACGTGCGAAAGATCCCGGAAACTTTTCCCGCATTCTGGACACTCCGGACGCTTCCGACCCGAATGGGAATTCTGGTGATTCTGAAGTTGCAAGGCGTCTTGGAAGCTTTCGCCACATTCGAGGCACCAGTGTCCGTGTTCCTCCAAACGGACCACCGTCTCGTAGACCCCTTCGCTGCAAAGCCTCGCTCCGTCCCCTTTCTGGATCGGCTCCATTGGGTTATTCTGCACCAGCCCGTCCCTGTTATCCATGGATCCTTGTTGCGCCATTAAGGATCCAAACAAAAAAGGAAGCTCAGGATCCCCTGGCTGAGTAACCTCCAAGGGATTCCTGATCATGGCGGGGTCACCTGTTGAAACAGCATAAACATTCAGATCAGTGATGGGTTGCTCCCGGTTCACACCGGTTTGCAAGAACCGGTAGTAAAAATTTCTTTTTTTTTTTTATTTTAAAAAACAAACTTTATTAGATTTAAGAAAAAAATAAAATTGTATAAAACATTCACAACCTTAAAATACAATCAACAATATCAACAAACAACAAAGTATATATAATGTATATAAGTACACATATATACAAAAACTTATTTTCCTTTTTTTCCCTTAATGACGGTGTATAATTATTACTTTTAATTTCTTACTAAATTTTGACTTTACCTTCTTTTCCATTGGTTTATCCACTCATACCAACTGTCCCATATCTTAAAATACTGTGAGTGTTCCTTATCTTTCAATTTCAACGTTAGTCTATCCATTTCTGCACATGTATAAATTTTTTGAATTATTTGCTGCTCCGTTGGCAATTGATCTGTTTTCCAGACTTGTGCTAGGGCTAATCTAGCTGCCGTGATTATATGTAATATTAGGTACTTTTTTTCCTTTCTAATGTTTTGTTTAAGCATTCCTAACAAAAAAAATTCTGGTTCTAACTCAATATCCTCCGCAATTATTTCTGATATCCAAATTTTTATTTTTATCCAATATTTCTTAATTTTGGGGCAAAGCCACCAGACATAAAAATTTCAAGTAGTTTGGAGAACCAGTAATAACATTGGCTGGCCACGCCCCCGAACCGGTCCCCGGCCCAGTCGCCGCTCGCTTACCCCGCCCACCTCATCAGAGGCTTTTTTTTTTTAACTTTTAAAAGCATTTTTTCTACAACCTCTTCGGCTGAAAAAAAATGCTTTTAAAAGTAAAAAAAAAAAGGCTCTGATGATCGTGTGGCTCAGCTGGGATCGTCAGAGGCTTTTAAAAGCATTTTTTCTACAACCTCTTCAGCCGAAGAGGGAAAAAAATGCCTTTAAAAGCCTCTGACGATTCCAGCTGAGTTGCCTGATCGTCAGAGGCTTTTAAAAGCATTTTTTTCTGCAACCTCTTAAGGTTGTAGAAAAAATGCTTTTAAGAGTAAAAATAAATAAATAAATAAAAAGTTGGCCACGCCCACCCAGTCACATTACTCCCCACCAAGCCACGCCCACAAAATAAGCCACGCCCACAGAACCGGTAGTAAAAAAATTTAGAACCCACCCCTGATCCAGATGTTGAGCTTCCTCTAGACCAGGGGTGTCAAACTGGATTTCTTGGAGGGCCGTATCAGCATTGTTGTTGTCCTCCACGGGCTGGCTGAGGTGGTGGGGGGAGGAGACGGGACGAGACGGATGCCCTCCTGCAGCATCCTGCCGGCCAAAACAGGGCATGGGGGGCCGTAGGCAGCCCCCCCCCGTGCCCCATTTTGGCCGGCAGGGTGCTACAGAAACCCGTCAAGGCTGAAAACAGGGCGCACCGGGGCCTGCCATGACCCCCGCGCCAGGGGTGAAATCCAGCAGGTTCTGACAGGTTCTGGAGAACCGGTAACAGAAATTTTGAACAGTTCGGAGAACCGGTAGTGGACATTTTGAGTAGTTTGGAGAACCGGCAAATACCACCTCTGGCTGACCCCAGAATGGGGTGGGAATGGGGATTTTGCAGTATCCTTCCCCCAGGAATGGGGTGGGAATGGGGATTTTGCAGTATCCTTCCCCCAGGAGTGGGGTGGGAATGGGGATTTTGCAGTATCCTTCCCCCAGGAGTGGGGTGGGAATGGGGATTTTGCAGTATCCTTCCCCCAGGAGTGGGGTGGGAATGGAGATTTTGCAGTATCCTTCCTCCAGGAGTGGGGAGGGAATGGGGGATTTTGTAATATCCTTCCCCCAGGAGTGGGGTGGGAATGGGGATTTTGCAGTATCCTTCCCACAGGAGTGGGGTGGGAATGGGGATTTTGCAGTATCCTTCCCCCAGGAGTGGGCTGGGAATGGAGATTTTGCAGTATCTTTCCCCCAGGAGTGGGGTGGGAATGGGGATTTTGCAGTATCCTTCCCCCAGAAGTGTGGTGGGAATGGAGATTTTGCAGTATTCTTCCCTGCCACGCCCACCAAGCCACGCCCACAGAACCAGCAGTAAAAAATTTGGATTTTACCACTGCCCTGCACCCCATTTTTGCTAGCAGAGGCACCAAGGACCAGTTTTTTGTTATTTCCAGGCTGGCCTCATACGTCGGATATAAGTACCTTGATAGTACAGTGGTTTAGTGCACCCTGTTATTAACACAGCTGCCTGCAATTTCTGCTGGTTCGAATCTCTCCAAGGCTCAAGGTTGACTCAGCCTTCCATCCTTTCTAAGGTAGGTGAAATGAGGACCCAGTTTGTGGGGGCAATAAGCTGACTTTGTATTAAAAATATACAAAAGTATGAAGGCTATTGCTTAACGCATTGTAAGCCGCCCTGAGTCTCCGGAGAAGGGCGGCATATAAATCAAATTAAAAAAAAAAAAAAAAGTACCTCATGGACCAGATCTGGCTGTGGGCCTTGAGTTTGATACCCCTGCTCTAGACCAAGAACAAGGAACCAGCGGGGGGGTGGGGGCACGTGAGGGGGGGGCGGGGGGGGGGCTCTATCCTTTCCAGCACCCAGTTTCCAACAGAGACAGCCTAGATTTAACTATTTTTTTATTTTATTTTATTTCAAATTTATATACCGCACTTTCTCCCGAGGGACTCAGGGCAGTGTACAGCCAGATAAAAAACATACAATACAAACATTAAAAACAATTAAAAAGATATATATTAATTTGGCCCCAATTTAAAATAACAAACCAATTAAAAATATTTTAAAAATATATTAAGCCAGCCCGGCTTGCTGAAAAAAGAAAGTTTTAAGGGCACGGCGGAAGGAACAAATAGATTTAACTATTACTAGCTTATTATTACTCCTAGCTTACTCCTAAAGGAAACCAACCCTGACTGTTCTTTGGAAGGACAGATACAGTGCCATGGTGGCGCAGTGGTTAGAGTGCAGTACTGCAGGCTTACTTCTGCTGCCTGCCGGCTGCCTGCAATTTGGCAGTTCGAATCTCACCAGGTTCAAAGGTTGATTCAACCTTCCATCCTTCTGAGGTGGGTAAAATGAGGAGCCAGATTATTGGGGACAATAGGCTGATTCTGTAAACTGCTTAGAGAAGGCTGTAAAAGCACTGTGAAGCGGTATATAAGGCTAAGTGCGGTTGCTACTGAAGTTGAAGCTCAGATACAGGCAGTCCTCGGCTTACAACAGTGCGTTTAGTGGCCGTTCAAAGTTACGACGGCCCTGAAAAAAGGAATTTAGGACCGTTTTTCACACTTAGGACCGTTGCAGCCTCCCCATGGTCACGTGATTTATTTTCGGACGCTTGGCGACCGACTCTCATTGACTGGAGGTCAATAGGTCAAGGTTCGTGGTGCCTCCTAAGAGCAGCCCACTGCCTTAGCTCATGCGCTGTGAATCTTGCCTATGACTTCATTATTGGCTCGGATATGGATTATCTCATTTTACCTTCAGAGGATGGCATCTTGAGAGGGGGGTGAAGAGTTTATCCAATTAGAACCCTGTTGCTCTCCTACCTTTTATCTGCCTGTGTAAAACTGTGTAAAAATAAAAGCTCTCGGGGAAGCGGGGGAGACATCTTGGAACAGAGCAAAAGCCTGGACCTCTGATTTACAACAATTGACGACGGTCGTTGCTGTGTCTCAGTTCCGACAAGCAACGTCCATGGGGAAGCCAGACTCTCTTAACAACCGTGTTACTGATTTAACAACTGCAGGGATTCCCTTAACAATTGTGGCGCGAAAAGTTGTAGGATGGCGCAAAAGTCACTTAAGAAATTTCTCACTTAGCAAGATAAATTTTGTGCTCAGCTGTGGTCGTACGTTGAGGACTAGCAATGGCAATAGCACTTAGACCCCTGGTGGCGAACCTATGGCACACGAGACAGAGGTGGCACACAGAGTCCTCTCTGTGGGCACGTGCGCCGTCGCCCCAGCCCAGCTCCACTGGGTTTCTCCGGGGAAAGAGAGAGAGAGAGAGGGAGGGAAAGAGAAAGAAAGAGAGAGAGAAACAGGGAGAGAAAGAGAGAGAGGGGAGAAGAGAGAGAGAGGGAGGGAAAGAGAGAGAAACAGAGAAAGAGAGGATAGAAGAGAGAGAGAGGGAGGGAAAGAGAAAGAAAGAGAGAGAAACAGAGAGAGAAAGAGAGAGAGGGTAGAAGAGAGAGAGAGGAAGGGAAAGAGAAAGAAAGAGAAAGAAAGAGAGAGGGTAGAAGAGAGAGAGGGTAGGGAAAGAGAAAGAAAGAGAGAGAAAGAGGGAGAGAAAGAGAGAGAGGGTAGAAGAGAGAGAGGGAGGGAAAGAGAAAGAGAGAAAGAAAGAGAGAGTAGAAGAGAGAGAGGGAGGGAAAGAGAAAGAAAGAGAGAGAAAGAGGGAGAGAAAGAGAGAGAGGGTAGAAGAGAGGAGAGAGGGAGGGAAAGAGAAAGAAAGAGAGAAAGAAAGAGAGAGAGTAGAAGAGAGAGAGGGAGGGAAAGAGAAAGAAAGAGAGACAGAAACAGGGAGAGAAAGAGAGAGGGTAGGAGAGAGAGAGGGGGAGGGAAAAAGAAAGAAAAAGAGAGAAAGAGAGAGGGTAGAAGAGAGAGAGAGGGAGGTAAAGAGAGAAAGAAAGAGGGAGAAAAGAAAGAAAGAGAAAGAGAGAGAGGAAGAGAAAGAGAAATTATATTACAAAAGTTTTTCTTTTTTATTGTTGTTAAACGCAATATTTCAAAAGCAGAAAAAAAACGAAGGGGCATAAAAGTGCATTTATCACATTTTTCTTAGAACAATGAGCTGAACTCTGCCTTGTTTATCATTATTTTAGGTAGTAAAACCTCAGTATTCAGGTGAAATTGCCGTCTTGGCACTTTGCGATAAATAAGTGGGTTTTGGGTTGAAGTTTGGGCATTTGGTCTCTAAAAGGTTTGCCATCAATGACTTATTTACAGTCCTCTCTAAGCGGTTTACAGAGTCAGCCTATTGCCCCCAACAATCTGGGTCCTCATTTTACTGACCTCGGAAGGATGGAAGTCTGAGTCAACCTTGAGCCTAATGAGATTTGAACTGCCAAACTTCTGGGCAGCCGGCAGTCGGCAGAATTAACCTGCAGAACTGCACTCTAACCACTGCACCACTGTAGCTCTGTACTTTGGCCACCTAATCAGAAAAGAGGACTCGCTGAAAAAGACCCCGATGTTGGGAAAGACGGAAGGCAAAAGGGAGAAGGGGACGGCAGAGGATGGAGATGGTTAGATGGAGTCATGGATGCGATGAACATGAATTTGGGTAAGCTCCGGGATGCAGTGGAGGACAGGAGGGACTGGCGTGCGATGGTCCATGGGGGGTCACGAAGAGACAGACATGATTTAGTCACTAAATAACAAGAGCAAAAATTCAGGTGATCTTTACTGGGTATAGTAAAGGGTTTTACATTGGATGAAACTAAATTGATATTGTATATGATAACAGCAGCGAGATTATTGATAGGTAAATACTGGAAAAATGAAGCTTTGCCCACTATTGAAGAATGGACTCTGAAGATGGCTAGTTTTGCAGAGATGGCGAAGATTTCAGCATATCTAAAAGATCGCTCACAAGAGATTTATGAATGGGAATGGAAAAAATCGATAGATTATGTGCAGAACAAATATCTAATTAGGAAGTATCAAATAGCTTTTCATTGAAAGTATTATATAAAAATAGAAATGTATGAATTTTGTGAAGATGAAAAATTATAAGAAGGTTTGAGGAGTTCAGGTTTTATAAAAAGGGGATTTTGATGGGATTATATTCTGTGGAAGTCAGGGGGGTAGGGTCAGGGGGGGTTGGGAGGGTTAGGGTGGGGAGTATGGGGTGGGTTGGGGGGAAAAAATGGGGTGAAAATGTAATTGTAAAACTTTTGCAATAAAAAAAAAAATTCAGGTGATCACTAGATAGCAATTTGGGACAAACGCCCTTCGAATGGTGTGGGAGTATGAATGGGTTTCCAGAGGGATTGCAGACTACAGAAACCATAAGCATTACTCAGGTGACCCCGAGGACACAGATAAAGTGCTTCAACCACCCTCGAAAAGGATGCAAATGCAAGGAATATAAATCCTTCCGTTCCCCAACATCCAGTCAGAACTGAAGAAGCTTCCTGGATGAGAGGAGAAACATCTTCAAAGAAAAAACCAGAAAGCCCAATTGCCTCTTGAAAAACAAAAAAAAACACCTTTGGGACAACTATAACCCGAATGATTGAGAATCTCCGTAGATAGCAGCTTACTTATACAGGCAAACAATTAATTTTCCTCTGGTCTCTTTGTCCTCCAGTATCTTTTAATATCATACATCTAGGACAGAGATCTGAAACACTGAATATCCTGACCGGCTCAAGGTTTCCATCTATCCGAGGTCGGTAAAATGCCCCCCAGATTGTTGGGGGCAATATGTTGACTGTGTAAACCACTTAGAGATTGTTAGAAAGCACTGTGAATTGGTATATAAGTCTAAGTGCTGCTGTTATTGCTATTTATATAGCCCATGATGACTGACACATCAGCTGCTGCCCTCACAATTTCTCCACCTATCTTCTCCCTCTCCCAAAAGGTCAATCTTTGGGTATAAGACGTCCTCATTTAACGACTGATCACTAAGTGACTGTCCAAAGTTACAATGGACCTGTTGTGGCTCCGTTATCTGAGCCTGTGTCATCGGCAGGCGAGGACTCCGAGAGTGAAGGAGAGGAGTTGGCAAGGCCTCCCTCTCCAGGACCCTCCTCTCTGGCAATGCCTTCGGTGTCCGCCGAAGGTCAAGAGATAGGGCCGGGGCCAAGCACGTCCACGCAGCCACAGATGGACAGTGAGGAGAGTAATGAGTCTTGGCTGGACCCACACTAGCATCGCAGAGATAAGCGCGTGCAAACGAAGAAAAGGAGTGCCTGAGATTAGGCTGAGTCACTGGACCACACCCCACAGGATATAAAAGGGAGCGTGGTGGCCAGTCAAACCTTGTGACGAACAAAGCTGAAAGCTTCCATGCCATTCTGCATTGCTGGACTTTTGGCTATAGACTTTGCTGGATTATCTCTGGACTTGATTGACTCCGTAATTATTGAGCTGTTTCTTTTGATGTATCAGAAGTGGGGAGAAGTTATCTCTCCTCTTCGTAAATAATAAACTCTTGGCAGGCAGCCACTAGGTTGTTGCCAAGTTCCGTTATCATAAGGAAAAGGATTTTGCTGGCTGGTTTGGTCTTTAACTCTTGAACGTCTGTTGGTGTGTGTGCGTGTGGGACGGGTACAGAACAGGACCTCTCCAGACCTACAGATAGTCCTCATTTATGACCACAACATTTAGGGGTACTAGAGTAAAATGGATACTTAATTCATTTTTTATTGAGTATGTTTCACTAATTAGTGAATTTATGATAAACGGATTACTTTCTAAAATAAGAGATAAGAATATAAATAATTGATGAAGTAATACAATGGTAATCATGAATTATTTAAGCCAATATGAAGAAATGACAAAATGTAGGGATGTTTAAGAACTGAAAATAAGACCCAGAAATAAGAAGTTTAATATATGAAATTGTAGTAGTCGGAACATTTGAGTTAAGATATATATTTAATTGGTTTCTACTAATATGTTGTATTGTATTATTTGGACTAGTTGATAAAAGAATCATTGGTGATTAGAATAAGAGAATTTAAGGAAATAATTGGGGATCGTACTATGTTATGTGAATTTAAATGTAGGGGTTCAAATTTTAAGGAGGGAAAAGAAAAATTGAACTATAATACGATGAGAAGTTAACGATGAAGGGTAATATAGGTTTCTTAAAATTAGAGAGAATAAATGCAATGAGAAAAATTGAATATATAAAATTGTGTTAAAGATGAACAAATATCTGTACAAATTTAAGACCGGGCCAATATTCTGTTCAGAAACGATGTATTGTATGTTTGTTTGTGTGTTTAAAAAATAAAAAAACTCAAAACAAAACAAAACAAATATGACTACAACAGAGGCCAAAATTTCCGTTGCTAAGCGAGACAGTTGTTAAGTGAGTTTTGCCCTATTCTTGCCACAGTTGTTAAGCGAATCACTGCAGTTGAGAAGTTAGCAACATGGTTATTATGTGAACCTGGCTTCCCCATTGACTCTGCTGGTTAGAAGGTTGCAGAAGGGACACCGTCATAAGTAGAAATCAGTTGCTAAGCATCTGGGTGTAAATCATGTGACTTTGGCGATGCTGCAACAGTGTGAAAAGTGTGAAAAACGATCATAAGTCACTTTTTTCAGCGCTATTGTAACTGGTCACTAAATGTACTGTCATAACTCGAGGACTATCTGTATTCAATACAGATAAATGCTGATCGTATAGGTAGTCCTCAAGTTACGACCACAATTAAGCCCCAAATTTATGTTCTTAAGTGAAAAATGTGTTCAGTGAATTTTGTTTGCCCCCTTTTACAACCTTCCTTGCCACCGTTGTTAAGTGAATCACTGCGGTGGTTAAACTGGTAACACGGTTGTTAAGCGAATCTGGCTTCCCCACTGACTTTTGCTTGTCAGAAGGTCACAAAAGGGGTTCAGGGGAAAATGCAATTGTCGTAAATATGAGTCAGTTGCCAAGCGGCTGACTGTAGATCACGTGACCACGGGGATGCTGCAATGGTCGTAAGTGTGAAAAACGGTCATAAGCAGGGGTGAAATGTAAAAATTTGTTACTACTGGTTCTGTGGGCGTGGCTTGGTGGTGGGGTAATGTGACTGGGTGGGCGTGGCCAACTTTTTTTTTTTTTTAAACTTTTCAAAGCATTTTTTCTAATGCTTTGAAAAGCCTCTGCCGATCAGGCAACTCAGCTGGGATCGTCAGAGAGGCTTTTTAAAAAATGCCTCTGACCATCATTTACGGGACCGCCTGCTACCACCAATAGCCTCTCACCGGCCAGTACGCTCCCATAGAGAGGGGCTCCTCCGGGTGCCGTCGGCCAAACAATGTCGACTGGCGGCCCCTAGGGGGAGAGCCTTCTCTGTGGGGGCACCTACTATCTGGAACGAGCTCCCCCCGGAGATACGGAGGATCCCGGATCTGCGTACCTTCCGTCGCACGCTTAAGACGTTCTTATTTCATCAAGCTGGCCTGACCTAAATTTTCCCCTTTTTAAATGGGAATTTTAAATTTGGTTTTAAATTATTGGGGTTTTAAATTTGTTCAGCCAAATTATTTAATTCGTTTTATTTCTATTTTAAATTTTGTATTTATATGTTTTATTCTATGGCTGTTCACCGCCCTGAGTCCTTCGGGAGTAGGGCGGTATACAAATTCAATAAAATCAAAATCAAGATCAAATCAAGTCAGCTGGGATCGTCAGAGACTTTTCAAAGCATTTTTTTTACCACCTTTTCGGCCAAGAGGTTGCAGAAAAAAAATGCTTTGAAAAGCCTCTGACAATCCCAGCTGAGCTGCGCGATCATCAGAGGCTTTTTTTTTTTTTTACTTTTAAAAGCATTTTTTCATCGGAAAAGGTTGTAGAAAAAATGCTTTTGAAAGTAAAAAAAAAAAGCCTCTGATGATTGTGCGGCTCAACTGGGCATGGTGGTGGTGGGGGCGCAGGGAATTTTGCTACCGGTTCTCCGAACCACCCACCGCCATCGCTATCGGATTGGGCGATCCGGTCCGAACCGGGAGCATTTCACTCCTGGTCATAAGTCACTTTTTTCACGGCTATTGTAACTTCGGTCACTCAATGGACTGTTGTAAGTCTGTTGTAAGTCCATTGTAAGACTGTTGTAAGTCCATACAGGCAGTCGAGGACTGCCTGTATTCAATACAGATAAATACTGATCATACACTTCCAGCACCCAATCAACATCCTGTCCTTACTACCAGGAGTACCTACCCGCTGAGCTGGGATCCTGACCGTCTTTCAGTTCAGCTTCTCTACAAAGGAGGCCGTTAGATCCAGAGGCTGCCAGGGATCCTTCAGCCTCCGGGGAGACCATCACTAGTGCTGCGCACGGTTCCAGCACCTAAAACAGAACAGAATAGAACAGAATAACAGAGTTGGAAGGGACCTTAGAGGTCTTCTAGTCCAACCCCCTGTTCAAGCAGGAAACCCTACACCACTTCAGACAAATGGTTATCCAACGTCTTCTTTAAAAACTTCCAGAGAAACAAGCCAGCCAAGCCACTGCAAAATGGAAATGATTTTTTTTATTTTTATTGATTGATATCCGCCTTTATTATTTTTTACAATAACATATCCCACACATCTTCCTTTACCTAATTTACCTCACAACAACCCTGAAATGGGGTGGGTTATGCTGAGAGAGTGACTGGCCCAGATGGCTTTCATGGCCAAGGCGGGACTCGAACCCATGGCCTCAGGCTTTCTAATGTAGAGTCTTAACCACTAGGCCCGTGATGGCGAACCTGTGGCACGCAAAGCCATATCGGTGGGCATGCGAGCTCAGCTCTGGTGCACATGTGCATGCCGATCAGCTGATTTTTGGGCCTTCTGGGCCCACTGGAAGTTGGCAAACAGGCCGTTTCCAGCCACCAGAGGGCCTCTGGGGGGGGTGGGGAAGGCAGTTTTCGCTCTCCCCAGGCTCCTAGAAAGGCTCTGGAGCCTGGGAAGGGCGAAAAATGAGCCTACCTGGCCCACTGTGCCATCACATGCCAAAAGTGGAGGAAGCACAGGGGAGGAGTCGTGCACACATGCATGGGGGTGGGACGCATAGAATTATGGGTGTGGGCACGCGTGTGCCCGCTCCGCCCCACTCCCCCCACTTTTGGCACACGATGGCAAAAAAGTTAGCCATCACTGCACTAGGCCATACTGGATCTCCTGGGTGTTGATTGGGAATGGTCATCTTTTAAGATGGGGGGCACTTCAGCTCCCAGAATTCATGCTGGCTGGGGAATTCTGGGAGTGGAAATCCATGCAGCTTAAAAGTTGTCAAGCTTGAGAAACATAGCTATAGACTTATGTAAACATGCATCAGTGTCCATGTAGACACACATACGTGTTTGAGGAGTGTGTTTTAACAAAATCTTCCCCCATTCAAGAAGGTTGGAATAGAATAGAATAACAGAGTTGGAAGGGACCTTGGAGGTCTTCTAGTCCAAACTCCTGCCTAGGCAGGAAACCCTTCTGTCAGGTTTTGAGGTCGTCTCAAATAAATTGCATTTCAAACAAAGTCTTTGAAGAAAAATTCCCATTTATTAAGCATTCTACCTCCGACTCATCGAAGCCAACACTGACTTCCAGACCCAAAACCCTCCCTTTCCATTCCCCACTCCCCTGCACTCATTGGCCATCTTCCAAGTCATTCTACCCCTAATCTACCGCTCCAGCTCAAAGGAATTTCCCCCCTCCCATCCCATCTCCTAGGGCAGTGATGGCTAACCTTTTTGCCATTGCGTGCCAGGAGAGGGGGGGCAGGGGAGGGTCGCGCGTGCACGTGCCCACGCGCATGTGTGCGCAACCCCCTCCCCTCCCCCCCTGCTCCTGGCACAGGAAGGCCTGGTAGGCCCGTTTTTCTTTCTTACCTGGTTCCAGATCCTCTCTATGTATCTGGGAATGGCGAAAACAGCCTTTCCCACTCCCTTGGAGGCCCTACGGAGGCTGAAAGGGCCCATTTCCCAACTCCCGGTGGGACAGGAAGTGACATTTTTTGCTGTCCCCAGCCTCCACAACCTCTCTAGGAGTCTCTAGGAGCCTCTCTAGGAGTCTCTAGGAGCCTCTCTAGGAGTCTCTGGAGGCTGGGGACAAGAAAAAACGTCACTTCCTGTCCCACCGGGAGTGGGGAAATGGGCCCTTTCAGCCTCCGTAGAGCCTCCAAGGGAGTGGGAAAGGCTGTTTTCGCCGTTCCCAGATACACAGAGAGGATCTGGAGCCAGGTAAGAAAGAAAAACGGGCCTTCCCCCCCCCCAGGCCCTCCAGAGGCAGGAAACAGCCTGTTTCCCTACTTCTGGTGGGCCCAGAAGGCCTGAAAATCAGCTGGCCGGCGCGCGCATGCACCCCAGAGCTGAGCTGGCGTGCCCACTAATATGGCTCCGCGTGCCACCTGTGGCACACATGCCATAGGTTCGCCATCACGGTCCTAGGGGATATTATCTCCAGGGAAAATAAGTAGGTGAAAAGTCAAACGTCCCTTTCCAGACGCCTCCACTTCTCCTTCTTATGTCAGCACTAGAGTAAATGCAGCTTGAAGTGCTGACACCTACATCATTTCAGACAAATGGTTGTCCAATCTCTTTTTAAAAACTTCCAGTGTTGGAGCATTTACATCTTCTGGAGGCAAATCCTCCCACTGATTAATTGTTCTCTCAGGAAATTTCTCCTTAGTTTTAAGTTACTTCTCTCCTTGATTAGTTTCCACCCATTGCTTCTTGTTCCACCCTCAGGTGCTTTGGAGAATAGCTTGACTCCCTCTTCTTTGGGGCAGCCCCTGATATTGTGGCAGCCCCTTCATCACTTGAAGCTTTCAAGTAGAGACAGGACTGCCATTTGTCAGAAATGGTGTAGTAGGGTCTCCTGCTTGGGCGGGGGATTGGAGTGGAGACCACAAGGTCCCTTCCCTGTTAATATTGGAACACAGAAGAGGCAGCACCCATAAGCCAGAACTTCAGCCCAGTGAGGTAATCCAGACAACAATCACACCCAGATTAACTGCAGGCAGACCAGGGGTGGGTTCTAAATTTTTTTACTACCGGTTCTGTGGGCGTGGCTTATTTTGTGGGCATGGCTTGATGGTCATGTGACAATTATTTAGGATTTTGCAGAGGTACGGGTCTACCAAGCTTTTAACTGTTTGCAGAGCTGTACCGATCTACCCATTTATTTTTGCAGGCACTGATCTACTCATGTATTTTTGCAGGCACTGATCTACTCATGTATTTTTGCAGGCACTGGTCTACCCATGTATTTTTGCAGGCACTGATCTACCCATGTATTTTTGCAGGCACTGATCTACTCATGTATTTTTGCAGGCACTGGTCTACCCATGTATTTGTGCAGGCACTGATCTACCCAAGTATTTTTGCAGGCACTGATCTACTCATGTATTTTTGCAGGCACTGATCTACTCATGTATTTTTGCAGGCACTGGTCTACCCATGTATTTTTGCAGGCACTGATCTACCCATGTATTTTTGCAGGCACTGATCTACTCATGTATTTTTGCAGGCACTGGTCTACCCATGTATTTTTGCAGGCACTGATCTACCCATGTATTTTTGCAGGCACTGATCTGCTCATGTATTTTTGCAGGCACTGGTCTATCCATGTATTTTTGCAGGCACCGGTCTACTCATTTTTTTTCTTTTAACACTGATCAGCTGTAGGGCGGCCCTTTGAAGCCCTGCGGCAAGAGTTTAAACAGTTTTTTTCCCTCTAGCCATCAGCTGGGACTCAGGAGGCAGCAATAGACTGGGGGTGGGGCCAAATAAAAGGTAAGAATAACACAGGGGGTGGGGGGGCCACGGTGGGGCACGGGGGGCCAGAACCGGTTCGGTGACGTCATATCATCACCGCTACCGGCTCGGGAGAACCGGACCGAACCAGGAGGAACCCACCACTGAGGCAGACCTCGACTTACAACCACAAATGAGCCCAGAATTTAAGATGCTAAATGAGAAATTTGTTAAAGGCCTGATGGCTCAGCAGACTAAAAGCATTGTGATTAACACCAGCTGTCTGCAATTACTGTAAGTTCGAATCTTGCCAAGGCTCAAGGTCGACTCAGCCTTCCATCCTTTCTAAGGTGGGTAAAATGAGGACCCGGTTTGTGGGGGCAATAAGCTGACTTTGTATAAATATACAAAAGTATGAAGGCTATTGCTTAACACATTGTAAGCCGCCCTGAGTCTCTGGAGAAGGGCAGCATATAAATCAAATTTAAAAAAATAAGTGAGCTTTGTCCCATTTTAGGACTTTTCTTGCCAGGGTTGCTAAGTGAATCACGGCTGTTGTTAAGTGAGTAACACAGTTGTTAAGAGAATCGTGACTTTCCCATGGACTTTGAAAGGGGACCATGTGACACCCCTCCCAGGATGCAGCAACCATCATCAGTACATACTACTGTCTGAATTTTGATTCTGTTTCCACGGGTGTGAAAATTGGCATAAATCACTTTTTTCGGTGCCGTGTAAACTTCAAACGGTCGCTAAACAAATGGTTGTATGTCAAGGACTGTTGTAATTCAACAGGTAGTCCTCGACGTACGACCACAACTAAGCCCAACATTTATGGCATTAAGTGAGAGATTTATTAAGTGAGTTTACGACCTTTCTTGCCACCGTTGTTACCTGAATCACTACAGTCGTTAAATTAGTAACACGGTTGTTAAGCGAGTCTGGTTTCCCCATGGACTTGGCTTCTCACAAGGCTGCAAAAGGGGATCGCGTGACCCCTGTCATAAATAGGAGTCAGTTGCCAAACGTCCGAAATTTGATCACATGACCACAGAGATGCCACAATGCTCGTAAGTGTGAAAAACGGTCATCAGTCACTTTTTTCAGTGCCGTTGTAACTTTGAACAGTCACTAAATGAACTGTTGTAAGTCGAGGACCAGCTGTACTTTACTGCAAGGTTAAATTAACCAAAACTTGCAAGTCTCCCCCCTCCCTCATCTTTGGTCAAGCACACACTGATGTTAATAACATTTCGGGGGCAAGACCCTCTAAAACAAGAAACTGGGGTTCATTTATGATCAAGCCACAAGGAATTAAGGTTCCCCTTGCACATATGTGCTATTCGTTCCTGACTCTAGGGGGCGGTGCTCATCTCCGTTTCAAAGCCGAAGAGCCAGCGCTGTCCGAAGACGTCTCCGTGGTCATGTGGCCGGCATGACTCAATGCCAAAGGCGCACGGAACGCTGTGACCTTCCCACCAAAGGTGGTCCCTATTTTTTCTACTTGCATTTTTTAAGTGCTTTCGAACTGCTAGGTTGGCAGAAGCTGGGACAAGTAACGGGAGCTCACCCCATTACGCGGCACGAGGGATTCGAACCGCTGAACTGCCGGCCTTTCGGTCGACAAGCTCAGCGTCTTAGCCACTGAGCCACCGCGTCCCTTTTCACAAGGAATTACAGAAGTGCAAACACGGGATTGGTTACAAAGAAGCCCAAAGATAATTAATTAATTAATTAACACACCAATCAACTGCCAAGCCATGATTTTCTGCTCATTCGAATTTCCGATCAACTTTTTCGGTAAAAGAGGTGAGTTTTTTTCTAAATGCTTCGTAGCAAAATCACGACTGCTCTATTGCAGGAGTCCCCAACTCCTGGTCTGTGGACCGGCACCGGTCCATGGTATGCCAGCAATCGGGCTGCGGCATTCCAGCAACTGGGCCACACAAATAAGCGAAGCCCCCTCCGTGAGATGCAGCACATGAAACCAGCACCCCCTCCGATCTCTCCAGAGATCCGGTCCCTGGTGTCCAAAAGGTTGGGGGGGGTCACTGCTCTACTGTCCTTAAAGCTCTCACTGTGCCCAAGAGCTCTATGTTAGAAGATTTATAGAAATTCACATTCCTTGAATTCTTCCACAGAGGCCTGTCCCTTAAATAATCTGGTCACAGAACTACTTCCCGCCCCCCCCCCCCGTTTCCCCCCCCCCCCGCCCCCCCCCCAAATTTTGTTCTTGGAAGCTCAGATAATCCTCATTTAACAACGCATTTGTAAAGGGCAGCGTCAGATGACTCTGCTGACTTATGGAAGTCGCGACCGTTTCCGATGGCTGTCATTAAGTGAATCCCACAGGATGGTCAGGCGCAATGTGCCACATACCTGGTTTTGATCCTAGACAACCCAGCCTGAGCAACCCAGCATTTCCTCCCAAGGGGGAAATATTGCATCACAATGGTTAAGGGCCCACAATAGCAGTGAGAGATTTTGGTCTCCTTCAATCATGAAATCTCCCTGAGGGAATCCTGGACTAGTTTCTCTGATCTAGTCCAACCTGCTGAGGGAGGTGATTGTGGGGGGGAAAAACAATGGGAGGAGATAGCTTCTGAAGGAAAGCTGGGCCGTATATCTAATCAATAAGAGTTTAAGAGTTTATTCGATTTCTATACCACCCTTCTCCCGAAGGACTCAGGGCGGTGTACAGCCATATTAAAATACATAGATTTATAAAATTTAAAACCAATTAAAATCAATATATAAAATTGGCCCGCAAGTTAAAACATACATACACCCATAATAAAAAATCATATTAGGCCAGTCCGGCTTGCTGGAATAGGAGGGTCTTAAGTGCGTGGCAAAATGTACGCAGGTCGGGGCTAAGACGGAGCTCCAGGGGCAACTCATTCCAGAGGGCTGGTGCCCCCACAGAGAAGGCTGTCCCCCTGGGTGTCGCCAGTCGACATTGTTTGGCCGACAGCACCCTGAGGAGTCCCTCTCTGTGGGAGCGTATTGGCCGATGGGAGGTTGTTGATGGCAGAAGGTGGTCTCGTAGATACCCCGGTCCTAAGCCAGGGAGCGCTTTAAAGGTGGTAACCAAAACCTTGAATCGCACCCGGAAGACCACCGGGAGCCAGTGCAGCTCGCGCAGGAGGGGTGTTATGTCGGTGCGCTGAGTCGCACCCATAACCACCTACGCGGCCGCATTCTGGACCAGTTGGAGCCTCCGAGTGCTCTTCAAGAGGAGCCCCATGTAGAGAGCGTTGCAGTAGTCCAGACGGGACGTCACGCGGGCATGAGTGACCATATGCAAGGCATCCCGGTCCAGAAAGGGACGCAACTGGTGCATCAGGCGAACCTGATAGAAAGCTCCCCTGGCCACGGCCGTCATATGATCTTCCAAAGACAGCCGTGCATCCAGGAGAACACCCAAGTTGCGAGCCGTCTCTGTGGGGGCCAGGATCTCACCCTCAATAGTCAGCGATGGAGCCAGCTGACTATACCGGGACGCCGGAAGCCACAGCCACTCGGTCTTGGAAGGGTTGAGCTTAAGCTTGTTTCTCCCCATCCAGATCCGCACGGCCTCCAGGCACTAGGACATCACGTCAAGGGCATCATTGGGGTGGTTCAGGGTGGAGATGTACAGCTGAGTATCATCAGCGTACTGATGGAACCTCACCCCGAAACCACTTTCTGAAAAATTTTCCACTTGATGCTAATTCTAGACTACAAACTCTTCCCCCTGTTACATTGGTCTACAAGGAGAAAGCCTCAGAAACTAAAGTAGCTTAATTTTACCAGAATTGGGTTACTAATAAACGAAAATTAAGTCCTGAGTATTAATTGGCTCCAGTTTCCAAGATATAGCTTCAGGTCAAAATTGCATCAAAATTACTCAAAATTATGAGGTGGGGGGATATGCGATTATGCTCCATAACTTTTCTGCAAAATGTGATGTAGCGATGAGAACAGTGCCACGCCAATCGTTATAAATTTATCTTTTTAATGATACCAAGAGCATAACTTTCCATTCGTTTATTGGTTTTTCGTGTAACGTTAATTTTTGTGCTTTTTGCTTGAAAAACTGACAAGCTCTAACATCAGATTAAACGACAAGGTTCCATCTTTATTCGGTATCTAAACTGCGCTTTTTGGCTTTTCTCTTGTTAACTACAGTAGGATCATCCCTGGGGAGATTCCAGCAATAATCGGCAAGCATGGACCATTTCCCTTGGTATCTTTTCTCCATGCCTTTGATATCCTGGTGGAATCTCTCCCCATCCTCATCACTCACTGCCCCACAGTTCAAAAAGAAATAGCAATAGCCCTTAGACTTATATACCGCTTTACAGCCCTCTCTAGGCGGTTTACAGAGTCAGCCTTTTGCCCCCAACAATCTAGGTCCTCATTTTACCCACCTCGGAAGGATGGAAGGCTGAGTCAACCTTGAGCCTGGTGAGATTCGAAGTGCCAAATTGCAAGCAGCCGGCAGTCAGCAGAAGTAGCCTGCAGTACTGCATTCTAACCACTGCGCCACCGTGGCTCTTGAAATAGTCTAAATACGAGGGTAAGAAATTATTATTATTTATTTTTAATTTGATTTATATGCCGCCCTTCTCCGGAGACTCAGGGCTGCTTACAATGCGTTAAGCAATAGCCTTCATACTTTTGTATATTTATACAAAGTCAGCTTATTGCCACCACAAACTGGGTCCTCAATTTACCTACCTTAGAAAGGATGGAAGGCTGAGTCAACCTTGAGCCTGGTGGGATTCGAACTTACAGTAATTGCAGGCAGCTGGTGTTAATCACAATGCTATCAGTCTGCTGAGCCACCAGGCCCAGTTTGTCAATTTTCAGTGACATGTTTGCACCAAGCGCTTTATAGGACCTAAGCAAATCTTCCACATGTTTTTCATAGTCACCTGCCTTGCTGTTCTCAAAGTGAAGATAAATTTATACACTTCCACGTGGTACCATTTTCATTGTTGTAGCGTACTTTGTCGAGAAGTTACGAGGCATCATGATCATTAGACACCTCCCTCCTTTGTAGGCAAATATACTCGCCTGTGTATAAATCTTTATACACTGTGTATAAATCTTGAAAACTTTAGCCAACCAGCACCTTTATCATCTGCTTTCTAATTCATCTAATCAAAATATGTCAAATGAACACATTTTATCTCGGCGGTCGATAATTTCCCAAAATGTGTAGACCAGTGTTACCTTAATCTCTTGTTTCTGACTCCTGAGGAACTCTTCTGCAAGACCCATGGCTTGGGAACAAGCCTGAGGATAACGGTCCCTGACCCAGCCCTGCATCTCTGGCGGTAGGATGGCCAGGAACTGCTCCAGGATCACCAGCTCCAGGATCTGCTCTTTGGAGTGCTTCTCTGGCTTCAGCCATTGACAGCAAAATTCCCGGAGTCTCTTGCAAACTTCTTGAGGTTCTTCAGCCTCCTGGTAACTGTACTGCCTAAAACGTTGGCGCTGAGCCTCGGTCAAGAGAGCCTCTTGGTTCACAAGTATGTCCTTCATCAGCCTGTTTCCTTCAACCTCTGGACCATAAAGGATCCGAGGATGTAACTCTCCGTTGTTGACCACCAAGTACTGAGGAACGCTTTCTCCATTCGACCACTGGCTGGTGTTGGGGACAGACTCGCAGGAGTCCCAGGGAAAAGGTTTTGACTGGTGTGGAGTCCCAACCCCAGAAGGAAGAAGCTGGACCGTCTTCAAGACTTCCTGCCACTGGGTCTCCCAGCGTTGAGCCAAACCTTCTTCTGATCCTTGGCTCATCTCTTGGGGAGCCATCCACCCTAGAAATTCTCCTATGGTCCCAACCTGAATGACCCGAGGGACCATCCGTTCCCCATCAGGGTCTAGAGCCCGCACTTGGGCTTCCTCCTCGGACTTTCTTATAGGGTTCATGCCATGTCCCAGAACATTCTGGAAGGAGAGAAACGCGGCTCCTCCAGCCCTCAGTTCAGTAGCCATTTTTGTGGCTAACGTTTCAGAGAAGACAACATCCACATACAGTGGAGAAAAGGTCCCGGTTGAGGCTGACGGGAGCTTTTCAAAGTTACAATGACGAGGATTTTCAAGCCAAATAAGCTCATGAATAATTGTAGCCTCTTCTTTGAAATATAACTTTTAAAATAAAGATAAATGATTACAAAGGAGAAACCAGACGAATCTTCTGTCAAGGCCTACAAACACTGGGAGATTTCAGTAAAAAAAAAAGAAGAAGAAATAATTACTCGAAGGAAGGGACCAGCAACATTTCTGATCAGCAGAGAATTTTCTTCCTTGAAGAGACGGACAGCTGATTCTGCAAGAGAGAACATACTTTAAAATGTATGTATTTAAGATGTACCACCAAGATTTTGGTCCTTTTAAAGTTTTTTTTTTTTTTTAAACTACCGAAGATTTTAAAGATATTTTTAGGAGTAAACCATTAACATTTTCAAAAAATCAATTTTACTTTATATGGAGATTGTTTCTAATAGGAGAAAAAGTGGATCACAACATTTCTAAAATAAATAAATCAGGGCCTAGAATAGACCGAGTAACTTCATTGTCACTTTAAATGTACACTGATCGGCCTACATTAAGATGAAATTTCGTTGCCTACAGCTTTCAAAGGGTCACAGCCTACAATATACACTTCTACACAAACACGACAAAATAATAAATAAATACAAAATTATGCATACACTGTCAATTTTTTTTTCTTGTTGATTTATTTGGGGGTAACTTCATAAGCCTCTGCTTTTCCAATGCTAGAAACAAATTCTGAAGCATGCTTAGCTTACACCACTGCAACTCGGATGTCAAGTGAGGAGAGGAAGTTATAAAAAGTGTTTCAAGTTGCCCTTGCCTTACTTGCCTGAGAGCACGCAGCATCCAAATTCATCGCTGCTGCAAAGAGTGAGAATGCCAAAGCTTTCTAAAAAGGGCAGGCATCTCAGCTTATTGCAGCAGGAAGAAAGAAAATTCTGGTTTTTTTTTTTCTTTTTAAATGTAGAATCAAGAAGAAAATGGAAAAGGAGGAGAGAAACTTCAGCTGCCCTGATAGATTACAAATTTGAAAATGTATCTAAGCAACGCACAAAGGAGAAGAGTGCAAGAGAGTGCAAGGAGGACCACAAGCGAGCGAGAGTCTGGACTCTGCAAAAACCTTGACATCCCAATTTTGCACACAGCTGTGATTCTCACCTGGGCATTAACGCTTCGTCCCCCACAATCTAGGAGTTCCCCTGGCGTAGATGGGAAGCGGGTTGGCTGTTGCCTCTTGTTGTTCTGATAGTTGCCGACAAGGCAGGGTGGTTGGGCGCAGGAAGAGGCCTTGCCGAATATTATGCCCACCCATCCCCCAACCCCAAGGTTACTCCAGCCTCTCTAGGAAGTAGGAGTGGCTGCGGTGTAACCCTTTAGTGGGTTTTCGGAGGAGCGTGGAGGGAGCGACCCGTGTGCCAGGGCAGGATGGTCCCATGACCTCCTGTTGAGGTGCACACGGAGAACATTTCGATTGGGGTCCTTTTCTTTAAAAAGAAAAAAAAGGTGGGGGGGCGATGGCCAGGATGACAATTCCAGACAAGGCCTGGGGACCATAGAGACCTGCACAATTAGGTTCCTGGGATTTCTAGCACAGCTGGAGAAGAGGATCCCCTGGCCTGGACAATTAGAAGGGAAGAACTTATATATACAGCTATATATAAAGCTGACTTTGTATAAAAAAGAATACCGCTTGGGGGGGGCAAAAAGCCCTACTAAGTAGGTATATACAAAAGTATGAAGGCTATTGCTTAACGCATTGTAAGCCGCCCTGAGTCTCCGGAAAAGGGTGGCATATAAGCCAAACCAATAAATAAATAAATAAATAAATTCCCAAGCATCTCTCAGCAGGATCAACATCAGTACGAAAATTGCAACACCTTCGAATTTCAGGGTTTCCCAATCTTGGCAACTTTTAAGAGAGGTGGACTTCAACTTCCAGAATTCCTCGGTCAGCCCTGCTCTAAAAGAATTGGCTTCTTTCGCTCTTTCCGTTGAACTGTTCTGCCTGTGAATTAACGCTCTCCAGAGAACAACTGTTTAGTTTAGGTTAGAAGAGAGTTGGAAGATAAAAGAAAAAAAAAAAAAAAAAGGAAGACACGGAATATTTTCCAACTCGGGACTTGTTTTATCAATGGCGGGATAAAAGAAGTAGAAATTAGGAACGTAATAAGTATGACTATGTAAACAAACTGACCCAGACAGTATACTGTTCATTAAGCACATATTGTATGTAAAGAGAAAATAAATAAAAATATATAAAAAAGAATAGAGTTGGAAGGGACCTTGGAGGTCTTCTAGTCCAACCCCCCTGCTTAGGCAGGAAACCCTATACCCGTGATGGCAAACCTATGGCACACGTGCCACAGGTGGCACGCGGAGCCATATCAGTGGGCACGCGAGTGTTGCCCTAGCTCAGCGCCGGCCAGCTGATTTTCGGGCCTTCCGGGCCCACCGGAAGTCGGGAAACAGGCTATTTCAGGCCTCCAGGGGACTGGGGAAGGCCGTTTTCACCTTCCCCAGGCTCCTAGAAAGGCTCTGGAGCCTGGGGAGGGCAAAAAACGGGCCTACTGGGCCCGTGCCAAAAGCGGGGGGCGCACAGGGGTGTCACGTGTTCATGCGTGGGGGGCGGGACGCACTGAATTATGGGTGTGGGCATGCGTGGGCGCTACCCCCCTACGCTCCACCCGCTTTTGGCACACGACGGCAAAAAGGTTAGCCGTCACTGCCCTATACCATTTCAGACAATGGTTATCTTCTTTAAAACTTCCAGTGTTGGAGCATTCACAACTTCTAGAGGCAAGTCGTTCCACTGATTTATTGTTCTAACTATCAGGAAATTTCTCCTTAGTTCTAAGTTGCTTCTCTCCTTGATTAGTTTCCACCCATTGCTTCTTGTCCTGCCCTCAGGTGCTTTGAAGAATAGTTTGACTCCCTCTTCTTTGTGGCAGCCCCTGAGATATTGGAGCACTGCTATCATGTCACCCCTAGTCCTTCTTTTCATCAAACTAGACGTACCCAATTCCAGCAATCGTTCTTGATATGTTTTAGCCTTCAGTCTTCTAATCATCTTTGTTGCTCTTCTCTGCACTCTTTCTAGAGTCTCCACATCTTTTTTAGATTTCTCTCCTTAGTTCTAGGTTGGTTCTCTCCTTGATTCATTTCCATACCTTGTTTCTTTTTTCTTGCCTTCTGGAAAATCGGGTGACCGCCCCATGGTTCTTTCTGGCAGCCCCTCAAATATGCTATCATGTTACCCCTAGTCCTTCTTTTCACTAGTGCAACTGTGGTGTGCAGAGATTTAAAGCACTGCAGCTATGCAGTCGTACTGTAAATATTTTTAAAAACATTATCCTAGGTGCATCTTTCCAGATGCGTTAGACTAGAGCAGTTTTTCCCCCCAATTTAGGCAATTTTAAGCCATATGGACTTCAATTCCTAGAATTCCTCAGGCAACATGGGAGTTGAAGTCCTCACACCTTAAAATTGCCTAGGTTGAAAAACATGGAATAGTTTTCCTACTCAGCCAACGGGACCATGTATTGTGGAAGCCCCCCAATTCAGAAAGCTTATTCAGAAAGAGCATATTCAACTACATCACCCTTTAAAATCTACCTTCCAATGACCACACTCCTTGGGAGTGATGGTATTTGTTGTCCAACGCTTTTGGCAATTGAAGGAAACCCAGTTTTCGATGAATTCCTAAGTGTGGAACAGCAAAGATTAGCTTGCAGAGCTATTTTAGTATCTGTGAGAAATGTAGGCCACAGCTGTTGTTATTGTTATTATCTCTTTTATTCATTAAACATGAAACTCAGTCAACTGAACATTTAAAAATGTGTCACACATACGAGTGACTGGTGCTGATGGTTGATACAGGTTGCTGCCAGCATCCTAGGTATCAACCAAGTATCTTCTTCAAATGTATGATGTTCCAAGTTGTTGTTGTTGTTGTTGTTGTTATATTATTATTATTATTATTATTATTATTATTATTATTATTATTATTATTATTATTATTATTATTATTATTATTATTATTATTATCCACCCACCTTGTGCAGCACATGGCTGGTGTGTGGCTTTATCCCTCAACGTATTTTTTATTTTATATTATTCTATATTATTTTATATTATTATAATTTCACGATTGTTATATTCATTCACTTTTAACTTTGTTCTCCCCCTCCAAAGTCCCAGGTGAGATGGGTGGCTGTATAAATTTATTAAATAAATTAACAAACCCCATCCTAGAATTGCTTCTGTCCCCTCCAAAATATTGGGGGGCAGGGATACAGATTTGCAATCCAAGATTGGACTCCCTAACATTAAGGAAGATTGCAACTCCCAACTCCACACTCCTGAGTAACGATCAGTTCTGCGGGACAGAAATTACATTTTCTCACACCGAATCCATCGCAGCTTTCTAGTTTCCAGATAAAGCAGCAAGGGCAGGATCTCTGAACATGTGCAGAGTATTTCCTTGACACGGCTGAAGCAAAGCTGAACCGCTCTGCTGCTTCTTAGCAGCGCTCCCGTCTCCGATCTGGGGGTTTCCTGCTCATTCAAAACCCCTGAGGTTTCTCCAGGGAAAGAACTCTGCACTTGCTCAGAGTCACAGATGAGAAAAAGACGCGAGCCGAAGACGCTTACAGTGCGCAGCGGGGCTCCAAGGGTTAAACCAACCGCACCGCGATGCCTAGAGAGGCCTGGAACTACAAGGCACATGGTAGAATGCAAATAATGAGGCAACTTCCGGTCCCGCCTCCCTTTGATTTGTGACGTCGGTGATTCCACCTTTTTTTTTTTTTTTTACTATTTTATTTACAGGGTGTAATTGCCATCAAAGCCTTAAAGCTGCAGTATGCATTCAGGCAAACCTAAACAAAGTTTAAACCGCATGGATTTTAATATGCGACCCAAGGCTCTCATCAGAGGCAACCTTAGCCCCAGAAAAGCTGATTAGCAACATAATTAAAATTTCTCAACCTCCGTCATGATGGAAGAAGACATGAGAAGGAGGGAGGGAGAGAAGAGAGGGAGGAGAAAAGAACAGAAGGAGGAAGGGGAGGAGAGGGGAAGAGAAGAGAGGGAGGGAGGGAGAAAAGAAATGAGAAGGAGGGAAGGAGAAAAGATGAGGGGAGGAGAGAAGGAGGGAGGGAGGGAGAAAAGAGATGAGGGAAGGGAGGGAGGGAGGGAGAAAAGAGATGAGGGAAGGACAAAATGAGGGAAGAGAAGGAGGAAGGGAGAAGAGGGAAGGAGGGAAGAGAAAAGAGATGAAAGGAGTGAAGGGAGGGAGGGAGAAAAGATGAGAAGGAGGGGAGGAGGGAAGAGAGGGCGGGAGGGAGAAAAGAGATGAGAAGAGAAGGAGGGGAGAAGGAGGGGAGGAGAAAAGATGAGGGAAGGAGAGAAGGAGGGAGGGAGGGAGAAAAGAGATGAGGGAAGGGAGGGAGGGAGAAAAGAGATGAGGGAAGGAGGGAAGAGAAAAGAGATGAGAAGGAGTGAAGGGAGGGAGGGAGAAAAGATGAGAAGGAGGGGAGGAGAGAAGAGAGGGCGGGAGGGAGAAAAGAGATGAGAAGAGAAGGAGGGGAGAAGAAAAGATGAGGGAAGGAGAGAAGAGGGAGGGAGAAAAGAGATGGGGAGGCAGGAAGAGGAGGGAGGGAGAAAAGAAGGAGGGAGGGATAAAAGAGATGAGGGGAGGGAGGGGAGGGAGAAGAGATGAGAAGGAGGGGAGGGAGGAAAGAGATGAGGGAGAAGGAGGGAAGGAGAAAAGATGAGAAGGAGGGGAGGAGGGGAGGAGGGAAGAGAAGGAGGGAGGGAAAAGAGATGAGGGAAGAGAGGGAGAAGAGAAAAGGAGATGAGAAGGAAAAAGGAGAGGAAGAGAGAGGGAGAAGAGAAAAAAGATGGGAAGAGAAGGAAGAAGAATGGAAGGGAGAAAGCAAAAACAATTTGTACACCATGTGTACAATGACAAAGGCTGCTATTGTTGTTGTTAAACTGAGGGTTTGGGTTCTCATTTACTTATGCAGAACGGTCCTTCAGTAACTGTAAAGTCCTGCTTCTGTGTCCTTGCTGCCATGACACGTCCAGTCATTGGCTGCAGAAGGCTGAACCAGAGAGACTGCCTACTTTTGATAGTGCACCATATCACTGGTGCATATGATGTTCAGGAGGAAGGGAGGGAGAGGAGGGGAGGAGATGAGGGAAGAAGAGATGAAGAGAAGAGGGAGAGAGGGAGGAGAAAAAAACAGAAAGAGGGAGGGGAGAAGAGATGAGAAGGAGGGAGGGAGGAAGAGGAGGGAGAATAAAAGTAGAGGGAGGGAGGAGGGAGGGAGGGAGAAAAGGGGAGAGAGGAGGAGATGAGGAGGGAGGAAGAGGAGGGGAAGGGAGGAGAAGAGGAAGGAAAAGGAGATGAGAAAAAAGGAGGAAGAGAAGGAAAGGAAGGAGAGGATTTTTTATGCCCCCAGCCAGATTACCACATGTAATGGGGAAGCTGTCAGAAGGCTCCAACTCCCATTGGTTTTTCCTGCTTTTGGTTGTTCTGTTTCTCTATTTAGATAAGGAAAGACCTCTGAAATGACATCTCTCCCCACCCCCCCCACCAGGTGCCGAGTTATCTAGTAGAACATAGATGTTAAAACAGTGGACATAATGTGAATAAAATAGGAATTGTACAGAGACAGCACATGAACTCTAAAGGATCCTCTCTATTCACATTATTATAAGAGAGAAAAGTGCTTGTTTGGAGATTATATTAAAGTCAGCTAAACCCCATTAAGTGGTAATATATCTTCTGATGAGACCTAGCTGTCATGGAAGGACAGCCATGTGGAAAACATCTGAGGGGCCTCACAGACAGGCACAGGAAACAAAGAGTCACTTATTACCTCTTATTACCCAAGGACAGCAGTAAATCTCCCATTAGCAACTACAGCACTTAAGGAAGGTTGTCTAGCTAAAAATAATCTTATAAACTAGAACTAATGGTTTAGTAATTAGGAAGTGTGTCAATTATCATATAACAAGTGTATGTTAACCATATATGGAAAATGCATGCGCTCATGTTAACCATATATGGAAAACTGGATGAGCTCACCGAATCCTTTGTCTCAGAAATGTATAAAACCAGTGGGATCAGGGGTCTTCTTTGTTCAGACTTGCAAGAACCAAACTGCCTCTGAACCTTGCGCAAATAAACTGCATCTGGCTGACCCAGGAATGTTGTTCAGTCTCAAATTTTTCCACAACAGACAGAAATGACCATTTCATTAGTCTTTATTTGCAAAGCATCTTCCCATTACACTAAAAGGTGATTACCATACAATCCTTTTAAAGCCGCCCATGCATATGAAAGTCAATCAGCTACAAGAACCAGCTACTTTCCAAAAGTACAGATTTGACACAATTCCTACAAAAGGGCAAGATGGAGGAACAAGTTAAGGGGGGGGGATCTCTTAAGTTTGGGAAACTGAGCAGAGACTGTTTGCTCAGAAGCAATCATGTTTGCATTCACACGTTACACCATGTCACTGTTTCAAAGTTTGCAAGTCCCATTTTCTTCTAAACTTCTGGTAGTCTTTGACTCACAACCGAGGCCAAAATTTCTGTTGCTAAGTGAGGCAGTTGTTAAATGAGTTTTGCCCCATTTTATGAGATTTCTGCCCGCGGTTGTTAAGTGAATCTGGCTTCCCCATTGACTTTTGCTGGCCAAAAGGTGGCAAAAGTTGATCACATGAGCTCGGGACACTGCAACCGTCATAAATGCGAATCGGTTGCCGAGCAGCTGAATTTTGATCATGTGACCATGGGGATGCTTCAACGGTCATAAGTGTGAATGGTCGTAAGTCACTTTTTTCAGTGCCGTTTTTAATTTTGAACAGTCACTAAACGAATTGTTGTACGTCGAGGACTATCTGTATTGCAACATTTTCAGAATAGATTCTCTCCGTCCAAGAAAATTTCTCCCTTCCACTGCGAGTTTTTCAGAAGGGTTACAGTGATTAGTTTTCAGTTGCCCTTTTTTTTTTTTAATCTGAAATTACCTCACAAATTCAAGGGAATCAAAGTGCTGGGTTTTACAGTGTAACTTAACAAGTTTGTTGTGCTGGAAAGACCTCAGGGTTAAAATAAAAACGAAAGAGAGACTAATGTAATATAAATAGTGAAAACTTAAAACTAAGCATGGATAACACACACAATCTAAACTTAAAAATAATACAGAACGTACAATAGAATCAGAAACTCAATAAACGTCAGTGTTTAAAACTCAGAAGAGGATGGATGAATGTGATGGCCATTTGAAAAAAATCCTGTTTACAGATTTCAGTTTCAAGTACCTTTGGTAAATGACCTCAATCCATCCTTCTCTCTATCCCTTTGCAGGTAAATAAAAAATATTAGCATATGTCTGATCACAAGTTCCCAAAACCTGCACCACAGTACCATTCTATGTTACAGTTCCCAGAAAATCTCACAAGTAGCTTCAAGAACCGAGGCCCCTTGAGAAAATTTAATTTTTACCGTTGTAGAACTGCATAAGCCCATCATTCTCTGCCTCAAACTCTACCAGCAGCTCATTTCCATCGTTAACCAATAAATGTCAGCATTTGTAAGAAGGGGCTTGCCGCAGGCCATTTCTAATTGTTTTAGAAACGTGATTTTTTTTTTTTTTAATGAACCTGCCTGTGCATTTTCACCTCAGTGATTTCATCGGATGAAATACGGCTAAAAAATATTTCAAATGGAAGTTGCGACTTTTGTGTGCGTGTTTGCGCTTTGGAGTCCATCTTGACTCCCAGGGACAATGACGACAAATCCCTGCGTTTTTCTTAGCAATATTTTCAGAAGAGGTATGCCATTGCCTCCTTTCTAGGGCTGAGAGCTGGAACTGAGGGTTTGCCAGTTTCTAGCCTGATGCCTTTGATCAGTACACCAAACTGGCTCTCCTTTCTTTAATTTACAAAAAGCCTGAATTGAATAAGACGTAACCCCTCAAATCTCTCAACATTCAAATGCTTACACTAACTCCCACTGAATCTCTGTTGTGTGACATCCTCACATGGTCCTTATTTGTGCTCAGGTCCTATGAGACCCCAATCCTGCACTTATTCTTCTATCATCTTCTTTTAACCACCCCATCATCCCTTGTGGGGTAGAATCTGGGCAACTGAATGGAGCTCGCAGAGTGTTGACTGGCCGGATGCCTTTCCTGACGCCAACGCGGAGCTTTGTTCAGCAGATATATTCTCATTGTGCCCAGAGAGAGAAATATCTGCCTCTACTTAGGATCGAACTCACAGCCTCATCTAGGCCACCGCACCACTCCCTGCACTTATTCTTCTTAATACGCTTAATGGCACGATCTTTTAGGCCCTGCTATACCCATCAGCCACAGCAACGTATCGAGAGCTCTGGGTGGGAAAGCCTTTCTAAATCAGCTGCCAAGCGGCTGAATTTTGATTACATGGAGATGCCTCAACAGTTGTATGTGAGAATGGTCATCAGTCACTTTCTTCAGTGCCCTTGTAATTTTGAACGGTCACTAAATGAATTGTTTGTTAAGTCGAGGACTATCTGTATTGCAACATTTCGGAATTGCTGATGCTTAGGAAGAAAAGCCAGCCTCGAATCATAACAAGTATCCCAGTCTGTGTAAAAAAAAAACCCTAAGTGATATCTCCTGTTCTAAAAATTTGAAAATCTGGTATTTTCTGTCATTAAAAACAACAACCAGAGCCCCCTGATGCCTTAAGAGCCAGCTTACATTGTAGTCAGTTTTAGTCTACGTAGGTGAACGTAATCTTGATTTATGACCAGTGATTTAGAAACCCTATGAAGTTATTACCTTCCTGAAAAAGGAGACTTACGACAGGTCAACGGTCGTTTTCCCCCATCCCCCCACACACAATCACACAACTGTGCTTGGCAACATGGCCTCATTTGAAGCATCGTGTGACGGCATTTTGCACCACAGCAAACAATGGGTCCGCTTAACGACCGCTGCGTTTGTTTTATAACTGCCGTGTTCACTTAATAACCACTGCAAAAAGCATCTCAAAATCAGGTTGGTGACTGACCCATTTTACGACCGTTATGACAGGCTCCATTACAATTGTAACTTGAGAACTACCTGTATAATGGAATTGTTTCGCAAACAGCCTTTGCTTTTAAAGTCAGCCATGCAACAGGGGCCCACCCACACGGAAGGCCCATTTTTAAAACACCCCTCTTTATAAATTATTCAAATTTTATAAAGGAAAATATTAAAGGACTAGCACTGATGATGTCCCCTAGTCTGGGCAATGAAACGTCTGCATGAAAACAACCAAGCTCAGAGAGCATCAAGGATCCCTCATGTTCAAATCGGGTCCAGTCTCAAATCTCGACACCAGATTCCATGAGATTCTGACATTCCGCTTTGAGCAATCCAGAGGGGGCTGCCAAATCTGGCAATCGCGTGAGACAGGGATCGTTTGGCAGTTTATTCCCTTTAAAGCAACTGCATTCAAGTTGTTAAGTCACCAAGCGGGCAAGATCTAGCTTGCAAAACGGGGGCATTTTCACAATTGTTTGAAATGGCCTGCTGGTGCCGTCTTGGACTCCAAAGATGGTGACAATAGTCAGTTTGGCCTAGTGGCGAAGGCTCCAGGCAGTGGTGGGATTGAAATAATTTAACAACCGATTCTCTGCCATAATGACTGGCTGGGTGGGCGTGGCCATGGTAGGCATGGCCAGGGTTTGTGACAGGCAGCACTCGAGCACTCGGCCTCCTACACTCCCCTGGGAGCGAAAACGGGCCGTGGAGGGGGGGAGTGCTGCCCCCCCGCACCCCATTTTGGGCCCAGTAGTCCTCCTGGGAGTGAAAACGGGCCGCGGGGGGAGTGCGTCGCACCCCCCACATGCCATTTTGGGCCTAGGAAGCCTCCCTGAACTTATTTGGAAGCCAAAATGGGGCGTGTGGGGACTCTTGGAAGGGGCGGGGCAGGGCAGAGCCAGTCAGCAATTTAAGTACCGGTTTTCTCAAACCGGCTGAATCCCAGCACTGACTCCAGGCTAGAAATTTTTTTTACCTGAAATTAACTTGCAAATTCAAGGGAATCGAAGAGCTTGGGTTGTGGTTCCACCTTAGCCACGAAATCCGGCTGAGTGACCGTGGGCCCGTCCCTCTCTTTCAGCCCAACCCACCTCACAAAGCGGTTGTTATTATTGTTGTAGGGAAAATAGGAGGAGGAAAGAGTATTTATGTATAAAAAAAATAGGGGAGGGATTTTTAAAAAAATAATAAATAAAGCAAGCCTTCCCCATGATGCTTTTCCTCAGACAAGCAAACGGATTCTGTTTCCATTGCAGACATTTTCCTGCGCTAGAATTGTTCCTGTATCTCACTGGAAATCTCCTTACCAGCATTCGAGAGGATTCATGTCTGGCTGTAAAAAAATAATAATGCAGCATTATCTCATCTTTTTCTCAGATTCCTACAAGGGTCTGCCTTTCGTTCAACCTGCACAAGGTGGCAACCTTAAATCGATTTGATCGTTACAACTTTCTGCAGCTGTAGTCAAGCATACTGATTCCCACTAAAATAAACTGGCCATAACATGCTTAATTCCTGTGCTGCATTAGGATTGACAGTTTGTTTTTTTTAAAAAAAACAGCATGCTGAAAATCTAAGATGCTCCTGGCTATTCATGCATTCACACTTATTATCCATGATGGGTTCATAATTTTGGCAGCATTCCTTTCGGGCTTTTTCAAACTTGGCAATTTTAAGATGCTTGGACTTTAACTCCCAGATTTCCTGGGAAATGCTGGGCAATTCTGGGAGTTGAAGTCCAGTCATCAGAGTTGGGAAACCCTCCTTTAGAAAATCTCCTTCTTTGAAAAACCGAGCAATTAAAAAAAATGTCTTTGCGAGACAGTGATCTCGCATCACGTCCCCAATGCTATTTTTTTTTTTTAGCTTTCTCTGGACCTCGCCTGCCATCTTTTTGCATACTTCAGTTTCTATTCAGCTGACAAAAGAGGCTGTCCTTTTATTTACCAAACACCAGAAAGTCCTACTGTCACATCCCTCTCAAACCTGGGTTTGTTAGAGGGAGTCAGAGCAAGTGGAAGAGAACAAATGGTTCTCTCCTGATTCAACTAAAAAGGATCCCATTGGAAAAACGGGGGAGGAAAACACCCTCTTTTCAAAGACATTGGCTGTCTTTCCTTTCAACGGTTTCAATTCAATTCTTCTCTTTGCTTCCGAGTGGACTGAGGAAATAAAGCCCCAGGGACCAAACCGTGCGAGCTGAACCTGCTACCTGAGGAGCAGAATTTTCGTAAACTTAAAGTTAGTTCTTGGTATATTTTCCTCCCCTCCCCAAGCTTACTCTCTAAATTGAGTCTTTGTAGAAAGAAAAAAGAAAGAAAGAAAAAAAAATCTCTCTCCAATCATTGCCACAAGCCAAACAGTGAGCGAAGGAGTCCAGAGGATTTCATGCCATCCTTGTGGAACTGATATCTTTTTGAAAGAAACCGGTTTCTTTCCAAAAAAAAATAAAAATAAAATCCCTGCTTTGTGATTTCAGATCAATGAACCTGCCTTTGGGGAGAAAAAAAATACAGGTTTCATTTTTCTCCTCCATTCAGAGCCTTCACAGGGCTAAGGTCCTCTCCTCTGTAAATTCTTTCATAACCAGGATGGCTTGCTTGCCCACCGAGGTCTCCTGAATTGTCCACAGGTTCGGCATGCCGGCTTCTCCCGGCTCGGCGGGAGACGAGTAGGTCGAAAGGGGCCAGTGAAACGGCTCGGCGGGGTGTTCGTACTGGTAATAGTTCCCCTGGGCAAAGCTTCCAATATCCAAAAAGATATTGGTCCCGACGGAAGCCTTCACGCCACGCTTGGCTTCCAAGGTTTTATGGCGCTTGGCGTCGTGCGTATTCTGATGCCGGATGAGGTGCGAGCTCTGGTTGAAGCTCTTCCCGCACTCGGTGCACCGGTAGGGCTTCTCTCCCGTGTGGATTTTCTGGTGACGGAGGAGCGTGGCCAGGTCGTTGAAGCTCTTCCCGCATTCAGTGCATCGGTAGGGTTTCTCCCCAGTGTGGATCCTCTGGTGGCGAAGAAGGGTCCGGCGGTCGCTGAAGCTCTTCCCGCACTCCGAACACTCGAACGGCCGCTCCCCGGTGTGCACGCGCCAGTGGGCCTCCAGGTTGGACTTGTCGCAGAAGCTCTTGCTGCAGCTGGAGCACTTGTAGGGCTTCTCCCCGGTGTGGCTTCGCCAGTGGGTCTTCAGGCTGTACTTGTTGTAGAAGCTTTTGCTGCAGCTGGAGCAGTGAAAGGTCTTTTCCCGGCTTTCCACGTGGGTTTTTTGATGGGTAATCAGGTTGGTGGTGCGATTGAAACTCTTCCCGCATTCGGGACACTTGTAAGGTTTCTCCCCGGTGTGGATTCTCTGATGGCGAAGGAAGCTGGTTTTGTCGCAAAAGCCCTTGGTGCAGACGGTGCATTTATAGGGCTTCTCGCCCGTGTGGATGCGCTGGTGAACTTTCAGGCTCGCCTTCCGGGTGAAACTTTTCCCGCACACTTTGCACTGGTTCTTCCTCTTGCCCTTGTAGGTTTTTTGTTGCGCCAGCATGGCACTGTAGTCGCTTCCCTGGGAACTGTCTTTATTCAGCCACTCTTCGGGTTGGCCTTCTTTACTCTTTCCTGGCTCTTTCAGGTTCCCAAAATGGCCTACTGCATCTTCTTCGTCCTCTGTATCTTCTGACAGCACCGGCTCCCATTCACTTCCGCTTTCACAAGGGTCACCTAGCAGGATAGAAAAAGAGAGAGAAAGAGAGAAATTGAAAGAGAGAGAGAGAGAGAGAGAGAGAGAGAGAGAAAGAAAGAAAGAAAGAAAGAAAGAAAGAAAGAAAGAAAGAAAGAAAGAAAGAGAAAAAGAGAAAAAAGAGAGAGAAAGACAGAAAGAAAAAGAGAAAGGGAGAAAGAAAGAAAAAGAGAGAAAGAAACAGAGACAGAAAGAGAATGAGAAAGGGAGAGAGAAAAAAGAGGGAAAACAACAGAGAGAGACAGAGAAACAGAAAGAGAAAGGAGAAGAAGAAAGAAAGAAAGACAGAAAGGAACAGAGACAGAGAGAATGAGAGAGAGAAAAGAGGGAAAGCAACAGAGACAGAGGGACAGAAACAAAAAGAGTCAGAAAGAGAAAGAGAAAAAGAGAAAGAGGAGAAAGAAAGAGAGAAAAAGAATGAGAAAGACAGAGAGAAAAGAGAAAGAAACAGAGACAGAAAAGGAGGAGAAAGAAAAAGAGAGAAAGAGAATGAAAAAGGGAGAAAAAAAGACAGAGAAAGAGAAAAAGAGAGAAAGAAAGAGACAGAAAGAATGAGAAAGAGAGAGAGAGAAAGAAAAAGGAAGGAAAGAAAAAGGAAGGAAGGAAGGAAAATAAAGAAAGAAATAAATAAATAAAGAAAGAAAGAAAGAAAGAAAGAAAGAAAGAAAGAAAGAAAGATCTGTATTAGAAAGGGGCAAAATCAAAAGGTATTCCCAGATGGATCGATGTGGCCATTGAGGAACTACAAATGGAAATCCTCCGAAATAATAAAGCAAAACACAGAACAGGGAAGGTGAGAGTTATACTTAACCAGAACATCTCTAGTTAAGGGATGCTGTTTGAGAAAAATATTGTCCCTTTCCAAGTAAAACTTGAAGTGGGCCAAATCAGAGAATAAGGCAAATCAGGATTAAAAGAAGGCAGCTTATAAATGTATAAAACACTTTTTTAAAAAGTTAGAGGTAGTCCATGACTTATGACATCAATAATTCATCACCGCGCGGAGTTGCATTCGGAGTAAAAGACGCACCCAAATTTTCAGCCTCTTTTAGGAACGGAAAAAAGTGCATCTTATACTCTGAAAAATACGGTAGCTTCCACCCATTGCTTGTTGTCCTGCCTTCGGGGGCTTTGGGGAATAGCTTGACTCTAGTGCTGGGATTCAAATAATTTAACAACCCGTTCTGCGCCCTAATGACCAGCTGGTGGGCGTGGCCAGGGTGGGTGTGGCCAGGGGGTATGACAGGCAGCACTTGGCCTCCTGTACCCCCGTGGGAATGAAAACGGGCCGCCGGGGAAGGGAGGCGGGCCTCTCCCCCCGTGCCTCATTTTGGACCTAGGAAGCCTCCCTGCACTTACCTGGAAGCCAAAATGGGGGACTCCTGGAAAGGGTGGAGCTGGAAGGGGCGGGGCCAGTCAGCAATTTAACTATTGGTTCGCCCTAACTGGCCCAAACTGGCTGAATACCACCACTGCTCGACTCCCTTTTCTTTGTGGCAGCCCCTGAGATATTGGAAGACTGCTATCATGTCACCCCTAGTCCTTCTTTTCATTAAACTAGACATATCCAATTACATCAACTGTTCTTTATATATTTAGCCTCCAGACCCCTAATCATCTTTGTTGCTCTTCTCTGCACTCTTTCTAGAGTCTCAAAATCTTTTTTATAATTTCAAGAAGTGAACAGATGATCCTTGGGGAACTCTGCTTGGGTTGCCAAGAATTGCCTTTTCTGGTGCCAAAATGGCCTCTCTGGCGCAGGCATTCTGCAGATAGGGCCGGGGTGAGGTGGGGGCAGTCTCCCCGTTCTTCTGGATACTCACTTTCAGTCGTCCCCATCACAAAAGAGATCTTTCCTGGTGATCTTCCTGGCAATGCCTGCGGGGACTCCTTGGACACGAGGTCTCCAGTGGTCTCAGTAACTGTCTCGTTATGTCCAGCAACTGTCTCGTCCTCTTTCAGCCGCCGAGAAACGAAGAGAGAGGGAATGTTGAAAAAAAACCCTTATTGCTTTAGCTCAGTGAGGGCGCACCTTTTAGAGACCGAGTGCCCAAACGTCAACCCAAAACCCACTTATTTATCGCATAGTGCCAATACGGCAATTTCACCTGAATACTGAGGTTTTACTACCTAAAATAATGATAAACAAGGCAGAGTTCAGCTCATTGTTCTAAGAAAAACATGATAAATGCACTTTTATGCCCCTTCGTTTTTTTTCTGCTTTTGAAATATTATGTTTAGCAACAATAAAAAAAGAAAAACTTTTGTAATATCATTTCTCTTTCCCTCCCTCCCTCTCTCTTTCTTTTTTCCCTCTTTCTCTCTTTCCCTCTCTCTCATCTGTTTTTCTCTCTCTCTCCTTCTTTTTCCCTCCCTCTCTCTTTCTCTGTTTCTCTCTCTCTCTTCCCCCACTCTCTCTCTCTTTCTCTCCCTCCCTCTCTTTCCCTCCCTCCCTCTCTTTCTTTCTTTTTTCTCTCTTTCTCTTTCCCTCCCTCTCATCTGTTTCTTTTCTCCCTTTCTCTCTTTCCCTCTCTCTCCTTATCTTTTTCCCTCTCTCTCCTTCTTTTTCCCTCCCTCTCTTTCTCTGTTTCTCTCTTCCCCCTCTCTATCTCTGTTTCTCTCTCTCTTTCCCTCCCTCTCTTTCTCTTTCTTTTTTTCTTCCTTTCTTCCTCTTTCCCTCCCTCTCCTTATCTGTTTCTCTCTTTCCCTCCCTCTTTTTCTTTTCTCCCTCTTTCTTTCTCTTTCCCTCCCTCTCCTTATCTGTTTCTCTCTCTTCCCCCACTCTCTATCTCTCTCTCTTTCTCTTTCCCTCCCTCCCTCTCTCTTTCTCCCTTTTTTCTCCCTTTCTTTCTCTCTTTCCCTCCCTCTCATCTGTTTCTCTCTCTCTCCCTCTCTTTCCCTCCCTTTCTCTTTCTGTTTCTCTGTCTCTCTTCCCCCACTTTCTCTCTCTCTCTCTTTCCCTCCCTCCCTCTTTCCCTCCCTCTCTCTCTCTTTCTTTCTCTCTTTCCCTCCCTCTCCTCTCTGTTTCTCTCTCCCTCTCTCTCTCCCTCTCTTTCCCTCCCTTTCTCTTTCTCTCTCTGTTTCTCTGTCTCTCTTTCTTTCTCTCTTTCCTTCCCTCTCATCTCTGTTTCTCTCTCCCTCTCTCTCTCCCTCTCTCTTTCCCTCCCTTTCTCTTTCTCTCTCTGTTTCTCTCTCTCTCTCTTTCTCTTTCCCTCCGTCCCTCTCTGTCCCTCTCTTTCCCCGGGAAACCCAATAGAGCTGGGCTTGGGCGACGGTGCACATGCCCACAGAGAGGGCTCTACGTGCCACCTCTGGTACACATGCCATAGATTCACCACCAGGGCTTTAGCTCTTTCCAGGATAGAAATCAGCAGTTCTCATTTCCCAAAACAATTTTTCAAAGTTGCTCATTTTAACAAGTTTCTTTTGTTTAAATGGAAAAAAAAAAAAGCCCATTTGTCCAGGATTAAAGCAAAGAAACAAAACAACACCTGAAGCACAACCAGAGCACCACAAAATAATGGTTAGGTTAGGTTAGGTATGGTTATGTTATTTTGTTATCTTGGTGATAACAAGCCTGGTGGCGCAGTGGACTAAGTGCTGTTAAAGTAGCACTTAGCTGCCAGCTGCCTGCAATTACTGCGAGTTCAATTCTCACCAGGCTCAAGGTTGACTCAGCCTTCCATCCTTTTGAGGTAGGTAAAATGAGGACCTGGATTGTGGGGGCAATAAACTGACTTTGTATAAAAAAGAACACCACTTAGGGCCCCCCCCGAAAGCCCTACTAAGCAGGTATATACAAAAGTATGAAGGCTATTGCTTAACGCATTGTAAACCGCCCTGAGTCTCCGGAGAAGGGCGGCATATAAATCGAACTAATAAATAAATAAATAAATCTTATGTTATGTTTTATGTTAGGATTAGGGTTAGGGTTAGGTTATCTTAGGTTAGGTCAGTGATGGCTAAGCTTTTTGCCATCGTGTGCCAGGAAGGGGGTGGGGGTGGGGGAGGTTCGCATGCACGTGTGCCCACACCCATAATTCTATGCACCCCGCCCCGTGCATGCAACCCCCCTTCCCCCCGCTCCTAGCACACGATGGCCCGGTAGGCCCGTTTTTCTTTCTCACCTGGCTCCAGATCCTCTCTATGCATCTGGGGAGGGCGAAAACAGCCTTCCCCACCCCCTCGGAGGCCTGAAAAGGCCAGATTCCCAACTTCTGGTTGGACAGGAAGTGACTTTTTTGCTGTCCCCAGCCTCCCAAGACTCCGACGCATGCACACCGGAGCTGAGCTGGCGTGCCAGGCAACATGGCTCCACGTGCTGCCTGTGGCACGTGTGCCATAGGTTCGCTATCACGGGGTTAGGTTATGGTTATGGTTATGGTTATGTTATTTTGTTATCTTATGTTATGTATTATGTTAGGGTTAGGATTAGGGTTAGGATTAAGGTTAGGGTTATCTTATCTTAGGTTATGAGCCCTGATGACCCAATGGTTAGAATGCAGCACTGCAAACTAACTCTGCCCACAGCCAGGAGTTGGATCCTGACTAGGTCAAGGTTGACTCAGCCTACCTTCCTTCCGAGGTGGGTAAAATGAGGACCCAGATTGTTGGGGTCAATATGTCGACTCTGCAAATCGCTTAGAGAGGGCTGTAACAAGCACTATGAAGCGGTATATAAGGCTAAGTGCTATTGCTATTGAAAGTTTACTGGGTAAACTATAAGAAGTCCGAGAAAAAGTTTTTGCACGTGTGCGGCGGCTTCGGCTTTTGCTTTTTCTCTCTGCCTGCTCTGTTTAAGGTGGGAGATAAAAAGGTCGCCCAGTTTTGCTTTCTGATCAAAAATGAAACTGATTATGGGTTTTTTTTTATATATACAGAAATACATATTAATGATGGGGGCAGATGGTAACTGAAGATACTGAATATGCTGTTGGAAGCAGGACTTGATGTTACCCTAACACGGGCGATAGAATTAACAATCTAGTTGAAAGACATTACAGAAGATATTATATGGATTACAAATTTAAAGTCACTTGAGAGTTTTGTTTATATATGGAAATATCTCTTAGTGATACGGGCAGAAGAATAAAGATATTAAATATATTATGTATGGTAGACCTGTAGGAAAGTGGGTGAAACAAAATTGATATGGTACAAGGTGATAGGTAACATTACTGATTGCTTAGTTTAGGAAAAGGGATGTTATGTTTAGATATTAATATACTTAAAAGATTTGAATTAAGAGATATATGTATGGGGGTGGAGGAAATGGGTAGATTATGAGTAGAATAAATGCCAAATTAGGAGCTATTATATAGTTTTATAGCCGAATGCTGTTTTGAAATGTATAGTATACCAGGGACATAATAATAATGTTAGAAAGAAATGTTTAGCATATAGGGGGTGGTGTAAAAGGGTGGTAAAGTATTATATAATGTGATATTAATTTGGATTTCATCTTGCAGAAGCCATGGAGGGAGGGGAGGGGGAGGGGGAGGTTAGGGAGGGGGGAAAAAAAAGGGGGGGAATTTGTATTTGAAAAACTTTTTCAATAAAAAGAATAAAACTGATTATCAGTTGCCTCGTGTTCAGAGTTTCATTGGATTTATCAGATCCTGAGCTGCACTCGAAAACTATGCTCTGCAAAATTCTCCATTGTGCAGGGTAATACATGAAAAACCCCACAAAAAAACAGGAATTGAAGAGAAATCTCTGGGCTGTAGCAGACAGCCTCTTTTTCTGCTTTTTCTCCCTTCTCTCCTAAGACTCCCTGTATTTCATTTCAAGAGATGACCTCAAGTACTAAGACTCTGGCCAGGAGATCAGAACCTGATGCTACTCCATGCCCCAATTCCCACAATCATCAAAGGCGGCAATATGAATCCTAAACAAAGCTTTCTTCATTCAATACCTGCTGATTCCTTTGGCCATGTCTCAGTTGGTTGAGTCTCTTCTTCTTCTTCCTTTCCCCCACTCTGATTCCACAGATTGTCTTCCACTTCTTTCCCTGGTCCTTCACTGGCCACCATCCCAACCGGTCTATTCTTGCCATCATTCCCCCAGGTGTCACCTGTTGCAATCAAGCCGATTGGAAAAGTTAGGGAGAAGCAGGACTTCAAGCCAAGATCCTTTTCCCTATATAGAAATGACTGTCAAGCTCTGTTAAGCTCAGGAAGCAGGACTCATGTGGATTTCTGCAAATACCTTTTATTCTTAGATCTTTGTTGTAACACAGGGGTGGGGAACGATGACCCCTTTATGATTTGCTGGCTCAGGAACTCTGGGAGTTGAAGTCCACAAGTCATAAATGTGGGGGCACCCGCCCTGTGGAACGAGCTGCCTCCTGGAATACGACTGATCCCGGACCTCCGGACCTTCCGTAAGGCCCTGAAGACTTATTTATTCCACCAAGCCAGCCTAGCCTAAATGGCTCTTAATTGGGATTTTAAATTTTATAGACTTGGGGGTTTTAAATTGGGAAGCCAATGATTTAATTTTTTTTAATTATCTTAAGTTTTGTATTTGTATGTTTTTTAATTTTGGCTGTTCACCGCCCTGAGTCCCTTCTGGGAGAAGGGCGGTATACAAATTAAATTAATAAAATAATAATAATAATAATAATAAAGGGGCCATTGTTCCCCATGATAGCTCAGGAACTCTGGGAGTTGAAGTCCACAAGTCATAAAGGGGCCATTGTTCCCCATGATGGCTCAGGGATTCTGGGAGTTGAAGTCCACAAGTCATAAAAGGGCCATTGTTCCCCATGATAGCTCAGGAACTCTGGGAGTTGAAGTCCACAAGTCATAAAGGAGCCATTGTTCCCCATGATGGCTCAGGGATTCTGGGAGTTGAAGTCCACAAGTCATAAAAGGGCCATTGTTCCCCATGATAGCTCAGGAACTCTGGGAGTTGAAGTCCACAAGTCATAAAGGGGCCATTGTTCCCCATGATGGCTCAGGGATTCTGGGAGTTGAAGTCCACAAGTCATAAAAGGGCCATTGTTTCCCCATGATGGCTCAGGGATTCTGGGAGTTGAAGTCCACAAGTCATAAAGGGGCCATCAGGGTAGCCTGGAGGAGAAACTGGATATCCTGCAGCTCTCCAGAACATTTCGTTCCAAAATGCTGGTTTTGCACATCCCTTGGGAGAAAGGAACCTACTTTATTTGGAGTCCAGCTACTAAACATTTGGGATCTCCTTTAACCTACCCAGATTAATTTCTAGAAAAATCACCTGAAGGACAGCGGGATCGATTAGAGGCTTGCAGGACACCTTGTTCTCCAAAAGGAAGGTTTTTGACACCCTTTTGAGGTAGGAACCTGGCTAGCCTTTCCTAGCTGTACCTGAAATGCCAGACCAGTGATGGCAAACCTATGACATGTATGTCAAAGATAACACGCCACAATGTTTTGCCAGCGTTCACCAACATCTGACAACTATTCTTGAAAGCACGCCCCATTCTCATGTGATTTTCAGAGATCCATGGAGCTTGCGTGAGAATGGGACGTACTCTCGCGTGGCCTCCGGAAGCGGCCTGAGAAGGCTATGTTCTCGTGCGACTTCCAGAGCTTTCAAAAATTGTGTGAGAACGGGGTGTGCTTTCTGCAATTTTTGGAGACTGCAGAGTAAGCGGAAGAGCATTCTCCGAAGCCACTTCAAGAACTCATGTTACCCGAAGCTGGCTCAAATAGGCTGCAGAGGCCTATCACTTACCATATTTTTCAGAGTATAAAAGGCACCTTTTTCCCCCAAATAAGAGGGTGAAAATCCAGGTGCGTCTTATACTCCGAATATAGCCCTGCCCAGCTTCTCAAAATGGAGTTTTCAGAGGCAGAAAAAAGCATCAGAAACAAAGCTTCAGAAAAGAAGCCCCCAAACAGAGCTTCAGAGGCTTTTTTTCTGAAGCTGTTTCTGAGGCTTTCAGAGGCAGAAAAAAAAGCAAGACAGAGAGCTCACAACCAAGGAACCTGTTACTAAAATTCACCTCTGGGAACAGCTGATTGGGAGTATTCCAGGAGGCCGATCCACCTGCCAATCAGCTTTTTTCTTATTTTCCTCCCCCAAAACTAAGGTGCATCTTATACTCTGGTGCGTCTTATACTCTGAAAAATATGGTAAATATAACCTCTGTGCAACAAATCTTAGGATCACACACAATTGTATTTTTTTTAAAAAAACAAATCTATATGTACTCTTTCTCTTTTGTTCGGGGCAGAGTGACACACCAGCAGAGTCAAGCAGGGCATTTTCCAAATTTTTCAGCCCCAAAATTGCCATCACAATGCTAAGCACTAAACAGGGAATTTTTGGCAGGAGCAGCAGTGGCTCAATGGCTCCATCCATGAACGGAAGGCCTGAATGCTAGAATAACAGAGTTGAAAGGGATCTAGGAGCTCTTCTAGTCCAACCCTCTGCTTAGGCAGGAAACCATTTCAGACAAATGGTTGTCCAATCTCTTCTTAAAAGCTTTCAGTGTTGGAGCACTCACAACTTCTGGAGGCAAGCTGTTCCACTGATTCTTTATTCTCCCTGTCAGGAAATTTCTCCTTAGTTCTAGGTTGCTTCTCTCCTTGATTAGTTTCCACACATTGCTTCTTGTCCTGCCCTCAGGTGCTTTGGAGAATAGCTTGACTCCCTCTTCTGTCTCCCTCCCTGAAGATATTGGAACACAGCTATCATGTCTCCCCTCATCCTTCTTTTCATCAAACTAGACATACCCAGTTCCTGCAACCGTTCTTCATATATTTTAGCCTCCAGTCCCCAAATCATCCTTGTTGCTCTTCTCTGCACTCTTTCTAGAGTCTCCACAACTTTTTTACATCGTGGTGACCAAAACTGGATGCCGTATTCTAAGTGTGGCCTTACCAAGGCATTATAAAGTGATATTAACACTTCAGGTGATCTTGATTCTGTTCCTCTGTTAATGCAGCCTTGGCTTTTTGGGCAACTGCAGCACCCAGCTGGCTCATATTTATGATACGCCATGATACTTATGCCATAATATTTATCATATGCCATCCTGTTGCTTTCTTGTGTCAAGTTTCCGAAAGATGCCCTAATTAATTCATGAGCCATGATCCAAAATGTCAACTTGCAAAGCTTTCAAGTTGCCATCTTGTTCATCCTGTTTGGCTTCGCATGGAGAAACCTCATCCTTTATAACGATAAAAGAAAGCTTCCCTCCCCCCCCAGAGGATCAAACGGACTCTTACCCAAAGAGACCAGGGTCCCGTAGTTTTCCACCATGACTTCCTGATAGAGCGCCCTCTGCTCTGGATCCAGCATCCCCCATTCGCCCTTGCTGAAGCGCACGGCCACTTCCTCAAAAGTCACCGGTCCCTGAGGTGGAGGAGAGAGAATATTTCTTAAGAGCCACACGATTCGGAGTGCACATCCCTCCCGTTAGCCCAGGCCAGCTTTCACCAAACCACTGTTCCTCCAGATAGGAGGCATTACAAGTCCTCAAGGTGTAAATTGGCTATTGTTGTGGCCCGTACGCGGCCTGTGTGGATTGTAGCTGATTCTGACAGCGAGGAGGCTGGTGTGATGCTGCGCCAGCAGCCTGTGCAGCTGGCACTCGAGTCAGACAATGAGGAGGCTGGAGAAGATGTGGTGCCAGAGGTGGGGATTCAGCCACAGCCTTCAGAACCTCCAGAAGCTCCTTTAAGTGAAGAGGACGAAGAGGAGGAGCCTCTTCTTCATGCACGGGCACGCAGAGCTGCCAAAAGGCAGAAGTGGCTCCTCAGGAGGAGGTCTCCTCGAGAGTAAGGCTTGGGGCTAATTGGCCACTCCCTTAGCCTATTTAAGGAGGAACGCCGACTGAAGCAAGTTGTAGGGAACAACTTTAGTTCACTCTACTTCGCGTCTGGATTCTCTGCAAAATTGCTTCTGGGCTTTCTGCCAACCTTAGTAAGATTGTGATTACTTTATCTTTGGTTTCTTGGAGGCTAAGGTTAAGAACGTTTATTAACAGCCTTTGTTTTGAAAAAGACTGAGTTATTTTAGTAAATTAAGTTTTGTACAAACTTTGTGTGTGCTATATTCTTTGGGGTCCGTAGCTGGGGCAGAACAGCTATGGATGAGGGGAGGACTAGGCCAAACCACAGGGTTGGAGAAAGTGGTTTAAATATAGATAGCCCTCGACTTATGACCACGGTCGAGATCGGAATTTCTCTTGCAGTCATAAAGCGAGAAGGCATGTGAGAAGGTACCTCAGTTAGTGATGACAATCCCAGCGCTTGCCATCATTACATGAAATCCCACTGGTCATTATCCCGAGGACTCACCCCAATCCAAGCCATTCCCAGAGTTGTGGTAAGATGGGCGGCCAATATATTTTGCAAACAAACAAGCCAACAAACAAATTCCAGGCTTGCTTCCTCCCAGCCCTTACACACCCATCTTACCTACAACTCCCCAGCCCCCCATACCTATCTTGCCCCACCCCCCATCTCTGCTTCTTTGACTGCCCTGAACCCCAACGTTCTGGATGGCAAGCAACACCAAAATTGCACAGCTCTGTGTTAGTCAGAAAAAGTGCCATCGGATTAGTCCCGATTTTTTTATTGGATCCGCAGGCATCCGATCTGAGATCCATACACTCCAGGGGCCCATCTGATCTCCTCTGTTTTAGAAATGCCACTTTAAAGTCAGGAGATCCGGCCACCCTGAAGAACCTTTTCGGTAATCACCACTTCCATGCCACCTTCCTCTTGAAACACCAGATCCCTCCTTGAAAATGCCAGGCGGTCCCAGGCTCACCTGATCTTCTTCTGCTTTCCCCAGTAAGAGATCTTCTAGCAGCTTTTGCCTTTGCCATTCCTGGTTTTGCATCTGATCCTGGGATGTGTCCAAGCGGACGGCATTCTCTTCATCCAAGATGGCTGCTCCCTTTTTCCCCCTGCTATTCCCAGGCTGGAAGGCTGGAGAGGCCTGGGGAGCCATTTGGGGGCCTACCACATCCAGTTCACACATTTTCTCTTCCTGCTTCAGCCTGTCCCTCAACTCTGGGCTCGCAGGCAAAGGGTCTCCTTGCTTGGTCCTCATCTTCAGGGACCAACACAGCTGGAATCTGAAGAGGCGAGAAAGCCCAGAGGCTCAAGTTCTTGATTCTACAAAGTCAACGTATTGTTGCTTGGTAACACCGGCTGAAGGACACGGTCACCCAAGAGGCAAGACTGGCTGATTTCCAGCTAGCGAGAAGTTCTTTCCTTACCTGAAAAAGGAAAAAAAAAATGCCATCATAGCTTGACACAGAAAAACTAATCATGGACAGGTAATCTTCGACTTAGAACAGTTCAGTTAACGACGATTCAAAGTTACACTGAAAGAAGGGACTTATGACCCTCTTTAACACGGATGACCGTTGCAGCATCCCCATCGTCACGTGATCAAAATTCAGAAACTTGGCAACCGACTCATACTTTTTTTAAAATTTGATTTATATGCCGCCCTTCTCCGGAGACTCAGGGCGGCTTACAATGTGTTAAGCAATAGCCTTCATACTTTTGTATATTTATACAAAGTCAGCTTATTGCCCCCACAAACTGGGTCCTCATTTTACCTACCTTAGAAAGGATGGAAGGCTGAGTCAACCTTGAAGCCTGGGGAGATTCGAACTTGCAGTAATTGCAGGCAGCTGAATGTTAATAACAGGCTACTAGTCTGCTGCGCCACCAGGCTCTGTCATACTTATGACAGTGGCAGTGTCCTGGGGTTATGTGACCAACTTTTACGACCTTCTGACAAGCAAAGTCAATGAGGAAGCCAGATCACTTAACAACCGTGTTCCTGACCAGCTCAGAGGGGTAGAGATAGAGAAAGAGAGACAGAGAGAGAGAAAGACACACAGAAGGGGAGAGAGAGACAGAGACAGAGACAGAGAGAGACAGACAAAAATACCCGTTTCCCACAGAAAACACTGGGAGTCACAAAACCTGGGTAGGTGTGGCTGGGAGTCATGTGACTGGGAGTGAGTGACGTTGAGTTGGTCACACCCACCCAGATTTTGTGGCTCCCAGTGTTTTCTTTTCTATGGGGAATGGGTCCAAATGGCTCTTTGAGTGCTTAAGATTGCAGACCCTTGTTCTAGTCCATCTGTTCTGCCCCAGCTACGGACCCCAAAGAACACAGCGCACACAAAGTCCGTTCAAACCTTAGTTTACTGAATAAACTAGTCTTTTACAACAACGGCTGTTAATTAATTGCATTAACACCGCCAAGAATTCAAAGAATAATAACTGAAAGCTTACTATGATTGGCAGAATGCCCAGAAGCAATTTGCAGGAAGCTGATAAGATAAGCAAGACAAAACACAAAGGTATGTGAACTAAGTTGTTCCCTGCAAATTGGTTCAGTCGGCGTTCCTCCTTAAATAGGCTAGGGGAGTGGCCAATTAGCCCCAAACCTTACTTTCGAGGAGACCTTCTCCTGAGGAGCCACTCCTGCCTTTTGGCAGCTCTGCGCGCCCGTGCATCGAGAAGAGGCTCCTCCTCTTTTTCCTCTTCACTTAAGGGAGCTTCTGGAGGTTCTGAAGGCCCTGGCTGAGTCCCTGCCTCTGGCACCACATCTTCTCCAGCCTCCTCATTGTCTGACTCGAATGCCAGCTGCACAGGCTACTGGCGAATCACTACACCAGCCTCCTCGCTGTCTGAATCAGCTACTAGCTGCACAAGCCGCGTACGGGCCACAACACTATCACAATAAAAACACCAATCGGAGATCTGTCGTTCAGGTCTCTACCGATCCCTTGCAGGCTCATAAATTCTCCCACTGAGGGATACTGTACACTATACCTCGACTTACAACCGTTCATTTAGTAACCGTTCCAAAGTTACAACGGCCCTGAAAAAAGTGACCTATAACCGTTTTTCATACTCACAACCGGTCAACATTCGGATGCTTGGCAATCGGTTTTATATTTATGACGGTTGCGGTATCCCGGAATCACGCGATCCCCTTCTGCGATGTTCTACCAAGCAAATTGAATGGGGGCACTGGATTCTCTTGAACGACCGTGTGACTCACTTAACCACAGCAGTGACTCACTTAACAACTCTGGCAAGAAAGATCCTAAAATGGGGCCAAACTCACTTAACCGCCGTCTCGCTTGGCAACATCAATTTTGGGTTCAATTGCGGTCGTATGTTGAGGACTACCTGTATAACTTGAAAAGGCTCCTTAACAGACGGCACTGCATTGCAATCAATGAAGAAAACACGCGCTTTGCAAAAAAATGCAAAACTTAAAAATGCAAAAAAAAAAAAATACTTAACAGGGGTTCTGTTTGCAAGGACCTCCCTCGTCTTGCATTTGTTTGTGTGTTTGTGTGTGTGTGTGTGTGTGTGTGTGTGTGTGTTTAGGGGGCTCTCTGTGCAACCAGAAGCAGCCTTATTGCAACCCCATCTGCTTCCTTATTCCTCAAACTAGCAGGGCCATCCATCCATTTAAGTCTTAATCCTGTCTTGTTCTCTTGGATTTCATCATAGCCATTCTATTCTACATTCTTGAGTCTCTCTCTTCGCCCCTCCTTAAACTTAAGAAACTCACCGGGTCCTGCCCAGCCATTGACCCCCAGACTGGAAAAAAATTCTTATGGTAGAAAGGGAGGGGGGAGGAGAAATAGCGTTAAAAGCAGGAAGTGACCTAAACCCATTTTATAACTCTTCTTCCTAGAAGACACCCTAGGAATAGACGTCTCCGTCAATTTAACCCTTTAGAGAGAATTTTCACGGTAAAGCAGCATTCCAGGAAAGACCACAGATCAGATTTCCCAGAACCAGATGCTCTCAAATGAGTCTGGATTGCCAGCCCCATCATCCCCAGCGGGTAGGCCCATACCCAGCCTGCGGAGCGATGGGAGCTGTAGTCCAGCACATCTGGAGGGTGGCCAAGTTGGTCGAAACAGAACAGCTTCGGCTCTCCAGCAGAACAGCTGAATTAAAAACTTTGTGCATACGGATCTCCAAAATGTTCCCCAATACATCTTCACTCTGCTGGAAATGCAAAGCACAAAAAGGAACATACTACCACATGTGGTGGTCGTGTCCCAAAGCCAAACAATTCTGGAATAATATCAAAACCCAATTGGAACAAATAACAGCTCAAAAAGTACCTCTAAGACCGGAAACATATTTATCAGGCATATTTACAGGTAATTACGACAGAGAAATAATATATTTGATCACACATATTTTGACTGCCTCAAAGGATCACTTATGCACAAAATTGGAAGTTGGAAGAAGTCCCAACACAAGATAGAATAATATCTAAAGTCATGGAATGTGCTGAGATGGACAGACTCACCAAGGAAATTCAAGGAAAGGAAGAATCTGACTACTACCTGGTTTGGCAAAGGTGGTATCAATGGTTAGAGGGAAAAACCAAAACCAAAAGAGGATCCTAAAAGAGTAAAACAAAATTCTGTACCAAATAAGATATAACAACGCATAATTAAATATTAAAAAATAATATCGTTATACAAGGCGAGAGGAAGGAATATATATTGAAGAATTTAGGCTATTGATGTCGGAGGAAATCAGACATTACGTTTAGATGTTATTTATGTTATTAATGTCGTATTTGTCGCATTTGTATGTGTATGTGTATTTTGTGTGTAATAAAAACTTTAAAAAAAAAAACTTTGTGCATAAATGCGATTTATGACAAATGACTCCAAATTACCACTGAGACTAGCCTCTGCGGTTTGCTCTAAAATCCTGGAATTCAGGAGAAACTTCCTAACAGTGAGGACAATTAACCAGTGGAACAGCTTCGCCTTCAGAAGTTGTGGGTGCTTCATCACTGGAGGTTTTTAAAAAGAGACTGGATAGTCCCTTGTCTGAAATGGTATCTAGGATCTCCTGCTTAAGCAGGGGGGCTGGACTAGAAGACCTCGAAGGTCCCTTTCTGCTCTATTCTGATTCTGATTCTAAAATTGGGACGCTCGGCAACCAGTGTGTATTTATGATACACACTGTGCAGTGTCCTGGGATCAACGTGATTGCCATTTGTGACTTCCCCAGTCAGCTTCTGACAAACAAAGTCGGGGAAGCCGGAATCACTTAACAACCAGGGCAAAAATGGTAAAATCTGGCAAAACTGCATGACTTAGTGAAAAAAATCCCAATCCCAATTGTGGACTAACTGTACAGTAATGACATTTATCTTCAAAGATCGTGCCAAGGTTTAGATACTTTTCACCTCCTTTTTCTCAAGATCTGCTAGCATCAAAGCTGCTTTTTTGTGTAACTTACACACACCTACATCCTTAAAGAGTTGTTTCTGTTTGAATCACAACACAAAACCTGCATTTCACCCATACTGTAATTAACCCAGCTGGTGGGTAAATTGATCTTTTGACTTGAAAACACATATACTGAATATGTGTATACACACAAGCAAAGGAAAATAAAAAAGATGGGGGGGAGCCACATTTTCATGTGGCTTTTCTACAATTATAAAAACAATGAACAACTGGGAAAATACATGATCATTTTTATATGCTCATTATTTTTAAATTCCTGTTGACCTATTTTTCTTAACAGCTAGTAATTTATTTCCAAAATAAAAATGTTAATGTGACAGCAAAGAAAAACCTCACATACTATATCTAAATATTGTCTGGATAAATCCTTCCGAGAGGAATCTTGACTTTTTTCAAAGAACATCTAACATCCAAAATTAAGTCCATCCCTTTTAAAGTTTAGAGACATTTTAAAGTTGACCAAAAACCTAACCTTTTGGGAGGGCAAATCCATCACAGTTTCTCAGTCTTATTATATAAACTGCTCAGATAATCTGTTCTTATTAGGCAATAAAACAATAAGAACATAAAAAGGTAGAACCCACAGTACTGTAGATAATTATGTTTGTTAAAATCACCAAAAAAGGTATATTCTTGGATAGGTAGCTTTTGGCATTCTCCAAAAATTTAAGTGAAATGTTAAAAAAACAGGCGAAGAGGCAAACAAGTAGCAGCTTAACCTTATTGCCTCATCTGATCGCAATATTTAACCTACTAGGATTCTCTGTCATCCCCTTCTTCTTTTGCCCTCAATCTTTCCCAGCATTAGGCTCTTCTCCAGTGACTCCTTCCTTCTCATTAGGTGGCCAAAGTATTTGTGTTTCCTCTTCAAGACCTAGCCTTCTAAAGAGCAGTCAGGGTTGATCTCCTCTAGGACTGACCAGTTTGATCGCCTTGCAGTCCAAGGGACTCGCGGGAGTCTTCTCCAGCACCATAGTTCAAAGGCCTCAATTCTTTGGCGCTCAGCCTTTCTTATAATCCAACTTTCACAGCCATATATTGCAACTAGGAAAACCATAGCCTTGACTATACTTTTGTTGGCAGGGTGATGTGTCTGCTTTTTAGTAAGCTATCTAGATTTGCCATAGCTTTCCTTCCCAGGAGCAAGCGTCTTTTAATTTCTTGGCTGCAGTCCCCTACATGACTTAGGTCCGGGATATTTGCAGGACCTTCTCCTGCCTGCCTCTCACCGTCCTGTTCGCTCACATAGGGCCGCTGTCCTCAGGGTTCTGACGGCGAGCCAATGTCGTCTTGCTGTGCCCAGGGGTAGGGTGTTCTCTGTGGGTGCTCCCACCCTCTGGAATGAATTACCTACCGAGCTCCGGACGGCTCCTGATCTCCGTTCCTTCCGTCGGGACCTGAAGACTTGGCTGTTCAAACAAATAGGCTGACTCTGATTCTGGGTTTTATTATTTACTATTAATTAGTTATTTGGTTTAAAATGGGATTTTATTGTACTTGTTTCTTAACTTGTGTTCGCCGCCCTGAGTCCTTCGGGAGAATGGCGGCATATAAATACATGTAATAAATAAATAAATGCCGTGCCTTCCGTTGTGCCCTTAAAACTTTCCTTTTCCAACAAGCCGGGCTGGCCTAACAAATCCTTTTAAATGATTTTAAATTCGTTTGTCTTTTTAAATGTTGGGCCAAATTGAGATATTTCCTTTTAATTTGTTCTTAATTTATGTATTATTATGTATTATTATGTATTTATGTGTTTTTACTTGGCTGTACACCGCCCTGAGTCCCTAGGGAGAAGGGCGGTATATAAATTTGAAGTAAAATAAAGTAAAATAAAATAAAAAAAATAAAGTAAGTAAGTAAGTAAGTAAGTAAGTAAGTAAATCAATCAATCAATCAATCAATCAATCAATCAATCAATCTGTAGTCACCTTGGAGCCCAGGAAAATAAAATATGTCACTACCTGCAATTACTGAGAGTTCAAATCTCACCAGGCTCAAGGTTGACTCAGCCTTCCATCCTTTCGAGGTAGGTAAATTGAGGACCCGGATTGTGGGGGCAATAAACCAGCTTTGTATAGAACAACACCGCTTAGGGGGGGGCCTGAAAGCCCTAATAAGCAGGTATATACAAAAAACTATGCAGGCTATTGCTATAATGCATTGTAAGCCGCCCTGAGTCTACGGAGAAGGGCGGCATATAAATTAGACTAATAAATTGGACTAATAAATAACCTCCATTTCTTCCCCATCTAACAAGTATCATTGCTTTCCCTGAATAAAAGGAATCCCTATTGTGCCAAGACTTCCAGAGCACAGCTAAATCCTCTCGGCCAATACTTTACATGTGTGTGTGTGGTTCAACCCAAATTACCGCCAAAGTTAAATAAACCTAAGAAGGAAAATGTGCATTTTTTTTTTTTTTTGATTTTGAAAAGGGAACAGACCGACCTTATCACAAGCACACATTTTATTCCCTTCCCCCCCCCCTCCCATTCCGAATGAATGAGGGCTGCTGCAAAAGGAGCCGGTGCAAAGGCCACGCCATGTGGCATCCAGAGAAGGGTGAAAGTGGGGGGGACCCTTTCCTTGCAATCTCCCCAAATTCGCCTCCCCGGTTTGGGAGATCCCCGCATGCGATCTTAAGACGGGTGGGGGTGGGGGATCCCACCATTAGATCCACTGACCCATTGGCAACATCTGGGCTCCTTCCACCAGCCAGCTAGGGCTCCTTCCCCGCTGCTTTTTACCTTTTTTTTTTTTTTCCTCCTTTGCAGCCCCGGATCTCCTCCTCCGCTTTCCCTCCGACGGGGATGGTCGGAGGGGCTCCTCCTGCCGTCCGGATCGGAGCGGGAACGACCGAAGGCGGTGAGAAAGAAGGGCGAGCCTTCGTTCCCTTCTCCCAGCCCGGCGGTCGAGGGGTTAAGGAGATAGAGGTGCCACTCCTAGAGAAGCAGGAAGTGTCAGCCGGTGTGGGGGGAGAGGAATGACAATAGCTCAGGGCAACTTCCGGCTCTTTTTTTTTTCCCCTGCAAAGCGGGGAGGTAGAGCAGGGGTCTCCAGACTTGGCAACGTTAAGACTCGTGGACTCCAACTCCCAGAATTCCTCAGCCAGCTTTGCTGGCTGAGGAATTCTGGGAGTTGGAGTCCACGAGTCTTAACGTTGGATTAGTAGAGGATCTTCTCTGCAGTGGATCGATGGTGCTGAAAGAGTGTGTGTGTGTAAGGGGTGGGGGGTGCTGGAAGGATGAAGGGGGAAGCACCTTGTGGGGCCAACATGTGGGCAATTGGGCAGTGTACTGTTGGGGGCAATATCCATCTCGGTCAGTTCCGAGCTGGGAGAAAGACATTGGAAACACAGAGGCTGATTGCAAAGCTGGTTTAATGGTGAACAGAGCCAACAGCAATCCTGGGTCAGGCTGACTGACTGGTTTTGTCAGTACATGGGATCAATCCTGGATAAAGGAGATGAAGCAGCACAACACCCTACCTCACTCCCCCCCCCAAAATCCTCTCAGATCCAAACTGATAGAGATGGTATTGAAAGCCAGCGAGAGATCACACAGGGCAGTATGTGGGGAGGGGGGGTTGAAGGTTGTGTGGGGATGAAATTGTTGTAAAATTTCTAATAAAATAAAAAGATAAAGTGTATTAATAGAGAAGTTAAGAAATGTGGGGGAAACGTTATAATAAATGAAATGATAATATTAAGATATGATAAATATTGGCGGAGCAAGAAGAAGACACAAAAGATGTATTTAGATGATACAGTGAATGATTGATTATGCATTGTTTGTTTATAAAAAATAAAAACTTTTTTTATAATAATAATAAAAAAAAGAAATATCATCAAACAGTTTAGAATTTTGGAAGCCAATGGCCTTGGTAGTACAGTGGTCTAAGGCACCCTGTTATTAAGCTGGTTATTAAGACCAGCTGCCTGCAATTACTGTAAGTTCGAATCTCGCCAAGGCTCAAGGTTGACTCAGCCTTCCATCCTTTCTAAGGTAGGTAAAATGAGGACCCAGATTGTGGGGGCAATAAACTGACTTTGTATAAATATACAAAAGGATGAAGGCTATTGCTGAGCACATTGTAAGCCGCCCTGAGTCTCCGGAGAAGGGCGGCATATAAATCAAATTTAAAAAAAAAATCAATTTTATTGACTTTTGAGTCAATTCATTGAGAATCACTTTGGATTATTGTAAAGTCCTATGGCATTCTTCAAAGTTTTATCAACATCTTTAAGAACCTATAATATTCTATTTGTATTAAAAGGTATGACACTTAGAATAGGGTGATTGGCATAAAAATGACACATTGAAATATTGAATAACTAAATAATGAAAGATTATCATTTAATAAAAATATGTATATTAATAGAATTATATAAGCTTGTTAAATGAAACAGTTATGATTAATACTATTTTATTTGTATCAAAATGTATGACATTCAGGTGCCACACTGTTCACACATTGATGTTTGTAAAAAATAAAAAAATTGAAGAGAAGAAAAAAAGTGACTAAGGTTGAGAAACACTGAAATAGGACAAGGATGGATGCGTAACCCACTTCCCACCAGTAGTGGGTTCCAGTTACCTTTGCTACCAGTTCCGAATCGGGAGCGCAAGCACGGACTTGCTTTGTGCGCAGGGGGCACTTCTGCGCATACGCAGAGCATCCGGGATGATGTCCAGGTGGGTGAGCGAAGCCTCTTGCCATCACCACTACCGGCTGGTAGAAACCCACCACTGCTTCCCACTCATGTGTTATGGAATAATGAGACCAAACAACATTCCTGGTCAGCCAGAGACAGTTTATTGCGCAGTTTCAGAATCAGATTTGTACCTGCAATTCTGAACCAAGAAGAGCTCTGGTACAACTGCTTTTATAATATCCAAGACAAAGGAATTTGTGAGCACAGCAGTTTTCCATATATGGTTAATATACATTTGTTACACGATAATTGATACTTTCTAAATTACTAAATTCCTACATTATTTTCTAGTTCATAAGATTATCTTAGCTTAACAACCTTCCTCAGTTCTGTGATTGCTGATGCGTAGATTCATGGCTGCTTTGGTTAATAAGTAACTTTTGTTTCAAGTGGATATCCTTGCATTTATATATATTACCAAGAATGGAATTTAGCTGACTTAGTGTAATCTCTAAACAAGCACATTTCTTTCTTATAATAATGTGAATAAAGAGGGTCCTTTAGTGTTCATATAGCTGACCCTGTACTATTCCTACATCATTCACATTAGGGCGGCATATAAATTGAACCAATCAATCAATCAATCAATCAATCAATTGTAAAGGATCCAGATAATTTGCCTTGCCCAAGGTCCTCTGAAGCTGTCACACAATCATCATCTCTACCGGTACCACCTTCCCCCACAAAGGCAGGTTCGATACTGGATGAAAATTCTGCTGTGTGGTAGGATGCAACGATGGCTTTCTTGAAAAGGCAGAAAGGCCTCCTTAAGAGGCACAGGAACAAACCCCTCATTCAAACAAGAATTCGTCATCACTAGAACCCACCCACTCAATTCAAAGCCAGAACTGCCATAGATCTAAAGAGAAGGTAGCCCTTTATTATATCTTTCTACCATTGCTTAAATAGTTGCACCCGTTATCAAGTATTATTTAAAACAGAAAATTCATTCTAGGTAATACCGTATTTTTTGGAGTATAAGACACCCCCCCCCCGAAAAGAGGACGAAAATTTGGGTGCGTCTTATACATGAATAGCCCCGCCCACCCGCCCACCCGCCAGCCCTCACCCTTTGGCCTCTGCCTCCTAGCAATTTGCCTCCTTGCAGCAAACAGCAAACAGCTCGTTTCAGTTTCAGCTTCAGCACAACCTTATTAGCACGAGCAGCTGATTGTCGCTTGGATCGGCCTCCCGACCATCAGCTGTTTCAGGCGGCAGGGATTGCCATTGCCGTCTCGCGGCCTCTGCATCAGGAGGCCGATCAATCAGCTGCTTGTGCTAATCTGGCTGTGCTGAAGCTGAAACTGAAACGGGCTGTTTGCTGCAAGGAGGCAAATTGCTGGGAGGCAGAGGCAGATTTTTTTTCTTATTTTCCTCCACAAAAAAGGTAGGTGCGTCTTATAGTCCGGAGCATCTTATACTCCGAAAAATACGGTATATACCTTTTTATCACAAAAATTCTCCCCAACAGTGGCAGTTGTGGTTTCTCCATCTGAACATATCCTTCTTGAAGTCATTCCATGCCTTAACTCAATTATTTTGAAATTACGTACAATTCATATTCAGGATAAAAATACTCAAGGGTTTTATTTCTGTCTCAATCTTAAAACCAGCTTTTCCCAGCAATTTTATTTGGTCCTCCATTTTCATCTTTTTGTGAAGATCGTCCTCTTTGACTATTCATTTTAAAACATCAAAATCCTTTAATTTTCCCATTGATATTTCTATTCCTTCTATTTCCAAACTTGACACCAAGTCATCAAAAAATTCCCTCAGTTTATCTTTTTCTTTTTTCATCTTCACCCCAGCAATTCTCTCATCCCGTCTTTTATCTCCATCCAATAAGCTGAATATTCAATAAGCTCACGAGTGCAGGATGGGAGACCACCAGGAGCTCTAGGAGAGGCCAGGAAGTAAATATATATCCAAGAGAACCTTTCTGTTTAGTTGCCCTGAAATCACAAGACAGTCTTCCATGAGCTCCTTTACCTAAGGCCGTAATAGGGAACCTATGCACACGTGCTGGAAGTGGCACACAGAGCCATCTCTCTGGGCACACGAGCTGTCAACTATTGTTCTTCCAGGTTCCGGTGTGCCGGCCAGCTGGTCTTCACACATATGGGAGTGCCGGAAACCGGAAGAGCAGCCACCCGGTGCACATGCACACACTGGGCAGCTGCTCTTTCAGTTACTGGTGTGCACATGCGTGCACATTCCCAATACTGGTCAATGCCAACACTGACCTATGGCAATTAAACTTGGTTCCCTGCTTGGCAAGGCTCTCTTGAAGGTACTCCCATGTATAAATATGAAAGTACAAATGAGGGCAGATAGGGGTTGTGATGAAGACATTTACAGTTATCAATCTAAAACAATTACTTCCTCTGTGTGAATTTTCATGTGACTTCTAAGGGCTGATTCACGACGGAAAAATGTTCCACACTCGATGCACCGATAGGGCTTCTCCGAGTGAATTTTCTGATGTTCCTCAAGTTCTACCTTTTGAGCAAAGCATTTCTCACACTCCCCACATTGATACGGCTTCTCCCCTCTGTGGAGGCTCTGATGTACACAAAGTTCTAGATGCTGATAAAAACTTTCCCCACACTCTCCACATTTATAGGGCCTCTCTCCTCTGTGCCCCTTCTGGTGTCTCTGAAGTTCAGCTGAATCCCCAAATTGTTTCATATATTTTGGGCATTCATAGGGACCGTCTCCAATGTGAACTTTCTGATGTCGCAACAGATGTGATTTCTGGGAAAAACCTTTCCCACATTCCGGGCACTTTTCCTGACTTTTATGTGCTTTCTTATGCCTCCGAAGTGATGAACGCCAACTGAAACTTTTCCCACACTCGGGGCATTGATAAGAATCTCTACCTGTGTGAATCTTCTCGTGTACCCGAAGGTCTGAACTACGAGTAAAGCCCTTCCCGCATTCCCCACACCGGTAAGGTTTCTCCCCTGTGTGAAATTTCTCGTGATTCCTGAGATATTCTTTGTGAGGAAAAGATTTCCCACATTCCTGACACTGATAAGGTTTTTGTCCGGTATGGATTTGCTGATGCCTCAAAAGATTTGCTTTTCTGCAAAAACATTTGCCGCACTCTGGGCACTTATGGGGTGTCACTCCGATATGCATTATGTTGCAGTGGTTTCTAAGGGATGATGAATAAGCAAATGTCCTTCCACACTCTAAACATTTGTAATCTTTTTCTAGTTTGTGAATTTTCTCATGACGTTTGAGGCCTCCTTTGGTATGAAAAAACATTCCACACTCGATGCACTGAAAGGACTTCTCCCGCGAGTGAATCATCTGATGTTGCCAAAGGCTTCCCTTTACAAGGAAGCACTTCCCACACTCTGTGCACTTGTATGGTTTCCCCCCTGTGTGGGCATCCTGATGCGCACGAAGATACAAGTTGGAGGCAAAGCTTTCCCCACACTCATCACATTTATAGGGTCTCTTTCCTCTGTGCAATTCCTGATGTCTCGAAAGTGTTGAAATATCTACAAATCGTTTCTCACATTCGGGGCATTTATAGGGTCTGTTGCCAAAGTGAATTGTCTGATGTCGTATCAGGTATGCCTTGGTGGAAAAACATTTCCCACAATCTGGACACTCTTCCTTTTTCTCCCTCCTGTTTGTTTTCTTGTGACGCCGAAGAGATGATTGCTGGGCAATTTTTTCCCCGCATGCATTATAAGACTTGATTTCTTTGTGAACTTCCTCGTGGAGCCAAAGCTGTGACTTCTGAGCGAAGGCCTTCTCACATTGGCCGCACTTGTAAAGTTTCTCTTCTGTGTGAAGCTCTGATTTCTGAGATAACCACGGTCTTTTCTGGCATTCCTGAGGTCTTTTCCGCTGGTGGATTCGCTGATGGGCTCCAAGGTCCGAGCCTTTAGTAAAACGCTTCCCACACTCTCCACATTTGTAAGGCCTCAGTCCAGGGTGGCTCTGGAGATGTTTAGCAAAGCCCCACATTCCAGGAAAGGATTTCCCACATGTCAAACATGGATGCGATCCATTCCCCGTGTGCAGCTTCCGGTGGATCAAAAGGAGGGACCGGTAAGCAAAGGATTTCCCGCACTCAGAGCATTTGGAGAGTCTCTCCGGATTCCTTCGGTTGAAGCATTTCCCCCTTTGCATCGTTTCCATAGTGTCTCACTTGTGGTTCCTTTGTAACCAGAGACTACTTGCAAGCAAAACTTTTGACTGCAGGTTTTTCCAGGGGGCACCTGAGGACAAAGGAAAAAGAAGTGAGGACATGTATTTGCTCTCCTTCAGAGCCCAAAATAGCCCAAAGGTTAGGTAGAAGACCTGCTACCATCATGGTTTGTGAACCAGAGTGAGTTTGTTATTCTAACCAACTACTGTTTGTGTGGTAAGAAGAGTTTTTGTATCACTGGACTGATCCAACTGACTTGGATTGATTTAAAGACTATGAGATTGTTTTTTCACTATAAAGTAAACTTTTGATAAACCAGTTTGCACATCTCTTATTCATTGCTCTCAGCAACGTTTCTCTGTGCTCTACACTCTGCTGGTTGGTAACACAACAACAATATCCTTAACAAAAGCAATGATGGGATACTCCCTGTAGACCTGACCTGAGATCCCTCCTTCCCCTTTCTTAGCAAGAGGGGAGGAATCAGAGGTGGGTTTCAGCAGGTTCTGACCGGTTCTAGAGAACCGGTAGTGGAAATTTTGAGTAGTTCAGAGAACCAGTAAATACCACCTCTGACTGGCCCCACCCATCTATTCTCCACCTCCCGAATCCCAGCTGATCAGGAGGGAATGAAGATTTTACAGTATCCTTCCCCTGCCACGCCCACCAAGCCACACCCACAGAACCGGTAGTAAAAAATTTTGAAACCCACCACTGGGAGGAATGGCCGACAGAATCCCTGTAGCCCCCCCCCCCCCCCATTTGTCTGACTGAACTGGGATGATCTCTGCCTTTTCCTTTCTCTCATTTGGAGGCGGCGGGGGGTTTTGACGCAGATGAGAGACCCACTGTAAGGACACACAAACACCCCCCCCAGACGTGCATATGTTGGATGGGTCCATACATGTAGACGGAATGGGACAACTCGCCTCAGCCAACACACCATGGTCAATTCACCCTGCGGGGCAACAAGCTGTAGCCAAATGACTGTCAACCCTGCAGCTGGCTTGGCCAAAGCCATTTTTGTCTGCTTCAGTGTTGCCATACTGGAGCTGAGGGTCAGGGAGGGGGTATTTGAGTTAGAGAGATTTTTGTAGGCAAAACAAAATACTTTCTCTTGGGAACCAAGGACATTCTCACACCTGGTCGGAAGGAGTGATGCCATCCATCTGTCGGACAGCATGGCCATTGGACTATGTGACTGATTGTTTTGAGAAAGTGGAAAAACTTTTACTTCTAATATGGTGAAAACCGCGCGAGTTTTCAGAGTCGGTTTTTACCAGATATGTGCCAATATGATATTTCCAATAAAAGTAATCTTTGAAGAATTCAATTGCCTGGGAGTCTTGCTGGCAATGGATATATTACTTGGAACCCTGACAATGACCCAAGACGACTCACTGCAGGACAATTTAACAATTCAATGTAATTTTTTAAAATAAATTTAAAAATATTTGTCAGCGTTCCAAATTATGATCTCCTTCAGCGCTGATATGAATGAATGAAAGAGGGAGAAACTTTGCTTTAATGCTGAGATGAACTTTTACCTAGTTCCCTGTTCTTCAGTAGATAGCGTTACCTGGGTGACAGAGGGAGGGGGGAAATTCCTGTGAAAAGAAAGTGCTTGGGACGAAGAGATGGATCTGCACGATGGCCAATGAGACATTGGGGTTGAGGAACGGAAAGGGAGGGGTTTGGAAGGAGGTGCCAGTCTTGGCTGCACACAGAGTTCAGGGATGTCGTTCTCCTATTCTTAAATAAAAAAAAAAGATTCATTAGAGACCTTGCGTTTGAGAATGAAATTTATTTAAGATAGCAACGAAACCTGACAATATTATTATGAGGCAGGAGGGTCTTACACTATAACTATATTAATCTAAGTATTGTATTATTCACAGTATTATATTGCTTTCAGAGGTGTTGACGCTGGAGCAGAAGTTATGTTGCAAACCTCAGGAGAGTACAAGGAACAGAAATAAGGAATTTGTTAAATGTACCGATGAGCTAAATGACCTATGTTCTATATCATTCCCGTGATGAACTTATATTAAGAAATCTTACCAGAAGTGTTAACAGAAGATAACTGAAGGTGAAGATAATACCCATATATGGAAACATAGTAAAATAACCAATTATGTAAACTTCTTCTTTTCTCATGTTATGTTTTACTCGATAAAAGTCACACCTGGGGCGTAGCCCTGGGTTCAGAGTTTGTCATTCAAATGCTCTGAACCTCTGCGCAAATAAACCTGAGTTCTCCAACCTTTGTGGTCTCGTCTCCTGAATTTGGTAAAAGGGTCTTCTGAATCATTATTGGCGAGCCAACCAGGACAGTAGGAGTTTTGTAACTCTCTGGAGGGTCATCCCCCCTGCGGGGGACCTTGTTAAGTTCGAGGGAACTTCCCAGGCGCCATCGGACACACTTCACACCGAGGTACTTCCCGGTGACGCAGGACTCCGACAGCGGCAGTCACCACCTCCAAGAACCACTTGTGAAGGAAAGGGAGATCAGGCCATCCTTCAACCGGCCGGAGGACGTAGGACACGCCTCCAGGCAAGTATTGGGTGTGGAATAATCCCTCCCTGTAAACAGGGACGATGGAGAGAACTGATCACCCTATCTTTGGAAAAGGTGGGCGGAGTGTTGACAGTGTGTGGTGTGAGAGGCTACTGAAGTTCCCAAAGGTGACGGTGAGTATCCAGCACCTTGGGCCAGTAGAAAGCGACTGACATTCACAGTTCCCATCGGAAACCGTGCTTCTCCAGCTTCCTGGGTCAGACGTGAAAGTATGAGACAACTCTCTTAAGTGTTACCCTGAGAAGGAAGGACCCCTTACTTTCCTCTCATACCCCTTTCCCTAGCTGTCTTGTCTGGTGCCCCGGGAGGATCATGGGAGGTAGTGGGAGTGTACCCTTAACCCCATTAGAGTGTATGTTGAACCATTTTAAGGCTGCATTTGTGACTCAAGACTACCATATTAAGTGGAACAGGCATAAATTGAGGAATTTTTGTGAGATTGACTGGCCTGACCTTAAGGTCGGATGGCTTGATAGGAGAACTTTTGACCCTTCCATAGCTATAAGAGTCCACCAGAGAGTGTTTCACCCTACCGAAGGACATCCCGATCAGGCCCCCCTATATTGATGTCTGGCTCAGTCTATTACAAAGACCTCCATCTTGGATCCAGAAGTGTAAAATAACAGAGTGCCGGCTTCTGGTATCGTGCACTCTGCCACCCCGGAAGGGAAAGAAACACATCCCAGTCCCATCATACGCTCTTCTAAAGACAGCTGTGTATCCAGGAGGACGCCCAAGTTGCGAGCCCTTTCCGTGCGGGCCAATGATTCGCCTCCAATAACCAGCGATGGCACCAGCTGGCTATATCGGGACGCCGGAAGCCACAGCCACTCAGTCTTGGAAGGATTGAGTCGGAGCCTGTTTCTCCCCATCCAGGCCCGCACGGCCTCCAGGCACCGGGACATCACTTCAAGGGCATTGTTGGGGTGGCCTGGGGTGGAGATGTACAGCTGAGTGTCATCAGCGTATTGATGGAACTCCACCCTAAAGCCACGGATGATCTCACCCAACGGCTTCACATAAATGTTGAACAGAAGGGGTGAGAGGAACGACCCTTGCGGCTTGATGGAATAATAGAGTTTTAAGGGTGCGGCGGAGGTCGGAAATCCGACGAATCTCCGGGGGCAGCTCGTTCCAGAGGGCAGGTGCCCCCACAGAGAAGGCTCTCCCCCTGGGGGTCGCCACTCAACACTGTCTAACCGACGGCACCCTGAGGAGACCCTCTCTGTGGGAGCGTACTGGTCGGTGGGAGGCTATCGGACGCAGAAGGCAGTCTCGTAAATATCCAGGTCCTATGCCATGGAGCGCTTTAAAGGTGGCAACCAACACCTTGAATCGCACCCGGAAGACCACTGGGAGCCAGTGCAGCTCGCGCAGGAACGGTGTTACATGGGACCACCGAGTCGCCCCCATAATCACCCGCACGGCCGCATTCTGGACCAGCTGGAGCCTCTGGGTGCTCTTCAAGGGGAGCCCCATGTAGAGAGCGTTACAGTAGTCCAGACGGGAAGTGATGAGGGCGTGAGTGACCGTGCGCAAGGCATCCCGGTCCAGAAAGGGACGCAACTGGTGGATCAGGCGAACCTGCTAAAAAGCCCCCCTGGCTACCTAAGTTTCCAGCAGTTCCTTCGTGGATACCTTAATGCTTGAATAACTGTGAACTTGAGGTTTGACATTTTCCATTTCCTTCACACATTTTACTGCCTAAGAAGCAATCTCTTATAACCTTTTTGTTCTGCCTCATCGTGAAAAAGCATCTTTGGGACAACCATTACCTGGATGACCCAATGTGTCTGGATTCAATGTAGTAGATTGTATTAACTTGATCATGGGGTTGTGCGTAATGAAACCTTGGTATTTAAGCATGCGAGGGTTAGTCAGCCACAAATATCCTTTTGCTTCTAAGACAGCTTTGAGGGCAGGAAACTCTAATTCCTGTCCAAAAGTCAATTTACTAGCTTCCTGCGTTAAGAGTGCCGTGCCTGCAAGAGCTTTGAAGTAATGTGAATGATGTAGGAATAGTACAGGGTCAGCTATATGAACACTGAAGGACCCTCTTTATTCACATTATTGTAAGAAAGAAATGTGCTTGTTTAGAGATTACAGTAAATCAGCTAAATTCCATTCTTGGTAATATATATCTTCTGAGGGGCCTAGTTGTCAAGAATGCAAGGACATCCATATGAAACAAAAGTTACTTATTATCCAAAGCAGCCATGAATCTACGCATCAGCAATCAAAGAACCGAGGAACGTTGTTTAGCTAAGATAATCTTATGAACTAGAAAATAATATAGGAATTTAGTAATTTAGAAAGTATCAATTATCATGTAACAAATGTATGTTAACCATATATGGAAAACTGCTGTGCTCACAAAATCCTTTGTCTTGGATATGTATAAAAGCAGTTGTACCAGAGCTCTTCTTGGTTCAGAAGTGCAGATATAAATCTGATTCTGAAACTGCGCAATAAACTGTCTCTGGCTGACCAGGAATGTTGTTTGGTCTCATCATTCCATAACAGAGGCAGGCAGGCCAACATCTGGCTACATTGTCAAGCTGTTTAGATAGATAGGTGACGGAGCAATGCCATGTTCCCAATTTCTGAGTGAGAACCCCCACTGCTACGTTCTGTTTAGTGTCGACAAACAGCTGAAACGGCTTGTCTAAGTCGGGTAGTCCTAAACTGGGAGCTTGCATTAAAGTGTCTTTTAAAGTTGTGAAACTTTTCTCTTCCTCTTTTTCCTATCGTAGAGGTTCTTTATCACTTCCTCTTATAGCTTCATAGAGAGGTTTTGCAATTAAACTAAAATTGGGGATCCAAATGCGACAAAAGCCTGCAGCCCCCCCCAAAACCCCTCAAGTCTTTCCTATTCCTAGGCGCCGGGAGCTGACATATGGCCTCCTTTCTCTCATGGCTGTGACTTCTTTTACCCAGTTATCCCAGATATCTGACTTTCTGTAAAACGAGTTGTGCCTTTTTCCTGGATGCCTTGTAACCTAGCTCTTGCAGGAGATGGAACAAGTCGTGAGTATTTTGCCAACAGTCATTTTCCGTCTGGCCTGTAACAGATCATCTACATATTGCAACACAACATCCGGGTCGGGGATCTCCAGGGCTTCTAAATCCTTAGCCAACGCAGCCCCAAAGAGAGTGGGGGAGTTCTTAAAACCCTGGGGTAACTGTGTCCAGGTGTACTGCTGTTTTCTCCCGGTCACTGGACTTTCCCACTCAAAGGCAAGCAGGTGCTGACTCTTTTCATGTACAGGTATAGTAAAAAAGGCATCCTTTATTTATTTATTTGTTTGTTTGATTGATTGATTTATATGCCACCCTTCTCCGGAGACTCAGGGCGGCTTACAATGCGTTAAGCAATAGCCTTCATACTTTTGTACATTTATACAAAGTCAGCTTATTGCCCCCACAAACTAGATCCTCAATTTACCTACCTTAGAAAGGATGGAAGGCTGAGTCAACCTTGAGTCTGGTGAGATTCGAAGCTGCAGTAATTGCAGGCAGCTGGTGTTAATAACAGGGTGCTTTAGACCACTGTACTACCAAGGCTCTTTTCCATACCATATATGGAAAACTGCTGTGCTCACAAAATCCTTTGTCTTGGATATGTATAAAAGCAGTTGTACCAGAGCTCTTCTTGGTTCAGAAGTGCAGATACAAATCTGATTCTGAAACTGCGCAATAAACTGTCTCTGGCTGACCCAGGAATGTTGTTCAGTCTTATTATTCCATAACATGTTCACAAGAATAAACATACCTTACGCACACACAATAATAAAATAATCATAATAAATATATGGAACGTTGTCCATGTTGGTCACGATGGGTGGCACACAACTTTGCAACTAACAACAACACACATACACACATCACCCTAGAATCAGCATGTAGACAACCCCGGATAAGTTCCCCTTATAAAAATCTGCTACTGCACCCCATTTCTCGGCAGCCTTCCCCCAAAGGCAACCTGTTTGGCTTTCAGGTATAAATATTTCTTCCTTCCTCCCAGCTGCCTGGATCTCATTTTTATTTATTCTTGGTCTTTTATTTATTCTTGTTCGAATTGGAGCCCCAAAGGATTCTCCTGCCAGATGAGAAGTGAAACGTTTTCAAAGGGGGGGGGGGCACCCCCAAAAGTCCAGTTGTTGCATTTTTGGGGGGAAAAAGCCCCATTGGATCGGAAGGACCGCAAAGAAACTTTCTGGGAGCAACTGCCCCAAAGCTCCTTCCCGGAGCCCCTCGGGGAGCCTCGGCCGGGAGTGGGGGACTCTCCCCGCTTTGCACCCCTCGAGGGAAGGGAGGCGGCAGCTCCCTGCAGGCGACGCGGATGCCGAAGCGGATCCCCAAGCAAAGGCATGCAAGGCGTGGCGGGGATGAAGCCTTACCTGGCCGAAGCGAGAACCGAGAAGCCTCCTCCGAGGGATCCAGCGCCGATCTCCAAGGGGAATCCTCTGGGAAGGATCCGGGGGGGGGGGGGAAGGGGGCCAAAGGGGAAGCGGAGCGAAGAAGACAGCAGCTGCGGGGGCGGGGCTTCGCGCCTCCTCTCGGGATCCTCCTCCTCCTCCAGGCAGCCACGCCCCTCGGCAATGAGCTCTTGGGCGGCCTTTCCCTCCCGTGACGATTGGCCAGAAGGGAGAAGATTGGCTCCGCCCCCGAACGTCCGAGCGGGATTTCTCTTCGGGGCGCCTTTCCCATGCAAATGAGGCGAGGCGGAAGGAACGTTCCACTTGGGGCGCTCGAGAGGGGGTGGTCGAGCCGGACTGCTACAGATGCTGCCTCCCCTGCGGGGGCTGAAAGGTGGATTCTTCCTATAAGGGGAGCTTTTTTCCCCGCAAGGAGAAACGTAGCTCCGATTTCTCTACGTTTCTGCTTGAAAGTATATAAATTTAATAAAAACAAAAACAAACAAAAACAAAGTTCTGGCTGGATCGCTTGGAAAAATCTGACTTGGATTGCCTGCTCGGAAGGGGCTCAATGCAGGTAGTCCTCGATTTACAGCAGATAGATACATTAACAAAGTTGGAAGGGACCTAGTCCAACCCCACATCCAAGCAGGAGACCCTACCTTCATCACTTCTGACAGGTGGCAGTCCAGTCTCTTCTTGAAAGCCTCCAGTGGTGAAGATCATTTAGTGACCATTCAAAGTTACGACGACATGGGGAAAAAAAGGGCTGTTTTTCACCCTTACGACCCTTGCAGCCTACTCATGGACACGTGATCAGAATTCAGACGCTTGGCAACTGACTCAGATTTATGACGGTTGCAGTGTCCTGGAGCCACGTGATCCCCTTTTTGCAACCTTCCGTCCAGCAAAGTCAATGGGGAAACCAGATTCGCTTAACAACCGTTTTATTAACTGTAGTGATTCATTTAACTATTTGTGGCAAGAAAGGTCGTAAAACGGGGCAACGGTCACTTGACAGATGTCTCACTCAGCCACTGAAATGTTGGGCTCAATTCTGGTCGTATGTCGAGGACTACCTGTAAACCTCTCCCGGT